ATCTAGCACATGTCAACTGCCGAAGCGCTCTCCCACCCTCGTCCCGACCTCGTCTCTCTCAGTCTTGAGAGAGAGCGAGAGAGAAAAAAAAGACGAGGGGGAAAAAGTCAATTCGCTCTTTGACCTCGTCTGTGTGTGTGTGCGCGCGCGCGCGACGAATGGCCATCCGGTGTTGTAGATTGGAAAAAGAAAGAACAAAATGTGAGTTTGAAGATGAATGTTAGTGAAGCGGGGAGCCCAGGGGAAGTTTCGCATGAATTCGACGCCATGTCTATCATGAAATAACGGGTTGATGAAGAAAACGACAACGAGAGGCCGCGAGCCTCTGGCGGGGAAAGAAGTTACAGAAGTACGGACGAAGGAAGGTTGCTCTAAATGGAAATCGTCTCCTCTGATATCGGAGAACATGATCTCCGCCGGGTGGATGATGAATGATGATGGGACCTTTTTTTCGTCTGGTAGTCGCCATGCTGGTTTTTTCTTGTTTTTCCCTCTCTCTTCTTTCTGTTACTTGCCCCCCACCTTGACCGATGAGATGATGTCAAGTAAGGTTTACACCACTTTCGCCGCATGTTCCCCTCCCCCTTTTCTCACCTCGTTTTCTGTCTTTGTTTTGCTTTTTTGGCCGGCAAAATAGCTGTCATGCCATGTACCGCGGGCGCGGCAAACCTAAAAACGGTCGAAATGGCGCCGCGCGCAGACGAGTCATGAGCTGAATCTTGCGATAAGACCTCTCGATGCCACACACACACACACCCAGAAGAGCACGATGGTTTGGCTGGTCTGGTTTGACCGTGGTCTGGTCTAGTGTTTTCCTGAATCCTGCCGACGAATGTTTTCATGCGTTGCGTTGCAGAAGCCGATCCGCAAACACAGACACACAGACACCCACACCCACACCCACACACACGCCCCTCCCCTTCCCTCACCTCCTCACCTCCTGCTCTCCTGATCTTCTCAAGGACGATGATCCCTTGAGGTGTTGCTGTGTGCCCAAGTCCAGAAGCCACGAGGCCGCGTGGGCGTCGGCTTCCGCGCACAGCTCTCGCTCCAGGCGCGATGGTGACTATGTTAGGACAAGCGGGCAGCGGGAAACGGGAAGTTGGTGCAAGAAGGGCACCGCACGGCCGGCAACTCAAGCGGCACGAGATGGTTAGAGATGGGCAGAAGTCAAAGGGGGGTCATTCCGCCTGTTCAGATAGCCGGGTGGGAGTGACGGGAAGACGGCGAGAATTGCGACGAGGTCGAAGGAGAGGAAATGCATTTGGAGGGGGGTTGAGATATCTCACCTCTCATCGCCGTCACCCCGTCTCGTTCTCACAAGGCAAGTCGTCGAGGCCATATCCCCCCCCCTCTCAACGAGCAGGTCCTTATTATTTTGGGAGAGTTCGGGACGGCCATTTGCTGTGTCGTGAGTGGGTGAGTTATTCTGTTCGGAACGGGAGGGTAGCCTGGTCTCAGGCCCGGCCAGGCCTTGACGCTTGTTTCTTTTTTGACAGCACGGCTGACTAACTGATTGATGACTGTCGCCGGCGGACTAAGACGGAAAGTCAGGTAATGACGGCCAACGACGAACGCTAAAGGTTAGGGGGGGCCGTTGTGGGAAGCTTCACGATTTTACACTAAGGTCCCCCCCGGCACGGTTTTGACAGTGACAGACCAGCTACAACCCAGCTTACGGGCCTAGCCAAGAGCGAGGTTCCTGAGCCGCGATCCAGGGCCAGTGTCGATAGGCACACGTCAAGGACACGCCAAATAAAAGGCTAGGCAGCTGGCTGCTAAGAATATAGAGAGCGCCGTCGTTGGCGTCGTCTATCAGTCACCTTATACACACCACCTTGGCCCCCCCCCCAACGGGGTGGTCAGTGAGCCTAGTAGCTAGCGTACCTAGTGTGTGCGGCCTAGTGTATGCCGTCTTGGCTGAACGGCAGCCGGGCGAAACCCACTAGTCAACTACTGAGACCCTGAAGGTGAAGGTGAACGGCAAGAGTTAGCGCGCGCGCGCGCGCGTGTGTGTGTGTGTGTGTGTGTGTGTGTGTGTGTGTGTGTGTGTGTGTGTGTGTGTGTGTGTGTGTGTGTGTGTGTGTGTGTGTGTGTGTGTGTGTGTGTAAGGGTGAGGGTGAGGGTGAGAGTGAAAGTGAAAGTGAGAGTGAGCAGCCAGAGTCGTCGGCAACTGCTAGAGAGCTGAAGAAAGAGCGCAATAGAGAAATGATTAAGAGTGGCACCCCTGACCTCGCACGCGCTAGTAGACGTGTCTAGTGTCCACACACACAGCCGCCCACCCACGCCTATGCATACGTATTGTACCCAAGTACGGAGTACAATTACCTACACACAAGCATGCATACACCCCTCTCATGGGTGCTGAGCACCTCTGACCATTTCCATCGCCAGCACACAGGCACACCACACTTTGGGAGCGAACCACTAGACAGACAAGACATGCCATAAGCCCAAAATGCATCTTCTTCCTCTTCTTCTTCTTCCACCCAGCGCTCGGCTCGGTTCCACGCAGAAGGCGGGGGTGGGCTTTGGGCTTCCAGGGCCAGCCGGGCGAGATACCTAGAGACACTGGCAATGACGCGTGCGGCGACAAGGCAGTGCAGCGCAGTGGACGGCTCGGAGCCCGACGAGGAAGATGCCAGATGGGAGGAGGGTTCTTTAAGCTTTCCCATCAACTGCACTGGGCTTGTTGGACGGACCTGTTACGATACTGGACATGGGCTTCGCTGGATGGGGTGAGTGAGTGAGTGAGTGAGCAAGCAAGCGAGCGGGCCGGGTGAGCGAGCTCTGCTCCTGCCACCACCACCACCACCACCACCACCGGCGGCGGCAACGAGACGGCACACAACGGTGGAGGTACGTACCGCTGGGTTTTCCGGAAGAGAACTGCAGCGCGACTGGCCAGAGTCCATAACATTGCAAGTCGCCATTAGTGTACCACCCACGGACGGGCGGCGGGCGCGGACATGCACCCACTTTAACCTTCTTTCCTGGCTTCCATTCGTTCTTTCCCTGCATTTATTTTATTTTATTTTTCTTGCACGCCCGTGTCTTCGTCTCTTGTCGCTCACCAATGGGGCAATTTGTTTCCTTCTCCTTCCCTCCCCCCGTTATTGAGCGGTTAAGTATCCGTACTTACCAAACGTACCTACCTACCTACCTAGGGGAGGTGCGGTCCGTCCTCATCCGGCCTGGTGTGACCCTGTTCGTAGCAGTCCTGCTCCTTCCTGCTCTCCCCTCCTGCTCCTGCTCCTGCTCCGGTCCAGCTCCTGCCCCCAGCTCTTCTTTGCTCCAGCTTCGGCTCTTGTGTGTGACATTGAAAGATACGTACCGCTTGGGATTAGGTACATGTACAGGTATTCTTGGCTCGTGCCTATCGTCGCTTATCCCACACCCCTCCCCCCCCCATTCCTGTCTTTCTCCCTCTCACTCCTCTCACCGCACTTTTCCCGCCGAGCAGAATAACATTCGAACCCAGGCGCAAGGCGTCATGTCTGCAATGGCAGTCAGAAGAATCCCGGTGGAAGTAGAAAAAAAGAAGAAGAAGAAAGAAGACGAGTATAATGAAATTCGGAACATGGCAAGACTGACTGACGGAGAAGAAAGACGTGAGAGACTTGGGTGCTTAGACTATGTAAGCAAGCACCTTGGGCATTGGGTCCATCCGTACCATACATAACATACCATACGGTACCGAGTAGCAGATACTCGGTATATCAGTCGGAATGTTATGTTTAGTCCTGAAATGACGGACCAATCATGATGCAGCTCCACGCTGGCCAGCTCATCACCATCACCACCACCACCAGGTTCTCATCCTCGTCCATCTCTCTCTCTCTCTCCCTCGTTCTCGTTCTCCCAATCATACCCTCCTCCCCATTCACCTATCCATCCTATCATCGTCTCTCTTTCTGCCTCTTCCCTCCCACCCCTCTTCTTCCTCTACTTCTTCCTCTTCCAGCCATTCACCGCCCACCGTCCACACCTCATTCTCCATTCATTCATCCCATACACTCACACACCCCCCCTCTACGTACCCCCCCTCTTCAACTTCGAAAACGCACGCACGCACACCACACACACAGATCACACATACCACACACCTCTCATCATCATCATCATCATCATCATCATCGCAAAGTACACACCCCCCTTTCCCTTCCATTCGCCCATCCATCCATCCATCAAACTACCATGTACCACCAGTCCACCACCACCAGTCCACCACCACCACCACCACCGCGTCCACCATCTTCACCCAACACTCTCCATCCCTCTCCTCCCCCATCCCTGCTCGTCTAGCGTGCTCTGTCTTGCCTGTCCCACCGACATTACCAGCTTGCTGTGGAGACGCCGCAAAGCCTCACTTCCATGACTGGACATTCATTGCGCTGCTGATCCTTTCGACTTCTTTAAACCACCGGCTTCGCGCCATCCGCCTTCTCATATCCTCCCACGATCGTCTTCCTATTCGAAGCCACAATCTCCCTGTTCCATCGACTTGCCTCGCCTCGCCTCGCCTTCCAAGTCAAACGTGGAAACCTACTGCTCGCACACATCTTTGGAGTCTCCCAACAGAGAACCAAACACCCCCCCTCCTCTTGGAGAAAAAAAGAGCCTCGGCGGAAGAGACAAAACAAATTTCACCACTGCCGAGCCCATTGTTTCGTCAGACACGACAAGCCAACAAAACTCTTGTCTCGTCTTGCTTGCTTGCTTGTCCACCCCTCGGACAACTATCCCCGTCGAGTTTCCACCATCCTCACTCGGGGGCCCTTGGATGTGTCCAAGAGACAAGAGAACGAGGCTGCACCACCAATCCCGCGCCTGTCACCTCACACTTTGCCCACCCGCCACTGCCGGACACGCACTCCCGTAGTGACTCGGAACGGCCCCGGAATATCACAACCCTGCATCGAGTTGACGCCCATCAAGTTCATTCAACACACCTCGGCACGAACCAAACCCCGCCTGTTCGACGTCTGCTTTAAATCAACATGAGCCATCCTTACCAGAATGTTGAAGAGATACAGCGCCAGATGCACCAGAAGCAACAAGAACTGGCAAACCTCCACAACCTTCTCGTCCAGCAAAATGCACCTGCACCACTCCCTGCCCAGAGCAATCCCATGAGCCTGCTCCCGGTCCAAGGTGACTTCCATGTTGATGCTGCTGCCGCCGCCTTCATTCTACAGCAACAGCAGCAACTGCAGCAACATCAACAGTCAAACGGCGTCTCGCTGGGCCGCCGGGCCACAATACCCAGGAGCAAGTCCAACATGGGCTACTCTGCCGCACCCACGAGGATGATGGTACTGCTCCACCCCCCGTCTTCTACGCCGTGAATCAAGTTCCGTCCGTGCTAACCATCTCCCAGGAGCGCGGCAGTGACGACTCACCGCATCCCGTTAAGCGCGCCAGAGTCATGTCACAGCAGCACCCCCGTGCGGCGCCCATGACGGGCATGGCAAGGAGCGCCTCCCACAGGTCGGAGAAGTCAATCCCCTTTGTCGCAAAGGGTCCTCTGCAGCCCCTCCAGACGTCAAATAACCCAAACACCATGATGGACCGCTTCTACCAAGGCCAAGACGACCCCCACGTCTTGTTCGAGTCGTCTCTGCAGAGCACGCCGTCGAACCGCCGTCATTCCGGCCTCTCGCCAGTGGAAGAACATGCAGCCTTTTTGGACCCCGGCGTTGGTATGAACATCGCCGACTACCTGGCTGCACATGATGAGATACCCTCTCCCGCCATGATCCCCCCTCCCCAGCAGAGCTACCTGAATCCCTACGACGGTCGCAACTCCCAGGCCAGCCTAATCACTTCCGCTTGCCCGTCCATGAGCTCCGGTACCTCTGCCGCCGAGACGATGCCCCTGACGAGGGAGAACAGCTCCCTCGACAACCGCTTCGACAACCAGTCCCTCACTGGCGCCTTCGAGATGGCAAGAATCAACTCGACCCAGTCGCAAGTCGCCGACTACATGACCCCTGACGTGTACGCCGTCCCGCCGACGGGCACTTCGCCCAACGGCAAGCCGGATAGCTTCCTCGCTTACGTCGGGGCCGGCGCCAGCCTCTCGCCGAGATACGGCCAGCAGTCGCCCATGGAAGACCAGTTCCTCTCGCAGGGCTCTTCGATGATGGAGCGTTCCGTCTCCGCCAACAGCACCGCCTCCACCAAGTCTACTACCGAGCGCCGGGCGAAGGAGGCTCGCCTGCAGCAGATTCAGAACGCCCACCGGACCAAGATCTGCCCCAAGCCTTTGGAAGCTGCCAGGCCGTCCCAGTCTGCTGCCGCCGCGAAGAAGGAGGGCAAGGTTGCCGTGTCCAAGGGCACCTACACTCGCCCCAAGCACCCCAAGGTGTTTTGCGACATGTGCAATGAACACCCCGACGGCTTCCGCGGCGATCATGAGTTGCGGAGACACATCAATGCAAAGCACGAGGGCATTGTCAAGAAGTTTGTGTGCCGAGACCCTTCCACGGTCGGCATCCAAACCGGCGTCCAGGCCATCAACCCGCTGTCAAAGTGCAAGCAGTGCGTCGCCCGCAAGCAGTACGGAGCCTACTACAACGCCGCGGCCCACCTCCGCCGCACCCACTTCAAACCCAAGACCCCTCGTGGCAAGAACAAGAGGGGTGACGACGAGGAGAAGCGCGGCGGCAAGGGCGGCGGAGACTGGCCCCCAATGAACGAGCTCAAGCAGTGGATGGAGGAGGTGTTTGTCACTGCCGACGACGAGGCCGCCGAGGCCGAGGCCCAGGAGGAGGACGAGGAGGAGGCCGCCGCCGCCGCCGCCGCCGCCGCCGCCGCACAGTTCGACCCCTCCATGTCAATGGACCTGTCCATCGGGCATATGGGCGAGAACATGACGTACGACATGGGTGGTTTCACGACTTCCTACCACATGCCCGAACTTGCGGCTATCGATACGTCTCAGGCCCCCTACCTGGCCGTCTCCAACATGCCGCTCTCATCGGCATCGGAAGCTTTCGCCTTTTCGCCTTTTACTCAGCACTCGCCAATGAACGGCCTGTCGCACGAGCCAGCCTTTTCCATCTCGTCTTCAAACACGGTAACACCAACCACCTTCCAAGACCCACTCGCTGAAGGCTTCGACGGTTACGTCGCTTACTGATTGGAACGTCTTGCATCTCCTCAATCCGATCCTCTTGGTTATGGACCGTTTTTCTTCCTCTTTCTCTTCGTGTTGCATTCCGCCCCTGATTGTGGCTCGGATCACCGTTAGGCAGCGCTTAGGCACCCATTGGGCCGACTGCACACCCTTTGCATGACGCGAAGCCTGCCCAACACCCTGTCCACCAACATGCGATCTGCAAGACCAAGCAAAATTGAAAAAAGAAAAAGAAGAAAAAAAAAACACCGACAAAGACGAGAAGAAAAACCCCGAAAAAAGGAGGCTCTCTCTTCTCTCCTACTGGGTCAATGTTATGACATCATGCTCAGTACGCAAGATGGGTTGCTGGATGGCGGCTTGGTGGGAACACGGATGTACTGCATCTACTCAGTCGGCCCATTTCCTGCCCCCCCCCGTTTGTTGTTTACCCGAATGTTTTCTCTGTTTCCTTATTGTGTTTGAGAGTAGGTGGCGATAGGTTTTATATGGGTCAGTGAAGTGCGATGACAGCACTCTACGCCTCTCCATGATGCTTCGAGAGTGTAGCCTGGGTTGGAAAGAAGCTGTACATAGGACGCAAAGTCCTCAGTTACCAAAAGGGCGCTGTGGGTCACGGGATGGGCATGTCACTCCTGACATGAACTGTACAGGCGTTTTCTCTCTCCGCAAGGAGGATTGTTTTTTAGAAGATTTTGACGGGGTTTTTTTTTTTTTTTTTGCAAGGTGTTGGGGATATGGTATGTCTTGTTCCCGGTCTGATTTGGGCCTGGAAGATGGGAGGGGCTTGGGCTGCCCTGCGGCACAGGCATGTATGGTATGTATATACACAGGACCACGAGGTCGGTTGGGTAAAGCGCACTGCGTTGGATAGCGAAAGGACTCGAGTAATGTCCCGAAGAGTGTATAGCACAAACAAGAATCGGGTGTTCAGCGCCCGAGAGGTCGCCAACGGTATCAGCTTCTGAATTCGGCCTAGTGAAAGTGTATATCGGGCGCGTGACTCGGTGCAGTGTAGAGGGGAAGTGTAGAGTTTCCAGGCTCCCCGACTCTCATCCAAAGCCTGCAAAGCATCACCTCCGGGCCCCGAGTGCCGAACCCGAACCCCCCTTCCCACCCTCCGGGCTCCTGCGTCATCCTCATTGCTCGGGGTAGTTGGCCAAACATGGTGACCGCAGAGCTAATGTTTGGGGGAGACTGGGTAGTGGTCAGGGACTATACTAGGGGGGTTTTCTCCGGAGCGGTGACGGCAGCGTGGAGCCACACCAAGGGGGGTAGAACTCGTCCGCATGAATGCACCCGACGGTTGGCCTTTTGACGAATGCGAGCATGAGTGTTGTGCATTACATACATACACATCGCCAGCGTCCCTCCCCATCCTCCATCTTCCCCCACCCATCCGGACCACCTCTCTCCCCCGGATCCGAAGGGGACCAAGGTCCCTCGAGAAAAGCCGGAGCCATTTAGGCCTAAGCCAAGGGGGGCCATCGGGGAAAAAGTCCGCAAATAACACGGATGGATACCCGCACCTACATTGTATAATATTTGTCGCCCGTGGCCCCCTCCCCCGATGGGGAGCGGGGGGCCGGGCGGGCGCGGCATTAAAGCCAAGAGCAAATAACGGGCGGTCAAAGACTTTGTTGGTTTTTTCTTCGGTAGCGAGATGGAGATGTCGCGTCCTCGGATCCCTCTTGTGTGTGCCATGGCGATCGAGGTGGACAGAACCGGGCCAATCGCGTGGGCGAACGTGGCCGTCTTTCCTGATTTTATTTTTATATATATATATTTTTTTAATCTTTTGTTCTCTCTCTCCAGAGTCAGATTTGATTCGAACAACCCGGCGAGTCTGGACCATCCCTTTCTTTACCGAATCCCACTTCGGAGGGGGAACTTGGGCGCTTCGGGGACCATGGTACGGCCGGTTCGGTATGCACTGGACCCCCCCCGTCCCCTTTGCTACCTTCGTCCGGCAGATGGTTTTTGTAGAGCGGAACTGGGACCGGGAGCTGGAAAACCCATGTGCTCCGTTTCTATTCATGGTTCTTTTCTTCCGCGCTTGACGAGGCCCCGCAACTGGATATCTGACCCCCCCGTTTTGTTTGTATTAAGTCATTAAGTAGTTGAGACATGTCTATTTTGCTATATCGCTTCTTGTGTACAAGTTTTTTTCTTCTTCTTTTGTCCTGTGCACTATTGGCCCTCCCCAGGCATAGTACCATTAATTACTCTCTCACACCCGGCTTGCGGCCCCCCTTGCCCACCCGCAACCAAAGACGCTGTTCGATGGCTCTTGGTGCTGACGTTTACATCCGCGTTAATGCTCGCTTTATTGAGGATTGAGAAACCCCCCCACCCACTTCCCCCTCCAACGCGCGGCAATTGCCGACGATGGTCAACGGTCGTCTGACGTTGTGTGTTTCGAGGTTTTGCAGGAGCAGAGAGGAGGCTTGTAGTGTTTGGGAGTAACCAGACACGGCCGCCGGGGTTCTAAATGTTAGCTTGTTACAAGCCCCGCTTACACGTATACGTATAGTATAAACACGCACACTGTATTCCTATGAAGCGTGTAGCAAGTCCTTTTACATCTAAACCAAGTCGGTCTAGAGATACACCTAAGAGATCAAGTGACTCTATAGAGGTATCTTTCCTGTAAGATCTAGGAGAAAACCAACCGTTTTGTGGTTTTCTGAGTCATTTCACCACGCTAACATTTAAGACCCTGGCAATGTCCCCATAGTTAAACTGACAGTGGGTCCGCCTGATAACGAGGATACAGGTTAGGGTAATACTGTAGTGTAGGGTGGGTTTAGGATTTTGGTTAAGATTCGGTTTAGGGTTAGCGTGGGATTAGTTATGGTACGGAATATGGTGTCTATCCGGCTATTAGAGTAGACTTAATGTCAGATTAACTAGGGGACATTATCAGCTTATGCGTATACTCTGGCAAGTCTTATAAGACTAGCTAGCCGTGAGGAACTGTCTAGGAAGATAGGGATGAGTGACCAGAGAGTGCAAGTTCGTACTGTTTAGTTTGACACTGCTTAACCAAAAGCAGCTTGTGCATCATCAAAACATTGCGTTCTACCGCCACTAGCGAAATGAGACGGTCAGTTACGACAGTGAAGTAGGAGTAGCCCTTTGCCATTCATCACTTTGTTGTTGGGTTTGGCGTTGCAGTGATGCTTGCTGGTCCTTATCAGCGACCAACTTATTGTACGGACATTCTGTAACGCCGGAATGAGAGATAAGGGTGATGGACGAGTTAGGAAATCCCGTACTTAGCGGAACACGCGCCTCCCGCGCTCGGAACCATTCCATTTTATCAACACCCACATCGCTCCATGATTCCGACCACTTCCGCTGGTCTATATTCTCCCGCCGCTAGAAATCGCCGAGATTCGGCCTGCATGCGCAAAAATGACCCCGCAACCCGACGCGATGGAAGCCGTGACGCCGCAATGGACGGTGGCAAGCTCCGCAACGGCCCAGAAGCGCGCCGCTCCGGGGTCTGCTTCGGGCGAGAGCCAGAGGTCCAAACGGGCAAAATATACCCCTGTAGCGTGGTATGGCGATGCATCTGCCATTGATTGATGCAGTATTTGGCTTATAGGTGCGACGGCTAACTAGACGGACCATAGCAACGAATGTAAGAGGCGGAAGCTCAAGTGCATCAAGGAAGACAGCTGGTCGGCTTGCCGGCGATGTCTCATGAGCGGGGGCGAGTGCGTCTTTGCCCCGGGCCCGCAACAGACGCCGATGAGAGAACGCGGGCTCACGCATGAGAGGGACGAGCCCATCACCCCGTACAATGGTCGCAGCGCCGCCGCAGAGAACCATCCCGCGTTGATCGCGCCCGCCAGCTCCCAGTTCAAGAAACTCAGCGACGAGGTCGCCGTCCTCCGGGAGCAGGTCGCCAAGCTGACGTCGTCCCTCAGGGAACTCACCGGCAAGATCGCCCACGTCAGTACGCGGTCGCCGGCGGCCCTCGGCGGCCCTACGCTGCCGAGCCCTCTGTACGCGAGCGAGTCGGCCCGCCGGCCCAGCGAGCCGAGGGAGCCTCAGTTCGTCGGCCCCACGAGGTCCGCCTACAGCCTCCGCATAGCCGAGTCGTCCCTCTTACGCGTGCCCGTCCAAGCGCGCGACGCCTCGCCGCCGAGCGGGTCCGCGTCTCCCGCGGCCTCGGCGGGGGCGCCGTCCGAGGTCGCAGACCGCCACGCGGTATCTTCGTCGGCCCAAAAGGACCCGGACCCGGACCCGGACCCTCTCCTGACCTTGGGATTCGACGAGGTTGTCCGGCTGCTCGATGTCTATCAAGAAGAAATCGAGTCGGTCTACCCTTTTAGCGACATTAAAGACATTCTGGCCCACCTGCCGCGTATCCTCGACTACGCCAGGGACCCGCACAGCCAGTCTGTCGAGGACCGTCCCCAAATCGAGCTCAAAGACGTTCAAATCGTCAAAGTCGCCATCGCCACGTCGATAGTGATGGATGCCCAGGGGCAGAATGCCACCAGCACGAAACTCATTGACTCGGTGGAGCCCGTTGTCTGCCGCGTTTCCGGTGATGCTTTCATAGACTTGAAAGAACTGCAAATCATGACCATGCTGGTGAGACCCGACACGAGAGTCCCTTGCACGAGTGTGGCTTGATTTCCTCTTACAGCCTGCGACTGACCACGCCTAGAGCATCTACTGGTTCCACTGCGGCGAGGAACTGCTAGCTTGGAGGTCCATTGGTATCTCGGGGCGAGAAGTCCTGGAAATGGGGCTAAATCGGCGAGCCATCCTCATGGAGAACTTCAAAGACCCCGAGGAGAGAGAGCGGGCTTTGCGGTGCTTCTGGTGCGTCTATGTTCTGGACCGTCGCTGGAGCTTCGGTACAAGCTTGTCGTTCGCAATCGTTGACAGCGACGTCGACCCCGAGTTGCCCGAGCCAGTGAGTTCACGCCGCTCTGTGCATCAGCGCCGCCGCTGTCAACGGGACAACTGACAGACCCGCTACAGGGAGACGAGTATCCATACCTTCGGTGTATGATCGCGTATGGGAGGCTCTGTTCCAAAGTCTGGGAGGCACTTCCACCGTTCGAGTCGCCGTCGCAGTTCATCCCCAGGGACACCGTGGCGTTCCTGGACTTCATGACGCTGAACTGGCTCGGCGCGATACCCGCAGACCTGCAACTTCGCCATCCGAGACTGGGCCTTGCCCCCAGGGCCCAGCCACGCAGCATGCATCGCCTGCGGACCCTCCTCTACCTCCGTGGCAACCAGATGCGGATGCTCATCCACCGGCACCACGTCCTCAGCACCGCCAGCATCAAGGCGGACATGCAGAGCGCAAAGCTCGTGACTGAAATTGCGCTGGACTCGATCCAGGTGCTCGTCCACCTGAACGACACGAGCGACATATACGCGCGGCAGCAGAACGCGTTCAACTACTTCCTCATGAGCGCACTGGTCGTGATCCTCCTGGCCGTGTGCCACGCGCCAGGCGTCTTCACGGAACCGTGCAAGGAACCCTTTTTGAAGGCCGTCCAGCTTGTCAAGGGCTTCTCCCGCCACGGCCATGCAAGCCGGAGGTTGTGGAAAACCATCCGCAGCCTCCTCCCCAGCGTCAAGTCGCTGGGCCTGCGGAGCGATCCGGACAAGGGTGACGGCCCGCCGCCGCCGGCGGCGGTGGCGGCGGCGGGGGGAAACGGCGACGACGGCCCGGCAGACGCAAGGCCGGACGAGGCGGCCCAAGACGCCGCCAACCAAGACGAGCGGGAAGAGAGGCGGGCGGAAAGCCAGTGGGACGCCCATTACGCGAGTCATGATGCGGATGGTTCGATACCGGACATGTTCACAATGGGAAACGACTTGTTGGACCTCTTCGACGCGTTCGGACACGTGAATGCGGGCCATCCGACACCATCGGATTTTCCCGTAGGATTCTTCGGGGCCATTGAGCATGGCATACCGCATGGCGGCCCAGAGGAGATTTCACGACGGTTCCAAGGGCTCATATGAATGACAAGGCCAATCACCCTCCGAGTGTTTTGAGATATAGAGTGTGGTACTATTCAAAAGCTGTCTAAAAAAAAAAAAAGAAGCGGATTCAGACACCCACAGAAACAGAGACGCCGTCCACTAAGTTGCTACCGACAACTGGCACCTTGAACTTCTTCTTGCCAAAAGAGAGGTAGTAGGCAACACCAAAGAACAGCCATCCCGCCATTACGACGACGGAATAGTTCATGTTCTGTGGCGTGACAGGCATCGCCGAGGGGAAGGTGCTGAAGACGATGACGACGGTCATCCATATCAGACTGATGACGTTCAGGACAGGACCCAGCACCGGGCCCAACCTGAAAGGGCCGTAATCGGAACGGCTCAAGTTCTTCCTCCCATAGGCCAGCATGTAGACGATGGGCAAGATGTAGCTAGCGTACATGCCGATGATGGACATCGACAAGATGGCGTTGAAGGCCGTCGTGTTGCCGAGGTAGATGAAGCCCAGCAGCATCTGCAGGACGGTCACGAGGACGACCGACTGCACCGGGATCCGCTGGCGCTTGTTGACCCTGCTCAGGTGGCGGTCGTAGGGCGTGGCCCTGTCGCGGGCGAACGCCCACAGCGTCCGCGAGGTGGACGTGATGCCGGCCACGGTGGCCGCGACGGCGGTGAGGACGATCATGACGGACAGCACCGTCGCGGCGGCGGGGGACCTGGTCACGTCGAGGAAGATCTGCATGAACGGGAAGCCGGTCGGGGTCGTGAGGAGCGCCTCGAGGGGGCCCGTGGAGAAGAGCAGCACGGTGCCGAACACGAGGCCCATGAGGCCGTTGACGACGACGCTGCCGACCATGGCGATGGGAACGTTCCGGCTTGCGTTGGGCATCTCCTCGGCCAGATGGCACGCCGCGTCATAGCTACACAGGGTCGTCCGTGAGAAAGCATATACGAGAATATTGGGGGCCAGGGGGGCATCTTACCCGAGAAAGGGGTAGACTGCACTGATGAGCCCGACAAGCCACGAAACGCCGTCACTGTCCCACCCGCTGGAGTTGACGAATTCCGTGAACACGAACGACGCGGTGTTTTTGGGTGCCATGACGCCGAGCACGATGAGAATGACTAGGAAGCCGAGGCCGTGGAGAACACCTAGGTATGCGTACACACATGGTCAACGAGCCGGACTTCGGAGGGAGGGGGACGAGACAGGGCAGCTCACCGGAAACCAGGTTTGCCGTCGGCAGAAGCCTGTGGCCCCAGATGTTCACAGCCATGGCGTACACCAGGATGGCCCAGTAGAAAAGCATGCCTTGCCAGCGTGCCGGGATATAAGAGCCGTCGTTGATGATGATGAGGGCCTGGGTCTGGAGGCCGGCCGCGAACGCGGCGGACGAGGTCAAGATGACTTGGCCACCGACGGAGATCCAGCCGGTTGCGAATGCGGCCGCGGAGCGAGTCGATGCTGGGCATAGTGCTGCAACCCAGTGGTATTGGCCTGGACAAAGGAAAAAGGAAACCCCATTAGTTGTCAAGCTTTCTTCCCTGGCACCAAAGTCTCGAAAGAAGAAAAGCACTCGCCCCCCTGAGTTCGAAGCTGAAGGAGGCCCCCTGTGATGGGCTTACTTACCTCCGGCAGTTGGGTATATAGAAGCAATCTCCCCGAGCGACGAGGCGATGCAAACGGTGCAAAGGGTTGAAAGGATGCTGATGACGCCGCGTCAGTCTCGCCGCTTTGCAAACAACCCCATGAAGCGGCCATCGTCCGAATTGAAAACCTACAGGTTGTAAAACAGGCAAGGTGCGCCGCCGCTGACTAGAGCCGGTGCAACGACAGTTGACAGAGCTTCCCAAGTTGCCATGAGGCAGAGACACAACGCTCCAAGGGCGGGCAGGGAGAAGCGTCTCTCCAGCTCCTGCGCGTGCCCGAGCTGGGCGAGTCGGTAGTCGTCGTCGCCGCCATCGGCAACGTCTTGGTGAGAGTCGACCTTGGCAAGAGTCTCGGCGTCTTTCTTCATGTCGTTGCTCATTGTGTCAAGAAAAGTCTGGTTCTGCAGTCCCAAACTGGTTCGAACATACAGAGTCCATCCCTGTGTATCAGGCGTTTCCCCCGAGTTATGTACGCCATGACTACTACATACGACGTAACTGCATGCTCGACCTTATCATTTGGATTATCACAAGTTTCCAAGCATTGCAGTGGCAAGCCCTCCTCCCCCCCCCCCCCCCCCCCCGGAACGGAGACAACGTTCTATCACGACAGTTATTACTGTTGGCATCCCGGTGCCTTATCTTGGGCGGTTAGATCCAATCAGGAACGGCATCATAATCAGCGACCAATCGAATGAGCGGATATGACAAGCCTACAGACGTGGGTTTCTTAACTTGACTTTCGTAGACTCTTTTCCCACGCTGGGGGGGGTAAGAGATAAGAACGATGGGTCGCGAGTGATCCTTGTCTTTGAAGGGGTCCCATGGTTCCGAGCTGTTCCGCCGGCAGTACTCGGAACTGGAACCGTTTCCGATCTCGCGTCGGCTCAAGTTCGCAGAATGGCTGTCCAAGCGTCCAATATAGAAGCCGATGAGTTGAACGCTCGAGTCATGGACACTCACGCTTCCAAGCTTTCATAAACACAAGCATTGCTCATTATCGAGATTCACACCCACGACGTTGCCTGTCACCTCATCAGCGTCCGTCTTATTCACAATGGCATCAATTCCGCACCCCTTGTCCGCACTATCTCTCGAAGAGACCAACCAAGCCCGAGACATTATCCTCGCAGCCCACGATGGATCCGTCCTTGACTTTAGACAAATTTATGTTTGGGAACCACCAAAGGCCGAGGTCTTGGAATTCCTGGACCTCGAGCACTCTGGAAAACTCACGGCTTCATCACCGAGACCAGCGAGATGCGCACAGGTCTTTTACGACGTCATTGGCGGTGCCAGCAAAGCACAGTACACCGAGTCCATCGTGGACCTCGGCCAGGGTAAGATCGTAGACCAGAAGGTCATTGGTTCCGAGCACCAGGCAAGCTTGGCAGTGTATGCCCGCCCTCCCCCGACGTACCCGCGTCTTGCGATTCGTGTGTGTTGACGTGCATGGGCGGCCCAGATTCGAGTTTGAGACCCTTGCTCAGGTTGTCGAGAGCTCCGCCCTCTTCAAGGAGAAGATGGCGGAGCTCAAGCTGCCAGAGGGCTTCGAGGTGGTCATCGAACCCTGGCCCTACGGCGGCCCCGATCCAGCGGACGGGGACAAGCGCTTCTTCCAGGCCCTCATCTTCGCGCGGGACACGAGGAGCGGCAACCCGGACTCCAACTTCTACGCCTACCCCCTGCCCCTGATCCCCATCATGGACGCGCACACCAAGGAGGTTGTGCGCATCGAAGAGCTCGCCACTGGCGGCAAGGGCGAAGCTTACAAGGGTAAGACGCACGCGGCTACTGTCGTCGACCACTGCAAGGCAAGCGAGTACGTGCCAGAGCTGTTGCCGAACGGTACGCGCAAGGATCTCAAGCCCTTGACCGTGGCCCAGCCCGAAGGACCCAGTTTCTCCGTCACGGACGGCAACCTCATCCAGTGGCAGAAGTGGCGCATGCGTGTCACCTTCAACCCTCGCGAGGGCGCTGTTGTGCATGACATTCGATACGATGGCCGTCCGGTACTGTACCGTTTGAGCATGAGTGACATGGTGAGCCTTTATCTTCTCCTCCGCTGTGGAGTCCTTGAGGGAGGGACCGAGTTCTGACCTTCTTTTTGTCCTAGACTGTGCCATATGCAGACCCTCGCCCGCCATTCCACCGTAAGCAGGCATTCGACTTTGGTGACGGTGCTCTCGGCAACTGTGTCAACAACCTGACTCTCGGCTGCGACTGCCTCGGTGTCATCAAGGTGATATCCCACAACGAGGTTATCTCACCTGGTTTTCGATGCTAACAATAGGGAATTACAGTATTTCGACGGAATTCTCACGGATGCCAAGGGTGTTGCCACTGAGAGCAAGAACGTCATCTGCCTCCACGAGCAGGACAACGGCATCAACTGGAAGCACACCAACTGGCGTACCGGCCGCGCCGTCGTCACTCGTCGCCGCGAGCTCGTTATCCAGTTCATCATCACGCTCGCCAACTACGAGTACATCTTCAACTACAAGTTCGACCAGGCGGCCGGCATCGTCGTCGAGGCCCGCGCCACCGGCATCGTGTCGGTCGTCAACATCGACCCCGGCAAGACGGCGCCCTGGGGCAACGTGGTCAGCCCCGGCGCCCTGGCGCAGAACCACCAGCACGTCTTCTGCGTGCGCATCGACCCCGCCATCGACGGCAACGAGAACACGGTCGTGCAGGAGGAGAGCCTGCCCCTGAGGATGGACCGGCGGACGAACCCCAACGGCAACCTGTACGAGGTCAGGCAGACGCCCATCACCACGTCGGGCGGCTTCGACGCGGCGCCGATGAGCAACCGCGTCTTCAAGATCCAGAACCTGAAGAAGACGAACCCAGTCAGCGGGAAGCCCGTCGGGTACAAGATCACCCCGCCCCCGACGCAGCTGCTGCTCGCAGACCCCAACGGCATCCAGTCCAAGCGCGCGCTGTTCGCGCGCCACCACCTCTGGGTGACCAAGTACAAGGACCACGAGCTCTACGCCGGCGGCCGGTACACTCTGCAGAGCAGGCTCGAGGTCGGGGGCGTCCGGGACGCCGCTGACAGGAACGACGACGTCCTGGACCAGGACGTCGTGGTCTGGAGCGTCTTTGGGCTGACGCATAACCCCCGTGTTGAGGACTGGCCCGTAATGTCAGTTTCAACCCCCCCCCCCCCCCCCTACACACACACACACACATCCTTCTCTGACTGTATATCATCGAGTCTCCCCGCTAACGAAAAACTCTCCTTAGGCCCGTCGAGATGTTGCAGCTGCACATTTCGCCTTCTGATTTCTTCACCGGCAACCCGGCCCTCGATGTTCCCTCGAACAAGGACATTGGTTCTCAGCTGACATCGGGCAACCAGAGCTGCTGTGCTGAGCAAGAGCTCCCCACTCGGAGCAACTTATAGAAGAACCGATTGGAGTATTATCTGTCATTTTCTTTCATAGCAGCGTGGGCATGTGGAATGTATATAGCGATTGCAATGTATTTATAGCGATGAATTAAGACAAGTGATGGGATCTAGATAAGATACCCCTGTTATCAGCTTAAATCGGCACACAGTAGCTCAGGTGATTTCACACCAAGCTAATAACAGCTTATGTATGGTTGCGGAGGGGGGAGGCAGGCTTCATGCATCTGCTCAGGGTTGTCTCATTTCGAAGAATTGGGACTCCCGGACTCGACGGGCCCTGGCTCACACCTTTGTCAGTCTGCAAACATCAACCGAGACAGCACGCTAGACATATCACAATATATCGGATCGTCAAGCCTTATTGGGAACGTGTGAAGAACCGCAGCGTCTGTTAAAAGAGCCCTATGGGACAATCCAGGGTAGAAATACCCATTTGAAGTGTGTGGTAAGGGACATCTGTCGCGAGTAAAACTGCCGAGAGCGCTGACTGGTCAGTTTTCTTTCCGAAAACCGCAAACAGGCAAACCATCCCCATCAAAACCATTGGAACGACCAATTTCTTTCCGGTGGGCTTGCCACTTGGAATGAACCCCCCCTAGCCCGATGAGCTACACTGCATGGGAAGGCAATCTGGCTGTGGTGGCGTGGTAGTGATATTTCCCGGGGACTCTGCAAACGCACACTGGATCGCCTGTGATTAGTGACACTCTCATAACTGAGGAGTTAAATAGAGGCAGCATTCACATCCGACAGAGTTTGGCCTCAATGTTTTAGGTAGCCTTTGAAATCTTATTCTTCTCGCCATTTCTTTTCTTGCAATTTGCGTTGAGAATCATTGTTTCAAGGCCCAAGCAAACTTCAATTAGGCGACAGACTGAGCAATCAACAGGTTCCTAAGGGAGGCTCGTGACGAGCCGATCATGCGGGCGGCGTCGCTTTTAACGCTTCTTCCATCTCTCTTGTCCATATGCCTCGCGCAAGAAGCTGCAGGGTACCCTCCATGTGCAGTAAGAAGCATATTTTCGACTTTGCTTATGAGGCTTCTGTTAACAACCATAGTTGCGTTGCATTCTGCAGGCCCTCCCACAGACGACATGCGCTGCAACAAACCAGACATGCCTTTGCCATGACTCGACATTGTCCAGACTGGTAGAACCTTGCATCAGTGCGGGCTGCACGATCAAGGAAGCTTTAGGTTCATGTCCTCCATAATTTGACAGGCCGAGAACAAACATGCGCCTAACAGCCTACCAGTGACGGCAAACATCACATCGAAAAGCTGCGGCTTTCCCGAGGGCGATGATTCTGCAAGAGCCACGCTTGCTAGCCTCAACCTGCTCACCATACTACCCACAGTATCTATAATTCTACGCATGAAAGTCAAAATCCGAAGATGGTCGGCGTGGGGGGCTGACGATTCCACTATCGTGGCAGCTTATGTAAGGCATAGCATTCCTCGACGTTGACCAGAGGAAAGCTGATCCCGGATCCGAGGTCCTTATGCTTACCTTTGTTCCAATAAACATTCTCCGTAGGTGTTATCTTGCAATACGGAGCAGGAACAGGGTTCTGCGAGAATGTTGCTGACAGGTCTCTCTTTGCAGTCGAGAGGAACGGGCAGGGAAGAAACCTTTGGACTTTTTCTTTCGATCAAGTGGACAGGTTTTTCTTGGTATTGCCATCCACTATGGACCTTTTTTACTCATCGATGGAGGCGAATTCTGACCGAAACATTATAGATCTACTACATCAGCCAACCCGTCTACTATGCATCATTGGCACTGATCAAAGCATCAATCTTGCTCCTGCTTCTGCGAATATTCCCTGGTGGCGGAATTCGACTGACGCTATGGGGCACTCAAGCTGTCAACTTGATTATTTGTGTTGGTATACGGTAGGTATGCTTTGGGGGAGGTGGTCACGTGATATTCACGTAACACACCGCCTCCCTTGGCAGTATCCACCTCACTACTAGTATACCACCTAAAAGTCTAGATTTACTTTATAACTAATAAAAATATAATAAGTAATAACTATATTCTATATTATAATTTATTATATAATCTATAGGATATCCCTCTTATGTAATTTAACTAATACTAATTAGTATGTAATTAAATTATAAGATTACTACTATTAAATAGATTAGTAAGGTTTATTTTACTAGGAGTAAAGAGGATTAACTAGCCTATTAGTAAATAATCCTTTATAAATTTAACCTTTATTATTATTACCTCCTTACTCCCTTACTCTATATTAACTAAATTCTTATTAATAATAAACAAAAAGGGGAAAAATAGAAAGCTACTGCTAGTAACAGTAGGGCTATTAAACTAATAAATAATAAATATCTATCCCTCTTTATATCCTCTACTATTACTATTATTACTATCCTACCTCCTATAGCCTCTCCCTCTTTTACTTACCTTTATTTACTATATTAATCTAATAATATAAGGTAACTATATTAACTTTAATCTTAATAAGTTAGACCTTTATAAAGTTAGATTATATATAATATATATAATTACTATATAGTTAGATACTAACCTCTATAGCTACTAACTTCTTACTGCTTTCTAGTTAGATTTTATAAATTAGACTATTACTACCTTTAACGCTATAAGCACTAAGGTATTATTAACATTTTATAATTACCTTATTAATAATAAAGTCTTTATTAATTTAGTAAAAGAAAGGATTATACCTAAATTAGTAGACCTTCTTAATACTAATTTCTATATATAGACTAAAGAAGATATTACTTTTTATATGCTATAAATAGCCTATCTTTAACTTATAAAATAAAGAATCCTAAATTTATTAATAATATTACTAGTTAATATATCTTACCTAAGGAGAGATTAATAATTAATTAGGCCTTATCTACTACTTTTTTAATATTATTATAAATAATAGCTAATACTACTTTATAAAGGTAGCTAACCTTATTTACCTTAACTTATTTACTAACAGTAGATTATTACTAGCTAAAGTAGAAGTAAAAAATAGCCTAACCTTACTTTTATAATAAGATAAAATCTACTAAGCACTTACTAATCTAAACCTAGTACTTAGAGGTAATATAAGCACTTTATTTATTAATACCTTATTATATAACCTAAGAACCTCTTACCCTTATTACTATTATTATAACTAGTATAGTAAGTAATTAGGTAGTTAGCCTATTATAATAGATAAGGTAAATCCTTAGTAAGATATACTATTTAATTTATTAAATAACCCTAAGCCTACTACTAACCTCTTACTTTAGGGCACTATATAGAGATTTTAATTATAAAGCTATAATAAGTTATAACGTTAGCTACTATATAAATCTAAATTTATACTTATTTCTTTTTTCTAACTATACCCCTATTAACTAACTAATCTTATAAAGCTACTAATAGATAAAACTAAGTATAGTAGTAAGTTATATAACGTTCTTAATCTTAAGTTAAGTATCTTTTAAAATAACTATAGTAAGGTTAGGATTAAGTAATACTAACTTAGTCTTACTTTTTTTATTATATTAAAAAGTAAGGTATCCTAGTTCTATATTAATTATATTTATAGTAATAGTATTTATAATTTTAATAAGATAGTTAACTAAATTTATAACTACTTTAAGATATAGGAATAAATATAGACTTACCTATTTAAATAATAAGAAATAACACTTCCTTAAGTTATATATAATAATCCTATAATAACTAAGATCTAAGCCCTTAAGAAGCTTATCTTAAAGCTAGCCCTTATTTAATAGGCTCTCCCTTTATTATACTAAAATAATAAGGTGTTAAGAAGTTAGTTACTAAATGCCTACTCTAAGGTTCCTAAGTGTAACCTTTACTTATACGCTCTAGCTATAATATTAAAAGAAGTATATAGCTAATTATAGTTATCTATTAGTACTACTATAAGGCGCCCTTACTATAGCTAGTACCTTACTAAATCCTTACCCTTATTACCTAATAATTAATTTTAAGTAGACTATACTTACTAAGGCTAAAGCTATTATTAATAGTTTAGTAATAACTATAGTAGTAGTAATTTTTATAATAGTAATAATAATAATAGTAGCTATAATACTAAAAAAGTGTTATATTTACTATAAGCCTAGCTACTAGTTAATAAAGCATACTACTAATAAAAGACATAAAGCGTACTAGTAATTTAAAAGTAACTATTATATTAAAAATACCTTACTAACTATATATAACACCTTCCTTACTAGCTATAAAGGCACCTATTTATAAGAAGAAAAAAATAAAGATAGTAATAATAATAAGGATTTTTAGTAGTATCTCTAAGGGGCCTACTTTATTATTAGTAATAATAAAGAATAAGATAATAGTGTATTTTATACTTTAACTATATTCTTTAGTAACACTAAAGTAGATAGTAACGCGCTTACTACTAACCTTACTAACTAAGTTATTTATTACTAATTAATAAAAATTAACCTTAATAGTACTTTTACTAAGTTACCTAGTACCTTTATACTAAATTATTACTTATTAGCTACCTTTTAAGGTATTTTATTAAATATAAGCGTAGTAAGTTACTTAACTATAGGCTACTTATAAGTTATTATACTATAGTAAATTTAACTATTTATAACTATTAACACTATAGCTATAGGTAAAGTAAAGATTAGGTTTAGTAATAGTAATACTATTACTTTATAAGGCACTATTATAGTAAAGACTCCCCTTAGGTATATTACTTTTTATATAATACCTACTAATATACCTTTCTTACTTTACTTAGCTAATATAGATTAGCTATTAATTTAATTTAATAACCTTATAAATACTTTTTAATAAGGTAAACTTATAGTACTAGTTATATAAAAATAAGGCTACTTATAAATACTACTTAGCCTGCTTAAGTAAAGCCTTATAAGTTATTACCTAACTAACGTTAAGCTATACTACCTTTATTAATAGTTTAGCTATTTATTAATTTACTAGCTATATAAGATCCTTTATAAGGCTAGCTATAAGGTTAAAATAAAAGTAATTAAACACTTAATAAAGTACTATTATTATTACTAGATCTATAAAAAGGCTTCTTTTTAATTCTAATTTACCTTATATAATAACTATTTATTTAATTATAAAGTTATTATTAATATTATATACCTTAATAGTAACTTTATACTTTATATTATTAATACTACTACTACCTTTAATATAGCTTACTTTTTCTATAATATTTTAGTAAAAACTATATAGGAGGCACTATATTACTACTAGATTAACGTCTACTAAGGACCTCTAGATTAAATTATTACTAACATAAGGTAGAACTTTATCTTAACTAAATTTTTATATAAAGCCTATATAATAGGCGTTAAAGTTAAAATTATCCTTATTAAAGCGTATTATAACGTTAAGAAGGTTAAAAAATACTATACTATACTTTAATAGGTATATAAAATAATCTAAAAAGAATACCTATCTATTAACTATAAAGCAGTACTTTAAAGCGCTACTAAAGTAGTTAATAATACTACTAGCCTAAATAGCCTTATACCTACTTTATTAGTATTTAGTGCTTACCCCTATATAACTACTAACTTTACTCCTTTACTTAAGATAATTTAATATATAATAGCTATTTATAAGGTAACTAAAGATCTTTATAAATATAATATAATATAGTAAATTAATAAGGCTCTTACTACTTATAACAGCCTAAATACTTTTATAATAAAAAATCTACTTTTAGGTAGTAACGTCTATATCTAGTATAAAAAAAGAGGTTAGTCTAGCCTATATAAGTTACTTACTACTTAAGGTAAAGACTTTACTATTAATATTAATAGCCTTTATATTTTCTAATCTATATTAGTTAAGCTATACTATATAGTAGATAATAAAGAAGGAGGCTTAGCTAAGTAATGTCCCCTATCTATCTTAAATAATAATAGTAGTTATAGTAATAAGCCTACTAAAGATACTATTATTATTATAACTAGTTTAGGGCAGTAGCTATATACTAATAATCCTACTATTACGTAACCTTAATAAGCTAGGAAAATCCCTATAAGATACACTTTACTATAAGAGACTAATATACCTTATACTACCTTCCTCTTAGTAAAAAAAGAAGCCTATTAAACCCTTATAATCTAATTATATAAAAAAGGCGTTATTATAGCACCTAGCAAGCTATTTAAGTAATTAGTAGCTACTAAGATTAACAGCCTTATTATATAAAGCGTCTTTAAATTTACTATAATTAACTAACTTTAGCTATATAAGTAAATTTTTAAATTATAAATTATAAATAAGGTAAAAAGCACTAATAAGAAGCCTTATAAGAAATTATACCTTATTATTTAAGGCTATACTAATAATAATAAGGAGGCTATTCTTACTTAGTTACTTACTATCTAGTAAGCTAGCTAGTAGCTTATCCTTACACTAGCCTTTTCCTTTTTTATTAATAGTAAAGTTATATAGCTATATAATATTACGTAGACCTATATTTAATCTACTTCCTACCTTAACTATACTATTTACACTAAACTCCTAGCCTAAATCTATTATAAGTACCTTAATAATACTATTATAAAGGTTATTAAGCCTCTATATAAGATTACTAAAGTAGGTATATACTAGTAGGCTACTTATAACTATTACTATAAGGAGAATCTCTAGATAGTCTTTACTATATATAACCCTTACTTTCTCTTATTATCTAGTAAAAATTTATACTTTATACTTATTAGTATATAAATAGATAATACTATTAGCTTAATAAACCTTTTATTTTCTAACTAAGAGAATAAAGAACTAACTAAAGTAAAATTTACTATAAAGGATAAGTTATTTCTTACTATTAACTAACTGCTTACTTTTAATAGTAGGATTATTATAGTTATATTTACTATAGACACTTCTATTATACTTTCCTAGAAAAAGCAAGAAGTAAAACTATAATTAATTAATATAAAGTTACTTATAGCCTACTAAGATTTTATCTAGTAATAGGTATAAGGAGTATATATTACCTTTATTTACTAGCCTAAAGCGTATTATAATCTTTTTATTATAGCCTAATATAAGAAGCTAAATAATAAGGTAATTAAAGACCTTAACTATTAACTATAATAGTAAATAAGCTTACTTAGCTATAGTTTATAATTTATCTCCTTAGATCTTATATTAGCTAAGCTATTTATATTTATAAATAATTATTTACTAATAATTATAATATAACTTTATAGTTAGGATTTATTATCCTCCTTATAAATAAGGAAGTTAATAATAACTAAGCTAAATTTCTCCTTTATAGTAATATCTTTTATTTCTTATTTATAAAGTCTAAATAAGTTACCTAAAGCGTCTTTATATCTAAAGTGTATAAGATAGTTATAGGTATTAATATAGCTTACGCCCTCTTTATAACTATTATAATAATTATAAAGAAGCTTAATATTTTATTAATCCTAACTATTATATATATAGACTTATATTTACTTTATAAATACTTAGTTAAGCTAGGAACTATAAAGGAGAAGCGTCTTATAATTAATATTATATTACTAAGATAGTCTTATAAATAATATAAGCTTTATAAAGTCTAATAGATTACTAAATCTAATAATCTAGCTAATAGATTTATAAAGGTATCCTTAAATTACGCACTTAAGGGCCTAGTTATAAATAATAAAGCTAAGATATATATAAAAAGTTAAGTTATATAAGTATAATAAATTATAATAAGTATATAGTAAAAAATAAATTATAAGTTATATAACTAACTAAACTATAATAGTAGTAGTTAAATCTAACTAATATAAGAATATACCTCTAATAGCTATAGCTAAAAAGAAACGCCCCTAAATAAGTTAGTATAAGCCTATACTATTTATAAAAAAAAATAAAGGATATAAGAATATATAGCACGTAACTATAAGAAGTATAATACTTTTAAAGTTTTAATTTTTATTACGTTTTTAGGGCTTTTAAGGGTAATCTAGATAGCTAGGGCACTAGTAACTTTTACTATAAAAGAAAAGTTACTAGTGTTAGTATATAGTAAGTATACTTTAGGGGAGGTAGTTATATAATATTTATATAACATACTGCCTCCCTTAGCAGTATCTACCTTACTACTAGTATACTACCTAAAAGTCTAGATTTACTTTATAACTAATAAAAATACAATAAGTAATAACTACATTCTGTATTATAATTTATTACGTGATCTATAGGATATCCCTCTTATGTGATTTAACTAACAATTTGTTTTCTATGTGTCTTTTCCGGGTTGTTCCGACAGAGCTCTTACATAAGGTGGAAAGTATATGAAGTTATCGTGACATAATGCCCTTAAACAATATCTTGTCGTCTGATATTATAATGAGCAATCATGTCAAAGCGGCCTCTACGGGTCAAAACACTTGTGAGCAGGTCCACAGACACGCCCAGGTAATGACTTAACCTGTTGATGAGGCTTCCAAAGCGGAATGATACTCTCCTGCAGGCAGCAACATAACTGGGCAAGCCTGTCAGAAAGAAATACTCAGCAGCCCGGGCTCCTCGAAAGCTCGCATGTAGGCGGATGGCCTCGTGAACATTTGCGCAGTTACACGCTTACGCATGAAAAGCAGCGTCTGTGTAATGAACAATGGTCCATCTCAAGACTACCCTTTCAGCACTCATGTTGGAAGCAAATATGTCAGAGCTCTTTTCTCGCTGACTGATACGACGAAACACCAAATTCAGGTCAACTATTATTAGCAGAATGTGGGGGAACACTCTTTATAGGTTAACAAGTGGGGGCTTCGGTGCACCCTTCAAGCTAGTTGACTGCTGGATCTTTGTCCCGGCCTTTCCAGAACAATGCCTACCACAACATGAGTTGTAATACTTGGCAAACGGCCCAAGACTGCTTCATACCTATGTCATAAAATGCCAAGATTTGTTCTCCATGCCTGAAATACCATGGAACTGTCTTTTACCTCATGGATAAACCATGTATGGTTGTCTGTGTCAGAAACGGCTTGTTGTTGTTGTAGTAGTATTCAATGCCTGGTACGTTCCTGAAAATGACAAAGGGCGCCTAGGGCAGCTAGCTTTAGGAAAATACATGATGATGCTCTAGTTCCGACCGTCCAAAGTCTCACTGGCCTATCGTTTTATATCCGCCACCAATCTTGTCTAGGAATGTCAACTAGAGTATACATCCTTGCTGTTGAGTGCCTAAGGGCTCTTCAACTAAGGTTCCGCGCGGCTGCGTCCCTTTTGATCTTCGGTTCTACGACCTTGGGTAGGAGGGGGTTTCCGTGTGCTCGGCTGTACAGTGCTAATAGTATATCCATGTCTTATTGTGCTATATATCTACTGGCTTGCTGCCAGTTTATACATAGCATACAGTAAGAAGAGTGTCTGTAAGGGAGATCAGGAGGAGAAATAAGAGTGGGAGGGGGAAAAGTTTAAGTTTGCACCAGACACTGCCGTCCGTTCCTACAGACCGGGGTGTGCCTTCGAGGAGGGTTGCAAGAGTAAAGAGAGAAGCGTGTGAGAAACGGCGAGTCAATATCAGGATCGACGTGTAAGTACAACAGCCATTAGAATCTCGTTTGTCACTTGTCAATGGGCAAGAACGACCTCGTACTTTAAACAACCGCACCTCTTGACACTTGTTTCTGGAACCGAAAGAGTTGTGTTGTCTGAAGACAACGTCGAAAGCCCCCTTGAAACGTCATGACCACTGCAAATGTTTCTTCCGTGACCGCATGCCTGGTAGGAAGTTAATTTCTGATGTCAAAACTCCAATGTTACTAGCAGACAGCAACAGGCACTGCTGGGCTATACCTTCCATAATGAGACACAAATTTTGTAGGCTAGGACGGCAAGGTCAAGCATCAACGACTGATGACTCGCACGTCTAACGAACGCGCACACCGTCCCATCTTACCGGTATATTGAACGAGTCAGTCGTAGGACGCCGATTGGGTCTGCAGTTCTGCCGGTTTCACAGACAACAGCGATCGGTGATTCTGCAGTAAATTCAAGCTTTCTTCGAGAACGCTGAACGACTAATAAAGCTTAATGTGGGAAGATGACAACATGGTGAACAGGGACTGATGCACCGCTCGTCTTAAGTATGTAGTGAGCGATGGATCTCTCCGCCTATTCGGTAATCACAACTAAACCATCGAATCTTCCATCCCGTCTTGCGACAACCGCTCGCTTGCGTGTCTCTCACGATGCCTCGCAAAAGGATCGAACCACCGGCGCCGTCGAACCACCTAATATCGCTTCTCTATTCCTCTGCTGAGAAATGGCGGGTGAGACGGGATCCGTCTCGATCTCTCAAGCCCAAGCGATGGTGATGATCGCCTTTGCCGCGACTGCATATTATAATACCATTGAAACATTTTTCTCCATCTTCACCACGTTCAAACGTCGCCAAGGGAAATACTTTTGGAGCATGATCGTTGCTAATACGGGCATCAATATTAACGCCACCGCGTTCGTCCTTCGATACTTTGGCGGTCACCACGAAACCCTCAACGCTTCCAGTATCGTGATCCCCTTTGCCTGGTATGCCATGGTCACAGGCCAGGCTATTGTTCTGTGGTCAAGGCTTCATCTCGTTGTTCACAGCCAGCGGAAAATTCGTCTAATCCTATCAATGATCGTATTCAACGCAGCCACAATGCATATCCCAGAGACGGTGATATTCGTTCTCGCGAACATGAACCCGAAAGAATGGACGAGGCCGTTCAAAATATATGAGAAAGTGGAGCTGGTTGTCTTCACCATCCAAGAAACTATCATCGCCGCTATATTCCTTTACGAAGGATACAGAAGTCTTAAGCCTCTCAGCGCGATAAGACCGAAAGCGGTCACCAGCATGGTTCGTCAACTAGCAGCTCTTTTCGCTGCCGCTTTCATTCTCGATACAGGCCTCATAATCCTCGAATACAACGACAAATTCGAAGTGCAGACCATGTGCAAGCCGTTCGTTTACAGCGTCAAAATCAAAGTGGAGTTTGTGGTTCTGAACAAGCTGCTGGCCTTCACTCGGATGAGTACATGCAACTGCCGAGGTCCCGAGACAATACCTTCAAACACCTTGCCTGACAACAACACTCGTACGGCTACAGAAGGAAACTCGAACAACCGGGCGATACAGGCGCTTCCGCGTGTGGAGCAGACGGGCGGGTCACTATCGCCAATTTGGCAGACAATCAATGAAGATCACATATTCGACCGGGGGGGTTCACCGACAAGCCGTGAGGTAGACGTCGGTTACAAGACAACGGATCCGAGGCTATCACAGCGGAGGTAATTAACCTCGCCACTTTCGACACATGAAAAAACCTTTCAAAGCAATGGTTGAGTTACGAACGAAGCAATACGAACTTAGTTCATCACCGAATGCCTTCCTTGAAAGCATCATGTGCAAGTTCATCGTCGAGCTTCTGCGTTGGCATTATGGCTATTCGTATTTTTCGGTGGATATCCCCCATGCATCATATGGATCTCCAAGCCAGAGCCTGACTATGTGAGAGATACCATGGTCATCAGGGGCAGCGCTGGTAAAAAGCCCCCCGTGTGGCGTGGGAAAAGCTTATAACCCATCCAGACCTTGGCATATGAAAGCGGAAACAGGACTGCCTCGGGCTTATAGAGTTGCCAGAACGAGATCATGACACCAGTAAAATGGCACTAGTTTGATCTAGGACGACTCAGGCGTATATACAGCAAAGAATAGAGAACAAATCGTGTTCAAATAATGTCGGTAGAGATAGTTGCCGAAACCCAGAGATTAAATAACGTTGACCAAGAAAACAACACGCAAGTGAAAAGCAATACTTACCTGACTCAAATGTAAAGCTGTTGCATAAGTTTCATATCTGCATGTACAGTAAACTTGGGTTGGTCAAAGATATGGTATTTCGTGACTATATATTCTGACTGGATAGCGTTCTTCTGTACCCGCCTTTATACTCGTCACATACGGAATATGAATATCGGACCAAGCATATATTGATACACATTGGGGAATCAAGTCCGGACCGTTATCTGTGCACCTTGAGTTTCTGTTCCTTCAACTTGCCAGTGAATAAACCTAGTTGATGTGGCAGACCAACCCGATGGCCCATTTGGGATCTTCGTGCCATTTAACGAGTGTCCCGTTCGAGGCTTTCTAGCCGGTGGTGGGTGGGCGGCTCCATTCTTGTCCAACACGTCCTTTCCGCTTTCTCCCTTGGCTGCTTTTGGAAAGTTATCTCATCTTCATACATGGCAACAGTCCACGAACGCTTAAAACGTGCAGCACCGAGCCCTCCAAAAGAGACGAGTACCGAGAATTGAATGTTGTTTTCGTTAGAACAGCACCATCGTATGACTGTACGCCACACATGAACGAGACCTGGCAGAAATTTCTTTGGTTGTTTCCTTACTCGTGCTCCTGATGAACAGTACCTAGGTGACATAGCAACCACCATGAAGCTTGTGCTATGTCCTACTTTGATTGGTAACTTACGCAGAAAACCCAAAGATTGTGGTTGATTGTTTAGTTCTGATATGCGGTGCGGATAATCAGAAGTGAATGGAGACAGGATTTAGCTTTGAGCTACCTAGCTGCGCTCCAAGATGCAAGTTGGTAGAAGCGCAGCATTAGCAGAAGTTTATTTGCATCTCCCTCACGATTCGGAATAAGCTATATTGAGATTGATGGCTCGAGAGCTTAAACCTAATTTCCGGGGATCGTCTTCTTGGTACTTAGAAAATGACTGACAGGACATCAATGACCCGCAACTTGATGGAAAGACGGCTTGGAGTGCAACTTATAAGAGCAGTTGAAGCCAACCAAACTATCAGCGCACCAATGAAGTTGACTATATATCATATTGGCGTGCCTTCATTCCACCTCTGTTGGTGGTAGCATATGACGAGTTGTATTTTATACACACACTCCGCACTTCACTGAATAAAGACAGCAACAAAACGCAAAAAAGAAAAAAAGAAAAAAAAAAAACTATTGATAAGAGGAAAAGATAGGAATATCGAAACTGCCTTATTAGCACCCAGAGTTGAACAGCAGGCCTACCCACAATGACATAACTGCTGTATGTCTACACTCAGTGCCAAGAAAACATGCCATTACTTGTCACTGCTGATGGACTCACCACCGCTCTCGAGATAATTTCTCTCGTCTGGTGTAGAAGGCCGGCCCATGGCCAGATTTCTGTGCGGGTATCTTCCAAACTGTACGATGATGTCCCGGTGTTTTACCACGAAGTCGTAGTTCGTTTCCAGCAAGTCTTTAGCCGACTCCTTCTGCACCGCCAACACTCCCCAACACTTTCGCTGATCATCAGAGCCAGCGGTGCCGTCATCGGCCATGAGCTCCTCAAAGTCGTCCTTCATCCGCTGATACTGCTTGACAGCAAAGTCGTGTAGTGCCAAGTCCTCGGAGTGCATGAAAGGAAGGTAGAACCACATTCGATAGGCTACGCGGTACCGGACTCTGCTATGATTCGGGGCGCCGGCGTTTACAGCGTGCTGGGCGATCTCGCGGGCGATGGGGTCGAAAAGCTTGAAGACGATGGACGACTCAGAGCCCCGATAGATGTTTCGCGGTACCTGATCCAGGAGTAGGACCAGACTCAGCCATTGCAGAGGTGTGAAAGGCCTGATGATTGAGAGTATTTCTTTGCTCGATGCTCTCGACGACTTTACAGCCTCAAGAACAGGGCGGTATTTTTTTCTAGAAGGCACGTCAACACTGCCGCTTCTCACAAAGTGTTCTGCGACCAAATTGAACATACATGCAGACCTCGTCAAAGCTAACATCAGGGAAGAACCATCTACCCATTTGACATTTCTGAGGCAGGATGTAAGCTTCTTCCGTCTTGAGGTGTTTGAACCAGAACCGGCGGAGCTTCTCAAGTAAGTCGGGCGTGAGAATTTCCTGGAGGCGCGCCTTTGCGTGCGCCTTGCAGGAGTTTGACCGGGGCAGACCATTTGACAACGTCATCTCGGCAGCCGAGTCGCGATAGTAGCCAGAAGTATAAAACCCTCGTCTCACACGCAACAGCGGGCCTGTTGGTCGAAAGGATGCTGTGGCGGAGGTGAGCTATCAACCTCACCGCCTGCGCTGTTGAGATGGAACTTGGCTTCATCCGCACAGAACGGCCAACGTCCCCCGCACTTCGCAGGGTGCGGCCATGGTCTGATGAGTAGGCATGACAGTCATCCTACTTGCACCACAACTACAGGGACTAAGGGATAGTGGGTGGTGTGCACTGACGTCGTCGTCTCGCCTCCCTGTGGTCTTGTGCTTCGTCTGGGAGCACTTTGGGAAGAGTCTGGACGCGCCGAAATGCGGGGTTTGTGCAGGCAAGGCGCCCCAACGTACATGTCAGGGTCTCTCGCTTAAGGCTGCTAATAATGCAACACCCCGAATGTGCGCGGCCGTCCGCTCCTTTGCTTGGTTTAGAGATCCGACGGTGGTGCGCTTGTTCGGATCGGTTGGCAGTGTGGCTTGGGGCCATCGGTTGACCCGTTTTGGCGCTAGAGTTCGCCGCAGCCGACGATTGGAATGTGGCGTCTAAGATCATGAGGATAAGCGTCGCAGATCGAAGACCGACAGAGCCGGGGTCAAATTTGCCTGGTCTCATGCTGGCATCAATCCTATGCCTGATGAGGGTTTCTTGTGTTTTGGCGGTTCTGCATGGAGACTGTTTTACGCCAAGTTAACGTTGACACCCAGCATTATACCTACCCTCTCTCGCCACATGGACGAGCTTCAACAAAGTGTTGGCACATTCACTAAGGGCACGGAAAGGTCACAACGAAGGGGATGATTGCCATGCAATCAAGGAAGGTGTCGCAATGTCTGTGCTGGTAGACTAATCAAATGTCCCACAGTTTCAGGAAAATTACTCGGTAGACCAAGTGAGTCGGGCTGCTGCTCATTCTGCGTAATACTCAATATGATGATACAGAAGAAATCGTTTCACCAAGCCTCGGCGTTCATGCCCTTATGGTCAGTCTATTGGCAACATTGGCGGCTTGGTAAATTAAGCGGCAGAATACATAAACTGCATATGTCACCGGATAAATACCGTTGGATGACTTCAGCCGCCGATAAATGGGGCATCAAAACTAGGTGAGCAAGCATGCAAAATATCTATCCTAACCGTCACTGATACGGTTGCGGGCCGCCGCTGGTGCAAACACCCCGGACCGAAGAAGAGCGTGATCCCGGTCGATGTTTATGATTATCGACCGGGATGAAGATGGCTTTCACTGTCCCGGGGAAAGGCGATCGGCGCCCGGCATGTCTGGCTCATAAGAAGAATAAGTGAATGACAGAGAGCACCAAACTTGGAAGAGCTAACTTCTCAAGGCCTCATTCGGCCGCAACATGAGCGCGGGCGATTTCTTGCACATAATGCGGAGGTCCTTGCAAGGATTGTGCTACACCGATACCAGCTTGGCTCATTTACATCCAACATCATGGCATCCACTACTACGCCCCAAACATCGTGATTGGTTCATACTGGCAGTCACTTATCGAACAATATGAATGGAATCACAAATTCACTGCTAAAAGACATAGCTGTGTGAGACCTGTAAAGCCGATCTTTCTTGAAGGGGTAGTATTAGCGGCACTGGTCAATGGCTTGTTCAAGGCGTGGTGGTGTCGTCATGTAAACAACCCATTTTGCAGGTAAACTGCATACGATGACTGGCCATCATGCCATAATCAGAACTGACTGGACCAGAGAGAAGACCAAGTATGGTTAAAAAGGCCCAGTCGTCCTTTCATGTCCTCGCCGTGTTCATTCTCTGTCTTGCTGCTTCATCGGACTGTTTGTTTATAACCTGAATACTACGTACGATCTTTTCTGCATCTGTCTGTACATATATCCCACCACCCTTCCTTAACATGCGTTCCTTTGCTTCTTTCTTCACGACGGCACTGGTCGTCGCTGGAGCTCTCGCCGCTCCAGCAGCCAAGCCCATCACCACGATGGACCTGTTCAAGCGCCAGTCTACTCCCTCCTCCCAGGGAACCCACAATGGCTACTTCTACAGCTGGTGGACTGATGGAGCATCTCCCGTCACCTATACCAACGGTGCCGGCGGCTCCTACAGCGTCCAGTGGCAGTCTGGTGGAAATTTCGTCGGTGGAAAGGGTTGGCAGACAGGCGGACCCAAGACCATCCAGTACTCTGGCACCTTTTCTCCCGTCAACAACGGCAACAGCTACTTGACAGTTTATGGCTGGACTAGAAACCCGGTGGGTCAATTCTCTGTCAATATGAGAAACACCTTGAAAGAAGTAAGCTGACTCATTACTTACTATCAAGCTCATTGAGTACTACATCGTTGAGAACCATGGAGAGTATAACCCTGGCAGCTCGGCTACACCCAAGGGCCAGGTCACCAGCGACGGCTCTGTGTACCAGTTGTACGAGAGCACTCGTGTCAATGCACCATCCATCGACGGTGACCAGACCTTCAAGCAGTTCTGGGCCATCCGTGAGAACAAGCGCACCGGCGGTACTGTTACAACTCAGAACATCTTCGACGCCTGGAAGAACGCTGGAATGACCATCGGCACTTCGTTTGACTACATGGTTGTTGCAACGGAAGGTTACAAATCTGCCGGCTCGGCCAGTATCACCGTCGAGACTGCCGCTTAAGTAGCAAAGAGCGATATGGCAAATTGGGTAAATCCCTACAGCGAAACAAAACACTAAATTTGCGCATGAGGCAAACGTGAGAGAGATCTTCTAGGGTAACTCCAAGGAAAGTGGTATAAATGTAACGCGATGCCCAAGCTTGGAAGCTGTTAGGACTACTGTTAGAGTTCTTGATGATCCCTTTTAGATACAAGCCAAATTCCATTCTGCGGAATCTGTATTCAGAGCCTTTTCAGGTCCTCGCCCTCTAGGTAATAGAGAAAGATAGATGAGTCTCGCTGCTTTTACTCACCTGCCACGTTGCGACGAGCCATAATGGTTTGAATCATAGAAGCAGACGATCCGCACTTTTGGTGGGGGGAGTGTCTCTCGTGAAAATGCCATCACCAGCCTCCATTGTTTATTACCCCAACAGAAATGATGAGCGGCCAGCCCGGCTAGTATGATTCAGTCATGTCTAGATTAACACTACATAAGCAGCAAGAGATGCTGTCAAGCAGTGTGGCATAGTCACTTGAAAAGCCTTACACTTAAACTTTGAAATAACCTCTCCAAAGGTTTCTCAACAGTCCGTCAGGGTCGTAGGCTGCTGCGATATCCTTCAAACGTTCGTGGTTCTCCTGTCCATACCCAGCGTACACATCCTGATTCTTCTCGGCGTAGTTCATGTACGTGTAACCTGCAAACAAGCCTCTCTCCTCTGCAAGAACCTGTATCTGGGAAATGAGGTCTGCGGCACTCTGTTGCACAAGATGGTCAAGATGCGATGTTTCCCAGTGTGTGACTACCGAAATATGCACCAGTGGGCCCCTTTCTGGGGTGAGTCCCAAGGCGTTCCCGCCATTTTTTTGCATCGCGTCCAGAATGTTTGCAGTGATGGGCTGATAGGTAAAGAACGGTTCCACCGTCTCGTTTGTGGCTTTTGCCGCACACAGGAGACGATTGGCATGTTCTTGATAGAGCGGAATGATGTCTTGGAGAAGCTGTGCTGCCCCCTCTCCCAAGTAGACAGAGGTCCCGGCCCAAGCTTTGCGCCCTCCGTATGGTTCGGAGATTGCCTTGGAATGAGTCGTGATGTTTGCCACAGTGGTAGTATTGAGAAACGATCCAGCAACGGATGCACTCTTTGCAAAAACCTCGGGCGTCTCTCCCGCAGATGAAGGGGGCGTGGCATGGTAGAGGTAGTTTGCAATGATAAATCCACCGAGAGATGCCAAATTGGTCATGACGAAGAATGTATGCCCGTCAGGATCGGCTGGCAAGCCGTTGACAGACAGGTCCACAAAGGCAGGCACAAGCTCGGTGCTCGAAGAAAGGGGGTACAGCGCGTTGTGTAGCCATACATCGCCCTGTTCGAAAGCCACGAGATCGAATCGTGTAACTATTCCATAGTTGCTCCCACCTCCTCCTCTGAGAGCCCAGAAAAGATCTTTGTTGGATTCTGGAGAAGCATTGACAACTTCGCCGGAAGCCAAGACGACTTCAAAGTTGCGAACATTGTCGCAGGCCCATCCGTAGCGTCCCGAAAAATACGATATGCCACCACCGAGGATGAGCCCGCTGACGCCGACATCGCTGACTCGTCCGCCCACAACAGCAAGACTCAGCGGGTCAAGTATTTCCGAGATGTTGACCCATCGATTGCCAGGTCCGACCGAGACGGTTTGGCGATTGTCGGACAGGGTGATCTGGTTGAGACGTACTAAATCAATGGTCACCCCGTGCGCAATATTGGATCCTCCATCAAACGCCGTGTGGCCACCACTCTTGACCGTGAAGGGAACAGACGCTGAGGTCAAGATCTTGATCGTGGTTGCAACGTCCTCGGTATCTTCGGGCGTCACGAAACAGGCGGGGTGGATCTCAGCCTGGCGGCCAGAGTAGTAGATATTTGACAACGCGTATTGCGTCGAGTTTGGGAAAGAAACTCTGCCTGGAAGTTGAGAATCCAGGAAGATGCACTGCGCAGCTAGTCAGAAAGAACTGTGAGTTCCGCCTTTGCTTACCCCTTGATTAATCTCGGGTACCAACTCGGCGAAGGCTCTGATTTGCAGAATGGTCAAACCAGACCAGATGATCAGTGACGACCACATGCTAGCTCGATCCAACGGTGGCGGAACTTTTGACGATGAGCCTGAATATTTGCAGCAATCAAGATAGCCTGGGAGAGAAGTTGCGGAGTCACTGTCCAAGCAATTACTGCCCTTTTGTACCTTTGAGGCACACAAGCAACAGAGGCCACGGTATGAGGGGCGCCACGACCGCCAAGATGTATGAGGCTAGCCTTTGTTCTCACCTTTTGCTGGCCAACAAGTCTCATTCGTCAGCTTGGACAGTTTCCGGTATTTGATCAGCGGTTAGGGCTTACTTCGATGATGCTAGCGGTAGCATTCGCGTGGCACCCGCTAACCACTTCTGAAGACGTTGCAGGGATTAATAGCACGATGTCCCGAAGCCTCAGAGAAGACAAATACGTCACCGGAATGGCGGTATCTGTGCATATGGTATTCACGAGACAAAGCAACAAGCGACCTGATTGAGCTTCTAGATCTGATAACTAATGTGTGCATTGTACATTCCATTATCTTACTTGGTTGGCAATCGTTTTTGTGACAAGATCAGAGCTAGGGTGGTAGAGCCAGCAGCGACCTCCAACTAATAGCTAGGCTGAAGTATCATAGGAATCCAATCACTTGCGACTTGCAGTGGTCCTTACATCTCTGATAGCGCCACAACCACCAAGACTTCTAAGAATTTCATCTCTTTGATGCAGCCAGAAGCTCCTTTATGTTATTATCAATCTAGTTAATAGAATGATTGTGATGCATGTGCAGCTCCAATCGGATGGTATCCTTTCCTCGGTACTGCAGCTTACTATCAGCCAAGGACACGATTCTTTAGTCAAAAGGGCTGTTTGCTATTCTAGTAACCTTTCTTGTCTTGGGACGTTACCTTTTATTGCATTGGCGTTCGACAGATACGGTTCACAGTTGTCAGTCAGAGAGTTTGCTAAAGCATTGTTTGTCGACTAGTATTCATATATCTTATCTATACTGTATATACAGGCACCAACCAATGATGAATAATACCTGAAGTCGACCTGAGGTTTTGCACTCCCTGCGAACAGCCACGGTCATCATTGAGCATCCTTGCCTAAGCAAAAACATCCTGCTGGGGCAAGCGGTAGAACCAGACAGTCTGGACCAGGCCGCCGCCAAAGTCTGCCTTGAGAACGTGCTTGCTGCAGTCGTTTGTGAACTCAAACGTGTTGACAAGCTGGAGGCCAACGTAGCTAGGAAGAGTAGCTGAGGTCACATCAACCGTCAACACGCCCGAGGGGCCCTTCTTGCGATTCCCTCCCTTGCTCTTGTAGCCCTTGTCACCGTATTTGTCGTCCCCGCCGTCGCAGGTCACCTTGGAGAAGCGATAGTTGCCAAAGACGCCGAGGCTGTGCTGCGCAACGAGGGCCCAGTCATGGTCCGAGTCGGTGGGCTTGGCGGGGAGAGTAACAGTTTTGGGGCGCACGTCTGCCTGAGTCGTGTCGTTGGCGGTGATGACGAAAGAGATGTGGCCTGAGGGCGCGTAGACGGAACCGCCGGAAGGGTAGATGCTGTGCCATTCTGGGATGAGCTCGCCCGTGTTGGTGTTACTGGAAGCTGGTGAGTAACTTGCGTTGAGGGGGAAGACAGAATGCATCCGCGACGACAGCTTCGTCTTGGGGACAGACTTACGTCAATGTGGCGTTGAGGTAGCCCCAACCGCCGACGATACATTGCAAGGCTCTATCTCACTTCATCTTGACGTTATCGGCAGCACAGGGTCAGAGAGGTTCTCTAAGCTGAGCAATCTAGGGACGGATTGAAGGTCTCGGAATCCACCCAAATCTAGGACAGAATAGATGAGAACTTATACAAAATCATCTTCCTCCTTCTTCCCGAAGCCGTTGTCGTGTTTCTGCAGGGAGCGAAGGTTGCCGAAGCGAGTTGATCCTTTCGGCCACGACCATCAGCCCCTGGCGTAGCTCACAGTGGCGCTATGATGCGCATGGATTGGGCTGCATCCCACAACGAGATCGCCTTTGAAGACTTTTGCCATAGCCGAACGAAATGTGTGCTAAGAATGTCTGATTCCGCCCAAGCTTGGGTCTAGATAGTCTCGTGGGATGCTCTCAGATTTCCACCCTACTAAACGGCTGATATTAGGGCTGATGGCTCGTCTTCTGTTTCCCGTAGTCCCAATCAAGCGTTGATCTAGACCTAATACTGCACAAGCCACTTGTGTGATGTGTCCAGCCAACTAATTTTGCAATAGCGTCTGCGCAACAGGATGCGCGACTACTTCATGTACTCGCTTACCCCTCAAACCCGACGTGGCTCCCTCATAGACGCCTAAAACACCCCTTAATACAACGCCACCTTTTTCAGCTCACTTTGCCACCCAAATGAGTAGCACAAATACTTCACACCTCCACAGGGATTATGAACGTTAGCTTCTTACTTACTAACCAGATAGAGAGAGTGATCAGCAGGTAGATATACTTATCGATAGGTATAGACCAGACTAAAACTAAAGTGTAAGTACTACTTCTATGTTACTGATCTAGGCGTAGAGTATGTTTGTAGAGGTATGTCCTCCTACGCAGCCTACACATGCTGGTTTCTGGCTGCTCCCTTCTATCTAATGTGATAGTCTGGCTGGTGAGAAAGTGGATGTGGGCACTGGCGAAGTCATATCTACTATTAATATCCGCACTAATCCCCCCCACTACATAACCGTAAAACTAAGCATAGCCTCTAAGCTCTGGAAGTGGGTTGTTTCACTGCGCTAACGTTCATAATCCTTGAGTGTCACTTTCTACCCTAACCCACCCCCGCTCACCCAGTGCCTCACCCTTAAAACAGCGACACTGGGTGAGCCTTAACAGAGCTTTGAACATAGGGTCTGTGGAATATACTGCTATAATCCTGCTCAGTGACGTTTCTATTTCAAGAATCAATACCACAATACGTCCTCAATATAAATATCATTTTGTGAAGCCTTGGTTGTAACTACTATGGATGCTTTGTGTGCTAATACTACATCTTGAAATTTCTATTCCACTCTAATCCATATGTGTAAATTGTTGCGACAACTGAACTTCATTCGAAAAGGTCTTGATGTCAAGCCTGAGAAATGTTAACGAATCGAGACTAAAAAAGAACCAACCACTGCAAAAGACCTCCACCGAAAACCATCCCAAATCTATGAATTGGATTAAACAATTCGTCAAACTTCACACCATGACTAGGCGAAACTAACTTTTCTCTGTGCGTTGGGTGATTTCTTAGCCTTTCTTGCTAGTCATAAGTTCCTTCACGAGCTTTTTCATACCATCATCGTCCGTCATTGTTTTGATGCCCAAAATGGGGTTGTCAGCTAGCTTGGAATTCCCGAGGTCAACTATCTAGCTCTGGACTTTATCAACAGAATAAACGCAGACTAGTCTGTTTCCAGACTTCTAGTCACAGCGGGGTGCAGTAAAGGTTCTAGAAACGTCTTCACTGCTAACCTCTAGTATCATGTTTGACCTTGTTGTTGTAAATATCAATGTTTATGGGACTAGAGCACAGATTATAGTACATTAATGGTCCGTTATAAACAGTACTTCAGGTCTTGTCAGGTTTCTTACACTTTGGAGGAGGGTTTTGCCACTTAGGTCTTTCTTGACGAAGAAAGGCAGTCATAGTTGCTGGCGTCCAAACTGAAATCCGAGAGAATCTATCGATACACTCCTGAGGCGGCTGCGGCATCAATCAGCCGCTTTGGAGCCTCGTCGTGTGTCGGAGCGCCGTCAACGAAAGCATCCTGGCCTTTCATAGTCTCTTCAAGATCATCAGATGAACCAAAGCCAACCACCTTGGCAGTGACTTGACGAGGAAAATATCCCTCTGTTTGCGCTATAAGACGGTTATGCTGAATCCTTCTGCAAGCAAGGCTTTCAAAGTCCAGCTGTCAAGATTTCCAGTTGCCTAAAATGATCAATTTGTAATACGACATGTTTTGTGTTCTATAACGAGTTATAAGCCTAGACCGGCAAGTTTCCACTATTAGTATCATGCTCATATGGGAACCGCCCTCAAATTCGGGTCTGGATAGTAGGAGATAGGCTGATGGTTTTCGACTAAGCTGCATACGAGATAAAATGGTCAAGTATGCCACGATTGCGCCTTGCCATCTGGGTCTCCCAAGGTCTGCAGAAACTTTGAGTTTACACCATGTGTCTGCCACATGCAGGGTTGGGAACATGTGCGTTGCAGGTGCTATTGGTTCCTTTGAGAGGGAGGTTCCATGATCAGTTGAACTTTATAGTGGATGATGATACAGCGTTGATTCTGCCCTGGATCAACTCATCCCTGTAGGCACTGAAGCAGAGCCATGAACCCGGTAGACTCGCTACAAACTATAACTGGTAAAATTTCAATGTAAGTACGAACTCCAATTCCAGGCATTTTATCTCACCAAACAATAGAATCAATACTCTTGGCTCAAAATTTAGAGATCGTCCATCCATCCACGCACGTTAGTCTCTACCAAATGTGCATTTCTCCGACTAGTGACTGTTGATAGGAGAGAAATCCTTGATTGGAAAATGAAAATTGACATGATGGCACTCCACAGGTTTGCCAGTAATAGTGCAGTGTGGTATAGAGACCCTTCTCACTAATGGCGAAGTGGCGCGTACCAGCATGGGCACCATGCAGGGTCCTGAAGGTCGCATGCAAGTTTCCCAAGGCGTTCCTTTCGCTTTGAGTTAAGCAAATGAGCAGTGCGGTCCAGCCTCAAACAAGAATTGACACGAGACGTTAGGTCTACGTAGAAGCTTCTTACTGCCCCGAGCCTATTCGCTACGCACATCTTGAAATTATTAAGCGATATATGACCAAGGCTCCTGGCAGCAGATGGCTCTCACTCGAATATCTCAACCAGGAGTCTAGTAGCTTGTATAATTAGCCGTGCTGAGACCTTGAGGGGTCTGCCAAGCTGGGACGAACTGCGGTGGTTGAATCAGTAGGCATTCGTCTGACCCATTGCATTGCACACAACTGATGCTTTTCCTAGGTGGACCCCTAACTACACGTTCCTTTCCTTCTCCTAATCGCCAGATTGAATAAATAAAAACTCAGTAATGAAGTAGTATACTATGGCCAAGAAGCGCTTTGCTGAGGCCAAACTTAACTACTCTAAATAGGCAGTTTTTCTATCTACAGGACTGATTTCAAGTCCATCTAAGCCACGTTTATAACTTGCTATTAATTTATTACTTATAATTTAATAGGCAGTAGCTACTATATCTACACAGCAAGACAGGTACTTATAGAGTACAACTAGGTTTAATAGCTTTTTAATCTACTAAGATATTTACAGTACATGCCGGGAATACATTGCTAGCCATGTATGTAGCATTTTTGTGATTGAAATAACCAATACTGATGTCGTCAATCGTTCCAGGTAACAGCCCTGATGGTCTAGCGGTATGATTCTCCCTTAGGGTGGGAGAGGTCCCAGGTTCGATCCCTGGTTAGGGCCCAATCCTTTTGTAAATGTCAGTAGTTTTTAGCAGCACCTAGAACTTGTAGGCAAGGATTAGATATAAATATTAGTACCCTTACTGTTACAAGCCTTTTGTAGGGACACATGTATGTCTATATACTAGTTAAGTATGTTGTTAGCCTTAAGAACTTTATCTTTAAGAGGGCTAGCCTTTAAAAAAGACTATATATAATACCTATCCTTACTGGTTATTGGTTGTGCTAGTTGCTTGTTTCTTATTTTGTTAGACGCGCGTTGCTTGCTTCCTTCACTGCATCTCTGCACGTCGCTGCTGTGCTATTGTCTAGCAGGTCCTACAACGAATCTATCCTATCAGATCCGGGACGGCCAGAAGGAGGGCTGTGTCGCATACGTTACTAGTACAAGGAGTATTACAAACTTGTCAGTTAAAGGAAAGGTATGTCTGATGTTACCATCTCATATATTGGCCTTTGGGCACGTGGTGTTTGGTGTAGAATAAATGCTTTAGCTGAGCACTAGGACGTACGGATTGTCATCCCGCAGGTTTATATTGGATAATGTTGTGTTTCATTGGGAGAAGATTACAATAGACGTCTATCTTGAGCCTGATTCTCGCGCGCGTTCTGCGTACCTACTAAGGTAAAGGAGCGCGCTGTAATTAGTAGGCGATAAAGTAATGTGGCCATATTTCTCGTATTGAACAGAAGTTGAATCGTAGGGATTCTATCGCTAGGAGATATCCTGCCTTTCTATTATAAGAACCCCGCATGCTGAAACACTTTTAGAACCTTATGGATCGGAGCGTACTGTGACGCGGAGCGTGTCCAACGGTTTGTGACAGCTGGTTACTACTCGACAACTCTAACTGGGATTATTTCCTGCTACCTCTCGCGGCCAGAGCGGCCGAAGGGTCAGTGCCCCTTAATCAATTGCCAGCTAACTATACCGTGCAGAGGGTCGAGGATTCCCAACATGCATGAGTGAAGGTAGTCTTGACGTAATTGAGTGAAACCTGCTTTGAACCTGTGTTGCCTTATAAATGGAAGCTCTTCCTTCTCCCGTCTTTCTAAGTCATTTGATTTAAACTTTACTTATAAAGAACTGCTAGATTCATCCCTTACATCATTTCCAGACATCATTACGGAGTACTAGTCATAGATACTGCACCATTTGAAAGAACATCAACATGTCCAAAGAGTCAGCAGATCCAACAATTGCTCTTGTGACTGGGGCAAACCAAGGAATCGGCTATGAGGTTGCAAAACGGTTATCTTCTGAGTACCCAAACTTTCATGTATTTATGGCGGGAAGACGGCAGGATGCTGTTGAAAAGGCGGCCGCCGAGCTTCAGAGTGCAGGACTCAACGTCGAGCCTCTGGTAATGGATATTACGTCCGACGACAGCATAGCATCGGCCGTGGAAAAGGTCCAAGCTAAATTTGGACACCTCGACGTACTCATCAACAATGCTGGTATCTTGTCGGGCAAGCCAGAGGATTCAATTCGGCAAAGACTCACAACCGTTTACAACACCAATGTATTCGGTTCGATCGCCGCCACGGAGGCTTTCATGCCTCTTCTTCATAACTCCTCAAAGACGCGTCGTGTTGTATTCGTTAGCTCTCGTCTGGGGAGTCTTGCCGTTCGGACTGATTCAGAAATAGGGTATCCTCCTATTGAGTTACTGGAATATGGCTCAAGCAAAGCTGCGCTTAATCATGCAGCAATGACCTTTGCTGCACGATTCAGAAACGACAACTCATGGAAGGTCAACGTCTGTTGCCCTGGTCACTGTGCGACCAACATGAGCGGTTACACGGGCATTGACGAAGCATCAATTGGCTCTATCCAGGCAGTGAGATTGGCGACGCTGGATTCCAATGGAGTAACTGCATCCTTCTCGGACAGACATGGACCGGCACCATGGTAGCGGAAAGATGGTAGCGGGAGTAAAAGGCAGTCAGACAGCCAATACAATGTATGAAGTTCGATACTCGTTATAGACCATATGAGTGCCTCTTTTCCTCTTCTTCATTGCCGTACCTCGTTGCTAATAAATCACGAATAACATACCTTGCTTACGAGACCATTTACAGGCGGTTGGCAAAAGCCAGCCATTGGATGATGGGATATCTTGATGCCACACAGAATGCCCCTCTGCCGTTTCCCCGCTTCCCAGATGTTGCGGGGTTCTTGTAAGGCCGGCAAACAACCTCATGAGTATGTGTCTCCCAACAAACTTCAATTCTGGACCCGAACTTCTAACGAAACTTTCAGCATATTGAGTTGGAACATCCCGTGATAATGGAAGTTCCAGCGCGGCGGCCGTATAGAGGATCATGCCATTGTGGTGAAACGCAATACATCGTGTTCCTGACATTCCCGCATACTTTACCACCACCACGGCCACCGAAAGCGAATACACCTCGATCTTACCAAGACTTTTACAAATGCAACTGCACCACTTGCCAGAAGGCGGGGTTCTTCCACATGCGTCTTGCATCGTCTCCGGACGACTTCCTGCTGTTGAAGCCTCTCAATCCGTACGAGGACCTCGGCGACTACTCAGTTTACCAGAAAGACTTGCACTTTCTCTTTTGCAAGACTTGTGGGATGAGATGCATCATCTTGATGGGACAAGGAGAGGTAGCAGAAGTTGACTTGGAGGAAATGGGGGTCAAAAATGACAACGAGGGGTTAGGAAAAGACAGTGTTGGTGAAGGCAGTGCGCTGACCAAAGTCTGGAGACCCAAGAAAGACGGTTGGAAGGAAGACAAGAAGTGGGGAAGCTATCTGAGTGTTAACGGATACTCTGTCGACGCCGGCCAGGATGGGTTCGATCTACGCGAGATTACGGAGAACAAGTGGGTTGCGTATCTCGACTGGCTCGAGTTGCATTCAGAAGGGTCTCAAGGAACTCGATTTGATCGACCTTGGGAGGGCGGTGCTTATTGATCTGCGGGGCTATCATTCTGTCATTGTAACACGTGGAATCGTGTTGGGGGGGAGCGCTGCGGGATGATCACTCTGCTTTCTAGCGTCCACAAAACACTACGACAAGTCTTGTAAGGAAACTTGTCCTCTTCTTTTATCGTTCAATGGGCCGTGACATACAGCACATTGAGGGATTGTGAGAGGCGCAATTTGTACTGTTGATCCGATGCCTTGGTTACACCTCTCGGGAATATCGTTACGGAGGTCTGCGGTCAGCGCTGGATTGACTGCATTAGAGCCCATGAAAGCCGGGCAACAAGCCAGTAAACTTCGGCCACGATGATATTATGAACAGTCTCTTATTATCAGTGAAGCCGTGGAAATAGCAAGGCTCTAGTTCCTCGTTCCATTCGTCACTATCAAGTGAACAGTGCTTATGCCCAGAGAACGCCAAATGCGACGCATTCAACGGGCAGTCAAGGGTAGCCGGTTGGTCCAGTTATTTTATGAACCGAGACAAGCTGAGATACGTCAGGCGAGCCTAGGCTTGGCGTTCATCTGCACTCATATATATTACATACCTGTTTCAGTTTTCAACTATCAATCTTTGCTTTACATCGCGCCCTCTTTCGCTGCATCGGAATGTCGACCCGAAGTGTCAAAGTCGCAGTCACTCAGGCCGAGCCGGCATGGATTGACCTGCCAGCTGCTGTTGAGAAGACGTGTATGCTGATGAAGGAGGCCGCTTCGAACGGCGCCCAACTCATTGCATTCCCCGAGTGCTGGATCCCTGGTTATCCAGTATGGATCTGGAGCCGTCTTATCGACTTCGACCTCAACGTTCGTTACATCAAGAACTCTTTACAGCTGGACTCTCTCGAGATGGTCACCATCCAAACCTGCGCCAAAGACAACAATATTGCTGTTTCCTTCGGGTTCTCCGAAAACGACAACAACTCGCTCTTCATCGCACAAGCCCTGATCGGTCAAGATGGTGAGATTAAAGTGCACCGTCGGAAACTGAAGCCGACACATATGGAGCGAACCATCTTTGGCGATGCTTCTGGTCACTGCTTACGAAGCGTGGGTGACCTTTCCTTTGCCCGGGTTGGTTCTCTGGCGTGCTGGGAGCACATTCAACCTCTTCTGAAGTACAACACCATCGCCCAGCAAGAGGAAATTCACGTATCAGCGTGGCCAAGCGTTACATCACTGTTGGTTAATCACTAAGAGGGATATCCCGTAGATCACGTAACAAATCGTGATACAGAATGTGGTGGTTACTTATTGTATTAGTTACAAAGTGAATCCAGACTTTTAGGTGGTATACTAGTGGTAAGGTAGATACTGCTAAGGGAGGCAGTGTGTTACGTAAATATCACGTAACCACCTCCCCTAAAGCATACCTACCGTATACTAACACTAGTAACTTTTCTTTTTATAGTAAAAGTCACTAGTGCCCTAGCTATCTAGATTACCCTTAAAAGCCCTAAAAACGTAATAAAAATTAAAACTCTAAAAGTATTACACTTCTTATAGTTACGTGCTGTATATTCCTATATCCTTTATTTTTCCTTATAAATAACGTAGGCTTATACTAACTTATTTAGGGGCGTTTCTCCTTAGCTATAGCTATTAGAGGCGTATTCTTATATTAGTTAGATTTAACTACTGCTATTATAGTCTAGTTAGTTATATAACCTATAATTTATCCTTTACTATATACCTATTATAATCTATTACGCCTATATAACCTAACCCTCTATATATATCTTAGCTTTATTATTTATAACTAGGCTCTTAAGTGCTTAATTTAGGGATACCTTTATAAATCTATTAGCTAGATTATTAGATCTAGTAATTTATTAGACTTTATAAAGCTTATATTACTTATAAGACTATCTTAGTAACATAATATTAATTATAAGACGCTTCTCCCTTATAGTTCCTAGCTTAACTAGGCATTTATAAAGTAAATATAAGTCTGTACATATAATAGTTAGGATAGATAGGGGACGTTACTTAGCTAAGCCTTCTTCTCTATTATCTGCTATGTAGTATAGCTTAACTAATATAAATTAGAAAACGTAAGGGCTATTAATATTAATAGTAAAGTCTTTACCTTAAGTAGTAAGTAACTTATATAGGCTAGACTAACCTCCTTTTTTACACTAGATGTAGATATTACTACCTAAAGGTAGATCCTTTATTATAAAGGTATCTAGGCTGTTATAGGTAGTAAGAGCCTTATTAATTTATTACGTTACGTTATATTTATAAAGATCTTTAGTTACCTTATAAATAGCTATTATACGTTAGATTATCTTAAGTAAAAAAGTAAAGTTAGTAGTTATATAGAGGTAGGCGCTAAATACTAATAAAGTAGGTATAAGGCTATTTAAGCTAGTAGTATTATTAACTACTTTAGTAGCGCTTTAAAGTGCTGCTTTATAGTTAATAGATAGGTATTTCTTTTAGATTATCTTATACGCCTATTAGAGTATAGCGTAATATCTCTTAACCTTCTTAACGCTATAATATACTTTAATAGGGATAATCTTAACTTTAACGCCTATTACGTAGGCTTTATATAAAAATTTAGTTAAGATAAAATTCTACCTTACGTTAGTAATAATCTAATCTAGAGGTCCTTAGTAGACGTTAATCTAGTAGTAATATAGTGCCTCTTATATAGTTTTTACTAAAATATTATAAAGGAAGTAGGCTATATTAAAGGCAGTAGTAGTATTAATAACGTAAAGTATAAGGTTACTATTAAGGTATATAATATTAATAATAACTTTATAATTAAATAAATAGTTATTATATAAGGTAAATTAGAATTAAGAAGAAGCCTTCTTATAGATCTAGTAATAATAACAGTACTTTATTAAGTGTTTAATTACCTTTATTTTAACCTTATAGCTAGCCTTATAAAGGATCTTATACAGCTAGTAAATTAATAGATAGCTAAACTGTTAATAAAGGCAGTATAGCTTAACGTTAGTTAGGTAATAACTTATAAGGCTTTACTTAGGCAGGCTAAGTAGTATCTATAGGTAGCCTTATTTTTATATAACTAGCACTATAAGTTTACCTTATTAAAGAGTATTTATAAGGTTATTAAATTAAATTAATAGCTAATCTATATTAGCTAAGTAAAGTAAGAAAAGTGTATTAGTAGGTATTACGTAAAAGGTAATATACCTAAGGGGAGTCTTTACTATAATAGTACCTTATAAAGTAATAGTATTACTATTACTAAACCTAATCTTTACTTTACCTATAGCTATAGTATTAATAGTTATAAATAGTTAAATTTACTATAGTATAATAGCTTATAAGTAGCCTGTAGTTAAGTAACTTACTACGCCTATATCTAGTAAAATACCTTAAAAGGTAGCTAATAAGTAATAATTTAGTATAAAGGTACTAAGTGACTTAGTAAAGGTGCTATTAAGGTTAATTTTTATTAATTAGTAATAAATAGCTTAGTTAGTAAGGTTAGTAGTAAGCGCGTTACTATCTACTTTAGCGCTACTAAAGAACATAGTTAAGGTGTAAAATACACTATTATCTTATTCTTTATTATTACTAATAATAAAGTAGGCCTCTTAGAGATACTACTAAAGATCCTTATTATTATTACTATCTTTATTTTCTTTTTTCTATAGATAGGTGCCTTTATAGCTAGTAAGGAAGGTATTATATATAGTTAGTAAGGTATCTTTAATATAATAGTTACCTTTAAATTACTAGTACGCTTTATGTCTTTTATTAGTAGTATGCTTTATTAACTAGTAGCTAGGCTTATAGTAAATATAGCACTTTTTAGTATTATAGCTACTATTATTATTATTACTATTATAAAAATTACTACTACTATAGTTATTACTAAACTATTAATAACAGCCTTAGCCTTAGTAGGTATAGTCTACCTAATATTAATTATTAGGTAATAAGGGTAAGGATTTAGTAAGGTACTAGTTATAGTAAGGGTGCCTTATAGTAGTACTAATAGATAACTATAATTAGCTATATACTTTTTTTAATATTATAGCTAGAGCATATAGGTAAAGGTTACACTTAGGAACTCTAAAGTAAGTATTTAGTAGCTAACTTCTTAGCACTTTATTATTTTAGTATAATAAAGGGAGAGCCTATTAGATAAAGGTAAGCTTTATAATAAGCTCCTTAAGGGCTTAGATCTTAGTTATTATAGGATTATTACGTATAACTTAAGGAAGTGTTATTTCTTACTATTTAGATAAGTAAGTCTATATTTATTCCTATATCTTAAAGTAGTTATAAATATAGTTAACTATTTTATTAAAATCTTAGATACTATTACTATAGATATAGTTAATATAGAACTAAGATACCTTACCTTTTAATATAATAGAAAAAGTAGGACTAAGTTAGTATTACTTAATCTTAACTTTACTATAGTTATCTTAAAAGATACTTAACTTAAGATTAAGAACGTTATATAACTTACTGCTATACTTAGTTTTATCTATTAGTAGCTTTATAAGATTAGTTAGTTAATAGGGGTATAGTTAGGAGGAAGGGATAAGTATAAATTTAGATCTACGTAGTAGCTAACGTTATAACTTATTATAGCCTTATAATTAAAATCTCTACGTAGTGCCCTAAGGTAAAAGGTTAGTAGTAGGCTTATAGTTACTTAATAAGTTAAATAGTATATCCTACTAAGGATTTACTCTATTTACTATAATAGGCTAACTACTTAATTACTTACTATACTAGCTATAATAAAATTAATAAGGTTAAAAAGTAAAGTAATAAGTAGGGTAATAAGTAAGGTAAGAGGTTCTTAGATTACATAATAAGGTATTAATAAATAAAGTACCTATATTACCTCTAAGTACTAGGTTTAGATTAGTAAGTGCCTAGTAGATTTTATCTTATTATAAAAGTAAAGTTAGGCCTTTTTACTCCTACTTTAGCTAGTAATAATCTACTATTAATAGATAAGTTAGGGTAAATAAGGTTAGTTATCTCTATAAAGTAATATTAGCTACTATTTATAATAATATTAAAAAAGCAGTAAATAAAGCCTAATTAATTATTAATTTTTCCTTAAGTAAGATATATTAACTAGTAATATTATTAATAAATTTAGGATTCTTTATTTATAAGTTAAAGATAGGCTGTTTATAGCGTGTAAAAGTAATATCTTTTTTAGTCTATATATAGAAATTAGCGTTAAGAAGGTCTACTAATTTAGGTGTAATCCTTCCTTTTGCTAGATTAATAAAGACTCTATTGTTAATAAGGTAATTGTAAAGTGTTAATAATACCTTAGTGCTTATAGCGTTAAAAGTAGTAGTAGTCTAATCTATAAAATCTAACTAGAAGGTAGCAAGAAGGCAGTAGCTATAGAGGTTAGCGTCTAACTATATAGCAATTATATATATTATATATAATCTAACTTTTTAGGGGTCTAACTTATTAAGATTAAAGTTAACATAGTTACCTTATATTATTAGATTAATATAGCAGATAAAGGCAGGTAGAAGAGGGAGAGGTTACAAGAGGTAGGATAGTAATAGTAGAGGATATAAAGGGGAATAGGTATTTATTATTTATTAACTTAACGGCCTTACTGTTACTAGCAGTAGCTCTTTACCTTTTTTCTTTCTACTTATTATTAATATAGATTTAGTTAAGATAAAGTAAGGAAGTAAAGAAAGTTATAATAATAATAATAGTTAAATTTATAGAGGATTATTTACTAATAGGCTAGTTAATCCTCTCTACTCTACATAAAAAAACCTTACTAATCTATTATAGTAGTAATCTAGTAATTAATTACACACTAATTAGTATTAGTTAATTACTAAGAGGGATATCCTGTAGATTACATAACAAATCGTAATACAGAATATAGTAGTTACTTATTGTATTAGTTACAAAGTGAATCCAGACTTTTAGGTAGTATACTAGTGGTAAGGTAAATACTGCCAAGGAAGGCGGTGTATCACGTAAATATCACGTGACCACCTCCCCCAAAGCATACCTACCGTATACCAACAATCACATTCTGGTACTGGCCCAGACATGTGGTCGATGAGTGCGGAAGGTAAGTGATGAGATTCTGAAATGTCTGTCAATTCCGACATTCCGACGCTAACCGGACATAAAGGTTGCCAAACACTCTCTCGTACTTATGCTATTGAATCAAGCGCGTTTGTTCTTCACTGCACAGCTTTGATCACCAATAGAGGAATTGAGACACATGACAGCTCCCATGGCCTCATCATGTGCAGCCCCGGCGGAGGTACCTCTGCTATCTTTGGCCCAGACGGTCGCCGTCTGACGGAACCTGTGGATGAGACGACAGAAACCATCATGTACGCCGACCTGGATATGGATTCGATCAATCGAGCGAAGATGTTCGCAGACTGCACCGGCCACTACAGTAGACCCGGTCTTCTGAGACTCAACGTCGACACCGAAATTCATGCCGTGGTGAGATCGGATAGGAGCATTGAGAAGCAATCAAAGGAGGCAGTAATGCCTCCCCTCTGAGTGTGTGCGTTCGCGCTGTTGACGAGGTTGCCACATGGCGCAATTAACAACAAATTGCGAATGACTATTAAGATTGTTACGGTACTGGTTAAGGTTAGCCAACTGATGGATCAATGGATCACGATGTTTGTTTATGGCATCATACCTTGCATTTTGGTCTTGCTTTCTGCTCACAGAGCGTTGCTTGTCAGCCAATTGAAATCCTCACAATCTGTTAATCCATGGAATGCTTGCAGAAGGTCGACAGGGCAAGCACTGTTGGCGCATTCCCCGTCCAATACAGACATGTCAAGGCTTCCCGGTAACGCGAAGAATTTCATATCCAAAGTACTAAAATTCACCGGCGGTGCATCCCTTGTTGGGGCACCGTGTCCATCCCATTCGTATTCGAGTTGTACTTGGTTGTCAGTATCCAAGCCCGGATCGGGTTCTCCTGCTGTCTTACTCCCAGGCACACCAGCTTTGCGGAAGTCTCTCCCACTTCCCGGTGCCGCAGGGTCGACATGGTAACCGAGTTCCGTTGGCAAAGCTCTCATGACTCCCCAGCGCTGAGCTAAGATGCGAATGATCATCACGCTTTTGCTTGCACGCTCCGGCCATGATGTTTGGAGCTCCCGCAGAAGCTCGAGACATTGACGGAGCCAGTACGTGCTTTGGTGTCGAAGGGCTGGATTCTGGCTTGTTGCATTCATCAGATGGACGACGGATGCACTGAGGAGGTGATGAACAATCAGCGGATTTGGAGGCTCCTCAAAACCATGCCCGCGGCGGTAGGTGCGTACAAGACGGGCAACAGCCGTTGCGGCCGTTGTAAGAGAGCGAAGAACAAGAAGGATGAATTCTGAGTTCGGCCCAGCAACTTTCCCACTCTCAGAGGTCGATGAAGGCTGGGAGATGGCGGCAAACATGCGTAGGAATGGCGGCATGGTAATAAGGATCGTCATCTGGTATGCGAGATGAAATTGGAGAACGGGCTTGGGGGTCAAATCGCCTGATAGATGAAGCCGGTCATGGCGAGAGCGGAAGAATGTGTTTAGGTTTTCCTGGCTTGCGACGAGGATGCGCACTTGCTGTGATATCGGAAGAGACTCGAAGGACGTAGAAAAACTTGGAAACAGTCAGTTTGGGCGGGTTCTGTTCCTGGACGGCCGGAAACGGAGACTTACACCTGATCCATATATTGATCATGGAGATACCACAATCTGCACTGCCATGCAAAGGATAACTGATAGATATCTGCTGTTGAGCTCTCAAACGTCGTATCGAAGTTGGGAACATTGACCCTCCTCCACGGAAGCGCACAATTTCGGCCCAGGATAGTGATGGCAGTCCGATCACCGATGTAGAACATCCAAAATGTACGGATATCTTCCTCACTAGCGTCGAGCCGTCTCGCTTCACACTCTTCCAGGGCCAAGACGTGCAGCCGAAGATACACACACATTCCGGCGGCCATGGAGATATACATCCATGAGAAATGGTCTCGGCCCAAGGCCAGCGAGCGCCAGGACATCATCGTGAGACTTTGAATGACTTTGACTGTGGGGTTCTGTCGACAGCAAGAGAAGACGAGACTCTCTGCAAACTCCGCAAACGCGTCCCCAATGATCACGGCATCGGTTCTTCGCGAGAAGGTTGTTCCCGTGGCAATGATGGCACTGTGTAACAATGCCTCGTGGAGAGGTTCATAGGGGTAACTCTGAAGGAAGTCAAGCGTCGTGTAAGAGGTGAACTGATGTTCCCGATTGATGTTTTTCAGAAAAAGGCTCGCCATCTCATTCACGAGACCCTGTTGGCGGCAGTAGGCGAGAACATGTTCTGTGGGAGTAACGTGATAGGTCGGGGGCACTGTCTGTTGTACAGTCTCGACCGCGTAATGAGACCCAGTCTTTGGATCGTCGATGATGGTCACTCCATCGCCAACATTAGTCCTCCAAAGCATCACACACAGCTCTTCCATGGCCAGCTGAGATCTATCTTGTCCCGATGGGTCTTTTCCGGCACTGCTGCCGTTGCCTTCATGAGAGGAACCATCCCGCACATTAGGGTATATATCCTTAACGTTACTGTCTCCTGCACCACTGTTTCCTCCGTCGAGCTTCTCTTTCACGGCGGCATCAGGCTCCCCTGATTGTGATGCGCGGGAAGACAAAGTCAGTGCCGGTGACAGCTCACTCCCGGCACTTTGCTTTTCCAGAGCCAAGAGCAACGAGTGGACTTGTGCTTCAAGGGCTCTGACATAGTCTTCGTCCCAGTATTTGCGCCTACAACATAACGTTAGCCAAGTATCTGGTTATGTTTGGGGGTCCTTTTTCATTGGGAGATGGAATATCAATGACAACACACTTTCGAGGGCGCTGCTCGGTGTATACACATTCTCTATTCTGTCTGCTGCACAATGAGCATGCAGGGCGAGCTGCATCACACTGTCCATGAAAGGATCGGTTAGTGACAGTACTTTGCGAGAATAAAGACAAGCAGGGGGGCTATGGACCTGTCTCCGTGGGGCTTGGAATAAACGAGCTGTTTCAACGAATGCCATGAAACCTACTTTTCGCTTCCCTGCTCGACATCGTTCGCAAGCGAAGCTTGTCGTTTTCTGGGACATGGCCAGGCACAAACTGATGGGTGTCTTGGGTCTTTCGGTTGGATACACCGGTAAGCTTACAAGCTACGTCATGGAGACTGCGACGAAGGCAGCTTGCTCCATCCGGCGGCCACTGGTACCTTTCATCGGCCGATCCTGGTCTTTGCAGGCTATTTGCGTCAGGGTGGCGAGGCCTAGAACGCTTGAATCGTTGTGATGTCCCCGATGGAGCGTCCCCGATGGAGGTTCGGTGAATGGCCTAGTTCGCGTGTGTTTGTGGCGGCTGTGTTTGCGGAGTGGACACCTCCGCAAGATAAGGAACGATGCGGAGGTGGGTTGAGCGGCTGGGGCCAGACAACGATTATGCAGTCGACGCCATCATCAGAAACATATACTTTGGTCTTGAGTCATACGGACGGATCAAGGTACGACGGCATCGTGATCCCGGGCGCACTGCCACCATGCAGCCAGTGCGTCAAGATCGTATGCAAACATGATGTTTGGTTGCGAGCCAACCTTAACAGGCGTGATTTATCCTTTATCTCGCTTCCTATGCGCACGTATAGTGGCAACTACACGACCAATTTCCTGGAAGCCTCTAAAATGCGGTTTCGTTACGCACTTATCAGCCCATTAATGGGATTGATAGTTCCAATGACTGTAAAGCATACCTCTCTACGTGTCATTGCTTGTTTGTCTTTTTCTTCCCACAGATAGAATCGTCGATCGATCGACCAAATCTAAAAGAAATGAACCAGCAAGCCTGGTTATAGCAGCCTTCTATCGACTGATCTCATAAGCCCATTCAGAACACCATCTACTGCTCTACCAACCTGCAGCGAAGAAACGTTCTAGACGGCGGCTGATTTGAAGAAATGCGGATATACCATGCGCAGTTCCTGGAGATGGCGGATCTGAAACTGGGACGCTTTGGTTTCGGGCACAGGCAGCCCTGCTTCCACCAAGTGCGCTGCCGTCCAACCGAGCTCCGATGCACTCTTGCAGTTATCGTATGAATCGTCTAAACGTTGCAGGGGGGCTCACTGTCAGCAGCCTCCTACAGGCTACGCAAGGTGTTATTGCAGTTTAACGTACCAACGAAGAAGCAATCTTCAGCCCTTTCAACATCCGCTTCACTCATAGCCTTGCGGAACATTTCTTTTGCCGGTTTGCATAAAAATGGGAGCTGAGCGTAGTCACAGTATGTGAGGCCCTCAAAGAGATCGTCGATTCCCAGCAGTTTGACGACACGCTTTCCGTGGTTAATATAGGCGTTGGTGAACAGCCATACTTTGACCTGGCTTCTGTCAATGTCTTCCAGGAGCTGTCGGAGCTCAGGGTCGGGCTTCAGCATGTCTTCCAGAGGCAAAGCGTCGTCAACCTTAGTGTTGTAGTCCAGTGGGTCGATTTGGTGGTGGCGGACCAGTCCTTCAATGGCAAGGCCGTATGTTTTGTAGTATTCCTTGGTCAACCTCGAGGCTTCCTCTTCAGGCAATGCGAGGTGCGTCATGAAGTACTGGTCAATGAGTTTCGCCATCAAATCGTGGATCTTATGGCCTTGTGACAGTTAGGTTAACTTCTTGAGACCATCGCATCAGGGAGTGACTGCTGACTCACTTCTCGAGTACAAGCAGTTGTCGATGTCGCTGTGGCAAGTCAGTCATTTGTCGGGAATGCAAGACCCCTACAGAGCTCTCAGTTTACAAGAAGAGCACAGGCTTTCCAGCTGTGGCTCGCTGAGCCCGTCCGTTCTCCATGGCGGTACTTCGCGCGTTTTTTGGAAGTGATGTTTGTGAGAGCTGACCAGGTGGTTACTCAGTTTCGGAATACACCAGTAACAATGGCTGCAGTAAGGCCTTTCGCCGGTTGGGGTTTAGCGTTGCTAGGAAGTATCCTTGTGAGTCATTGAATTAAGCCTCAGGTGCATAGCCTATACTCTGCTTTGTAGTAATTTCACGCCAGAACGTCTGATATTGACCAAGTCTGGGTGTTTAAACATTGACAAATTTCTCATGAGACCGCTCCCGAGCCCCAGAATCTTCGATTTAGTTCATGGATGGCCGGCCATAGGATCGTTGCCTTTGCCTTGGTTCAGCTAGGTCAATGATAGTCTGACGCGTCGTTCCGCTGTCAGTGGGTCTGGGCATAGCCTATCAGACTTGGAATGCATCATGACGGTGCGCTTCACGTATGCGGCATAAACTAGCTGGAAGTTCGTCTACCTACTCTTCGGGCTCTCCGTTCCAAAATGAACAGGATTCGACGTCGAGGATTCGGGTGGTCGCGATACTGAAACTTTGTGGCCATTCGAAAAGATCAAAAACACAAATGACCGGATAGCCCTCCACCTCATCTTGCCGACTTGCAGTGCACAGGGCGTTCTAAGATAAAAGAAGACGCTTTCGAACCTACCGGGCAGCAATTAGCCGGTGCTAACAATTTCAAAGCCCGTCCTTTGGCTTTGGGTCGATTACGGCTTGTCAGCACAGGAAGGGGACATGGTAGGATAAAAATAACACAGCGCCATGCGTAAATCACAACCGCTGACACCAGAGTACGGAATGCTGGTTCGAGAAATACAGACGTTCTGAGCATCAGACCATGTATCCGTGCAGTCACTGTCTGGTCTCGTGACGGCACGTTCAAGGTACGGCCCGTCAGCTGATTACACTGTGCCACTGCAAAGTGCATGCAGCAACCCTGTCACACGATTACGGCCAGAGACGATATTTGATTACCTTACACGGTTCAAGAGTACATTCGTATGTCATACGTGAGACTCGTTTCTCACGCTGTGCCACACTTTACGAAGTATCTCTCCATTCTAGGCGACGTGACTCGTGCGCGTCAGCTGATGCGGCTTCGTCTCCTGTCATGTCTCGTAATCAACGCATCCATCACATTGCTGGTGGTAAGCGAATGCCGTGGCAACCAAATGATCATCTCAACGTCGAGTCATCATAAAATACAGACAGCTCATCTTCTAAGCAGGCTGAGAGTCTGCCTGAAAGAATTTCCTTCACTCTCCCCTGTTGAAACGCAACTTGAGCTTGATTATAAGAGCAGCTGTAAGACACCGGAAACGCAGCGATCCTATTTTACTGTAAAATCTCCCGAAGCTTTCAAACTTGCGTCAAAATAGCCATTCGGCGAATATTTCTAGTGAGTTATAGATCGTTCCTTAGGGGGGAAGACCCCAACGTGACCCTCATATCAGATCCATCGAAACTTTCGCTCATGGTCCCAAAAGTCTGACCGTATTGATAAGCAGAGTTTCTTTCATTCCCCTATCATTATCCACATCGCACGCAGTACTCCTAATGCCTGGAGCAGATTGGATAAGAAGTAAGACTGCCTTGACAAAGCCGGTTGGAATGATACAGTCACCTGGTGGACCAAGTCATCGAACTACATCCAAAAGAGATGCTCCAACATTGCAGATATTCACATTTTTGGAGATGATTAAAGTAATATTGTTCTTGTGTACAAATATGCTCCTCCTTCCTCTTTTCGGGTGGAATGTTGCGAGCATTACCGTATTCATCTTCTTGAGATGTTTGCCATTCGGTCGTCAAATCGAGGGGGCTTTGAGGTTATCATACAACATAGCAGTTATGGAGATGGGTGGTTCTAAGACATTGACGGGATTTGGCAAACCGAAAGAATAGCCGTTATAAGCCTCTCACTTATATGTACCGACTCTTCTAGTCGTATTTGGATCTCAATGGCAATGGCCAAGGTGAGCATACTTAATAATGGAGCACTATACGACTTCGATTGGTAATTCACGCCTAAAAGCGCGCATTCCAAGGGGCAATATGAAGTGCATTGACGTAGAAACGTGACGAGGATAATAGTGTGATATGAGAGTTAGTAAAGCAACATGTCACGATAGCACCATACAGCACCTGTGATACCAATAAGTAGGCTACTTCAGAGATACGCCCTAGTATTGGCAGTTTCTTGAGATGCCTGGCATCACAACAGGTGTATTTATGGCCTCTTTAGATCAAGATGCTGTCAAGCCAGAGCAGACCTTTTCATTTTGGGATTAAGACTTTGACCTTCCTCCGGTGCGCCTGTTATCCTTTGTCGGTAATGGGCTGGGTTGTAAGGCTGAGTAAATCAAGAGGTGTCATTGAGAAAGTGAATCCTGGGTCTTGAGGTAACTTGAGAGCTATTGTAAAACAAGTGCATTGCAATCATAACTGGAACATTCTCCGAGAAAGGATACGTCATGAGTGACATGGCCGTATCACGATCTCTGAGAAGGGGGTATAGCTTCCAAAATTGCTCGCACCAATCACCAGGTTCCACTCGATTCATTGCAGGCCATTTCGTTTCCCCTCTGTTCATCCACCCCTGCTCTAGTACGCGCTCCCATATCACTGAATCGTTGGTGCCATCGTGACGACGATCCAGTGAACTGCCGACTTCTCATCCTTCAGAGGTGTCCAGTGTGTCATAAATTTCTCGTCTCCTCGGAACTGAGCACTGCGTCGAGTCTGGAGACGCACCTCCAGACTTACTGGCGCCCCAGCACGCATGCCAGTCCGCACACGGGTCTTGTATTCGGACTGATGATTCACCATGTTTTGCTTGAGGAAACGGAAGATATCTTGGCCAGCCACCAAACCAACAGTGTTGTTAACGGGGTGTAGCATGTCTAACACTCCCTCAGAATAGAATCTGATGATGAAAGAGTCGTAGGCCACAACCAAGTACTGTCGTCATCAAGTCAGCCACAGGTATGTGTTGAGGATCCGTAGCATTTCATTATTTCGCTTACCTTGGAGTACGCAGTATAAAACTCCTTCATCTGATAGTTCAAATCTCTCCCCTCCAGTTTGTGGAGCAACTTACCCTCCATGCCCGGGTCGATGGCAGAATTGCTCGGTACGCTATCATCAACCTTTACTCCGAGAGCTTTCAGGAAGGCCCTGCGGGCTGACGGGGCCGACGTTGATCGATGCAATACTGGCGGTTTCTTGGCTGCCTCTTCGACATTGTCGTTGCTTGAAGACGACAAGACCTTCATGATATCTGCGTTGGTGTGAATGGTCGTAGAGCAGTTGATCTGGCCGCCGAGGAAGAAAGAAAGCATCCCTGATTCGTTGTATAGCGGCGCTGTTGAAGGATGTTGGGATTAGCCTTGAGGTTGCCTGAGGATAGTGAAAAGGGGATGGGATGCAGTGGTGTTGCTGGGAAACATACCAACGTAGAGCAAGTTCCAGAACGGATCACCGTTCTTCTTATAATTCAAAAGCAACTCTACTGATTCCTTCCGTGCTTCAATCGCAGCTTTCAGCCTCCGGACCGGTTCCCGATCGGTATGAACACCTTGAAGGAATCTGCAGTTCCGGGGAATGATCTCGGGTCGTGTGTAACCTGTGACTTTGATGAAACCATCGGAAGCAAACACAATCGGATTGTCTGCGAGACTGTTCATCCAATGGAGGTCAGCTCTGCGAAAAAAGTGGTTCAAAAAGACGAAAGGTCTTTACCCTGGATTTGTGAGGCAGAAGCAGTCGCCTAGACCTTGATAGGTGCGAGAGTTGGTCGCCAACGCTCTTGTGGCGCTCAATGCCATTTGGTACCGAACGAAACGAGGATAAATATCCATAAAGACATCGTGCTCAACACTTTCTTGCAGGTCCGAGAAAAGCGTCTCCATACGAGGAAGCGTCTTAGTGGCAAGAGATTTCATTTCCGAATGGACTGCGTTTCGCAGCTCCCCGTTGACGTTTATCTGCTTTGAGGAATCATCGGAAAGGAAACCCTTGCGTATCGTCGTCATGACGCCTGTGAGGTCATTCAGTACCTTCTGGTACTCTTCTAGCTGTGATGTTCCAACCTGGTGAGTTACCCGTTCCCTTGCGCGATCCCGGACCGATTTCTGCTCACCTTTTTGAGGAATTCAACACCTTCGCTGCAGAGGCGAGCTTCGGCGAACTTCAGCAACTGATGCACTGTAATCGGATTATGAAGGACGACCTGGAAGATGCCTTGCCCAAAAAAATCAATCCCTCGGGCAGATTCGCTGCTCATCATGCTATGTTTCGATGTCGATTGCTTCGAGATTGACATGGAATCATCGCTCCTTGGCCCCATTCCGGTCTTCGCAGGGCCGTAATCTAGTGTCGAGGTAGCATCCAGTCCACTCTTATCACTGTAGTCCCGAACCGTCTCCTCTTCCTCGTCTGAAATCTCCATGTATGTTGGTCTGAGAGGCTGTTGGTTGCGTGGATGTCGTTGGCCGATTGCCGGCGGCTCAGCGTCCAGGTACAAACGATTTTGATCCAGTACAGGCGTTCGAAGCTCTCGCTTGTGTGCGGTGAGATTTTCCGCCACACGCGATCGGGTTGGCGGCGGCAAGGACTGTCGCGACGACGTCCTTGAGGATGTGGGATGATCGAGGGTGTATCGATGATGCGCCCTCGAGGGCCGTCCGCTTTCGGTCGGCTGGTAGATGGAAGTGGCGGGCGTCGATGCTACGTCTTTATTCCTATCCCCATTGCGATACTCATTGTGGTACTCGTGATAGTCCTGGTCGTTCTCGTCACCATAGCTGTCAGCATTTTCCTCTTCTTCCTCCGAGTCGTCGTAAATGACTACGCGACGTTGACGACTTCGTATGGGCGGAGGAGTTGCTGAGTTAACACCTGCGCTAGTTTCTTTTCCTTCTTCTCGGATGGTGTATCCGTCTGCCTCAGGAGCCCGCGCCAAAAGCCGTCTAGCAGCTTCGATTTCGTCGGCGCGTGGGGGGTGGTTTGAGATGCCACGTTGTCTTGCCATCCGATCAGGGCTTTTGACAGCCTGATCCGGGCGAGAAGAGTGACGCTTGGGGACAGCAAAGCTCTCCCTTTCAGGCCTAGTCTGGGGACGAGAGTCGGGGCCTTGGGGAACCATGTCTACCCGAGACAAAGGAGAGAAAGGACGGCGAAGCTCTGGGGTCTCTCGTCCCGGACGAGTAGCTTTACGCGGCCCAGTCGAATTCATCCCATCTTTCTTCTCCAGTGCCGGGTCCTTGTAGTTCTCGGCTTCGTCTTCAAAAGCTCCAAGATCCATCAAATCCTTAGGCTTTGAAAGATATGACTGGGGTTGACGTCGAAGGTAATCTTCATAGTTTTGTTCGAAATCTTGGCCCGGGACGCTCCGCGGCTTGTCCGCACGGGGCAGAACTTTGGAAATCAGCCCATCGTCGATGGTTCCTGGGGGAAGGCCATTCAAAACGTGGACGTTTGCAGATTGAATGGAGGTCGCCGCGTCATCATCGGTGTCGTAGGCCGGTGTCATGGCTAAGTAGCACACCCACCCTCTGGGTGGATGAAGAAGCAAAAATACTATAGATCGGGCTTTTGCTTCCACCAGCGAAAACGAAACCTTTGCTAGGTGGGTCGACGCGAGGATGTCTCACCTTGCGATAAATAGGAGCACAAAGACAAGCAGAAAAAAGAAATCCTCTTGAGACAAGCCGGAAGAGGGCGTCTAGAGCATCTTTTGTATCTTATCGCGTGCCGGTGCAACCCTACGAGGGACCAGCTTATCTACATGTACAATCTTAATTCCTAGAGATTTTGGTATACCTAGCTAGCTGCTCACGCCGCCCTCAGCAGGCAATGAACACCGCCCACCAACGCGTGTTCTCGTCGTCAGATCCGGGCACTTGAGATGGAGCAGGGGCATGCTTGTCACAGAGAGAGGGTCCAAACCCACCAAAACCTGTTTTCATGCGTGCGATATGGAGGCACCTTTGATAGCATTCCTTCGCCAGTGGCTCAAGTGGCTGCAGATGGGATGACATCTTGATACCGGATACAAGGGTTTGAGCCGCTTGTCCAGAGAGTCGAGACTGCGAGACCCCTCGGCTAGCTTGCGCTCGGATATTGAGGTGACATTGGTCATCGGAACCTTGATCCGCGTCCGATTTTGCCAGATGTCCTCCCTGGTATGGAGAACGGGCGTAGAAGATCTTGGAGAAGGTGGGGGGCTAATGTACGTGCGGTACTGTCTTTGCGTAAATCGCTCGCGTGGTCTCCGACCCAAAGGCAGGTTTGGCTCGGAAGTTCGAGGTGGCGCTGTTGCTAAAGCTTCAACTTGGTTTATGACCCAAGAGAGACGGCATTGTAACTGTACCTTGGCTTCACCTTGGGTTGATCCAGGCTACTGGGTTCATCCTGACGGGATTCCAACCGTCTACGCCATGCCCATTTTTTCGTCAGCGGAGGTACAAGGCTCGTTGCGGGGTGGGTACTTGGACAGAAGAATTTATGTGCATCCCTGGCGAAATTCGCCAAATCGTGGTCTTGGTAGGTAAGTTGAATGTAGCATTGAAGGAACACGGTGCGGCATACATTTGTAATCCCCTGTTACATCTCTCATGCGTCCAAGGGCGTATTGCCATCGCACTTAGATCACCGATATCATGCGTTTTCAGGATCCAAAAGCTGATGAAACTGGAGCACCGGTGCGTGCTTGGCTATACCGCCAAATGGAATGTGTTGTTCTCAAGCAACTGTTCCTGTTGATTATGCTTAAGTCCCCCGTTCAGCCACGATACCGTTTCAAGTAACAATCTCGGCAATTGTACCAATGTTAGTGTGTGACGATTAATGTACCTGAATACTCCGTATATGTACCGGTATATAGTCAAGGCTCTCGTGGCGGCGGCCTGAGCGTCCCTGTCTCGATCAGTGGGAAATTAATGGTAAGATTGAATTACGCCGAGAATTCGTAAGCAATGCAACACTGTCAGTAATGCGCACATGGATAAACACCAGACCACTCGCTATGGCATGACACGCTAGTGTACTCGAGCGAGCGCTGGAGGTTGGCCAGTCTGTTGGCTTGCAATTCAAGTGAGGTAACAGTCATCCTACCAGCCCCGCTTGACTCCTTGAGTAGGTGAGAATTCTGGGGATGTTCTTCAATTGATTTCATTCAAATGACAGATCACGGTCTGGCCCAGCGTATCTAGACTGAAACGTGTGCCATTCCAACCCCCGAAGAACCTGGGGTCATATCTCGATCCCACTCGTAAGGATGAGTTCATCTCAACTCGGCCCTATTGAGCTGTATGAGGCACAGAAGATGGTAACTCGACCAATCGCATGTGTCCCAAGGATGGAGATACTCCATTTTTTTCTGCATCGGAGACATCCGCATGTATAACATGCACCACTCAACAACTGTAGCCCAAGATCTCGGTTCGTAGGCATTACTTTTCAAGGGGATTTTGATGACGGCCTGGCTCGAGCAATGGGGCACAAAGAAACCTCATATTAAGCAAGTAGGGAAACTCTGCCGAGCGGCAATTCGTCGGGGGAATTTGCTCCGACTCGCGACGAACTACGCTCAGTGTAAAAAGCATTAGGATAGAGGGAAGAGAAACCTTTTGCAACAAACAAATCGAACGCACCTCCTACTTCGCCGGTTTTTGTCAAGCCATGGCCGTTGAACGTACAGATAATCACATTCAAGGAATCCACCGTGGTAATTCAGGGTGATAGCGGGCATATCGAGATCCCAGTTCTGTGCTCCCCTTCTCAAGATTTGTCTTCAGGGACGGCACGGAGTTATTCCCCACAAGGGAGAACCTGTGCTTAGTTGCTCTTGCGATTGAGCGATATCGCCTTGCTCAAGACCTCCATCCACAGGGTAGAAATCCCGGACAGCCCAATGTACGACATTGATGGGATATAGACCGAGTACCGATGTCAATCCAAGCCTAGATACATAGATAACGGTCGTTTGGCGAATCAAATTTTCCTTACATACATGTATTGTCCTTAGGTATGTAAACCACAACGTGATTGTAGATACACGTTGGTTTCTCGCCATACATATTAATGTATTGAGAGATTTCGCTAGATATAACGAGTATAGCTGTAACTTGTGGAAGACCATGGCATCAGTCAGAACAACGACGACTGGCCATGTTGGGCAAATGAGACTCCTCAACACACTGCAGTGAGAGGTTGGAATCACATGATCGGATGGCACATTGTGGAATCTGTGACAAAAGGTCCGGCTGATTGACATTCTTCAAGCTGAGTCGTCATATCTTGTACTGTCACACACGTGAGGAACATCTCAGCTGTTCTGGCATTAAAAATTGCAATAGCTATTAATTTTTGCCTAGTAGAAAGAAACTCAAGCTACAAAACCCAAGCCATTATTCAAAGTCACAACATTGACAGTGACATGCCCTTTGTCGAAACGGCCCATTGGCCCATTATCATGCATCCGTACGACTCGCACCTTATCCATCCAGGCGACCAAATTCCAAGGCTATTTTCATGCTGCATGCACATGCTGCTCGAATACCACTCCCTGGGCTCTTTCTATTGCCGGCTGCTGACATAGGAATCGCTCGTCACGTTGCAAACGGTGATGGTAACATTGTAGTTGGACAAGGTCGTGGACGACGAGGCGCCATACAGGCTGTACAGGCCAGCGGCGAAAACATACTGGCCGTCAGCGAGATCAGAAGGGACGGTTACAGTCTGAGTGATGTTCTCGATAGTGTTGGACTTTTCTGTATGCGATTGTCAGCATTAGGCTCAGCAACTGTCAACGTCGACGGGGCATCCGCACCAGGTCCGAGGTAGAACGAGCCCAGCACATTCTGGCCGAGGGTGCCGGGATAGGCGGAGATTTTGGGAGCCATGCCGAAGGCGATGGCGACGTCCGTGACGGACTGGATGTAGCCCTCGGTCTCGATGATGGCATCGACACGGTCACCGGCCTTAACGGCCTCGGGGAAGGCGATTCCGATGATGCGGGCATTGGCCAGAGCAAACAGGCCGGCGGCGGCAACGAGGGATGCGCGGAACTGCATGTTGGCTGGTGTTTTGCAATCGACCGAGTGTAGAGTGTGGTATTATGGTGTAGTGGTTGAGGCGAGGTATGTGTCGAACAGGCTGTATTTGGATTTGATGTTGTGCAATACAAGAGGCCTCGATCGATGGTGGGAGTTTGTCTGATATTATATATTTCCATCAAAACACGGAATCAAGGCCACGAACAAGCTTTGATTACTTGTCGCTAGAATTTTACTAAAATTGCGTTCGTCCAATCCAACGACGTCAGGGCCCCCAGTGTTTCCGTCGCCACACATTATGGACCTGAGGATTACATCGTATAACGCCAGGCAGGCTCCGCCTAGCCGCCAACAGCGATCAGCGCAAGACCGGCTTCAGCGGGATGACGCAGTCCCAAGGTCCTCTGGAGAGCTCTCCGGAATGTAGATTCTTGAAAGTTTCCGTGGCTGTCTATTCTTAGCAGCAACTGACGATCTGCCGGGCTCTCCGGACCCAACCTCGTGTCCAGAGGAAGCGGGCTTTGAGCTCTCACTCACTCCGCACTCGTCGTATAAAAAAGGAACCAAGCCGGAAAAGCGTGCCGGGGGACATCTCGCGCGATTCCCTGTGCCACCGGGGTTATCACTACCACGCAAGCTAGCCGACCTTGCCAGCTCTTGTGCCGATCCTGACGATCTGCATCAATTGGAAGGGCACCGCACTGTGTAGTGTATGGTAAGTGCCGGTATTGCGGCCGAAAGGTTGCCTGCCCAACCCCCTATATAGCCCTTAGGCTGCGAGGTGACCCTATTTTTGCTAAGGGCGGGGTAGAGCCAATGCATTCAGAGCATTACGTAGTAAGTCCAACAAGCTAATAGTCTCAGGGTACTTCTATTTATGTGCTAATTTGCCTACATCAAAGGTACCAGGATTCTCTGCTTTTACAAAGAGGTACATTACAGTGTAAGTAGCCCTAGTAGGTCTTCTGTTACTATACCTACTATCTACGATAGTATCCGGCCAAAGTAAAAGCTTCCTGTCAGGTAACTAATACGCACCCCCCTACTACAAAACTTCTCTGTTAGTAAATATTCCCCTTTAATAATGATGTCAGCTATAGGGGGTAACATGGCTGGGAGCTTTTAGTTACCCCTACCACCCTGTACTACTGGATATCTTTAGCTAGACCTCTATATAAGTAGTAGTATAACCAGAGGTATTTAAATTAGAGAATACTATGGTTTTAATTTAATAATAATGTTAAACTTAGTGGTGTTACCTAATAAAATAGTATTATAGCATTATGTATTGTTATACTCTGTACGGAGTATACTACGGAATATTTGGTGTAAAAGTGGAGGGGGGTCTACCTTGGCAGAAATGGGGTCACCTCGCAGCCTAAGGGATAGAGAACGAGAAAGCTGTCGGCTTCTCCCCACATGGTCCAGCACTGCACTAGAATGCTCACAAGGTCATTACGTACGTCGTACTATGCCAAGTATAACGAACCCTAGGCAAGGCATGGCCGAGGTTGATGAGGCCGGTCGGACTGCGCCATCTTCGGGTCGGTCCCAGCTGACAACTAGTGCACTACGTGCCGTGTTTGTTTTCCTTCAAATAGGCAGCGTGTATCCGTACTACCTAGGTACCCGCTTGTTACCAGGTATAGTCTAGCTTAGATCAGCATTCAACAATGCATCAACCAGCCAGTCAATGTCCTGTACGTCAAGTATGCCCCGCCCCCTTTTCTGGTAGGTATTGTGTGGGTGGACCCTATCGTAAGCCAGGGGTCTTTGAAATAACGGTACATATACTAGCCTATCTATACGTCATATAACAATAGTCGCCTTGCCAGAGTGGTTAATGGGCTGGCCTGCTAGTTTGGGATTGCATCCTGGAGAGCCGATAGCCAGTGTCTTCGGACGCGCAGGTTCGAATCCTGTGGGCGACGCATATGTTTTTGAGATTTTCTTCCACGTCAAATTCTTTTCTTCTCTTCTCCACAAACGCTTTTTGGTTTCCTTCATCCACGACAACTGATTTTGCTTATTCTCTTTATCTTGTTGACCTGGCCTATGTACTTGCGACGCCTAAACCACTTTATAATGCAGATATATAGGCACATACACACACATGTGCGTTAGTAGAGAGATAAGTGCAGCTTGCGTTAAATGCTTGACGATCGTGGTTACTGTGCAGTTAGAGTGCATGTGACGTATTGGTATTGAGAATTGGACCGCAGAAGTTATTGCCGATGGTCGTCTCAAATTGGCATCAAGCCTCCAGCCACCCCAGACTCCTTGTAGTATGTATGTATGTACTTTGCGCGATGTGAAGAGATAGTTGGATATCCTGACGTACACCTGTGGTTCGTATCCTTACGACCGTCGGCCATGAGAAGGAAATAGTGTGTGGTGGCCCACTACTGGGTGGCTTCACGGTTGTAAGACCGATCAGGAACAACCAGTCTTAGATCCGATCGATTGACAGACACCTCCCCCGTGGGGAAGATATAAATAAACAGCTGGCCAAGTCGGTCAGATACGGCTAGCAACCACATGATACATGCACGTCTTGGTCGATGCCTTCGTCGATGAGAATGCCGTTCCGATCTTGCGGCATTTCGCTGTAGTCCTCGGGAATCTACACGTACGCGTCGCCAGTGCGAATTCCCGAACAAGTGGGTTGCTCTGGCTGATGTTGCCAAGCCCGCCGGCTAGCAACAAAGCTCGCTGATGAGGCCAACGGCGATCGTTCTGTCGCTCCGAGGTGGGGGGCTCGTATCCTATCGGCCCCGAAGGAAGCCAGCCCCCCTCGATACGAACGATCAGCAGCCGTTGCGTTAGCGTACTATGCCACTTCCGCATGCGACCTCTCATTGACGATCCGTCCACCCTTTCCACCGGCTGTTCCACTGTCGAGTGGCACGAAGCTGTGGCCCACGCTGTTGCGTTTGGTCCACGCAACGTTGGGCACCGAATCGGCTCTAGGTGGTCGCTGGAAGAATCGCAAGACGAGAACCGACCTTTGCCATTATACCGAGACGGGCACAACTGACACAGCTCAGGTTGGCTGTAGGCCTCGCGTAGATCGCTGACCAGATGGGTTTCGTGGACTCGTATTCCCTCACCCAGGGGTTTCCAGCTCTTCACTAAGACCCATCGTCATCAAATCACACAAAGACTCATATATTGCGGGGTAAAGCGGGTCCCTGAAGGCGATAGTGACGAGAGGAATGCCTCGTATCATGAGAGAAGTGTCGCCAATACACACTACCCCAGCTCATTGTTTGGCTGCATCGTCCCGTGACTTATATTTTTCGTGAGGTCTAGACTTGATTCTGGCATCATCTAGTGGTAAAGAGCTCTTTTGATAATCAGATCATCGCTGGTTTCCTTAAATGTGCTGCGCAATAGCGCGTTGTGTAGCGACTCCGAGCATCCAGATGGTGCATTTCCCCTAGAAACATCACCTTCACAATCGCTTGGAAGAGTGGTGCAAGAAAACCGTCAGGATAAGCTCCCAAATAGAGGTCGGACTGACCACAGTCGGATGAATTCGAGTGCATAATGTTGCCGAGAGGCTATCTTTCTGTAATCCGCCTTTTGCTGGCCAGAAAGTCAGCTCTGTACCTCATTATCAAGCGCAGACAATGGTCCTCAAGATGAAACCTCGATTCAGACTAGAAATAGATTTAGTCACGGGGGCACATGTGTTTTAAGAAGGGGCATCCAAGAACATGTAAGTTCATTGCGATGAGACCACCAAGCTAAACTGTTTTGCTCAAGGCTCAAGGTACCAACTGTTGCTTGCCAAGGACCACGAATGGCCAATACTTGAGCGACATTGTAGGTATTATACCCTCCAATCTTCAGCAATTGGTTGAGAAATGATTTCCAAGAACTGCCATAGACCCAGGAGATCTTGTGCGATCTGGCAAATGTCAATCATCTCATTGCAGACGGCCCATGCAGTCGATTCATCCCTAGTCTGACGTTTGATTTCGGTCCGCCAAGGAAAGTCTGATGCTTCCATCGCAGGCTCACAGAAAGCCCGCCGCAAGTATGAGTTTGCCGGAGTGACTAAGTTGTTAAGGTTTTCTGCGAGGCCTACAACAGCATCGTTTCACGATGACGATTGAGGCGTCTTGAAACCACTTTTAATCTTGTCAAAATTGTATCCGGAGGCGATAACAAGTCTACTAACTTTGCAAGCTGGGGCGGTGATAATGGGTCTGAGCTCGTAAGATCAATGCTCTAGTGTATTCATTAAAGTGCAAATGGGATTGTAATAATACCTAGGTAGAGTAACACGCACAACGGCACAGCCTGAGCTTAACAAACCTCAGCAATAGACTTCACGCCACATCGTGTCACATCAAACGAATTCAAGGCAATTTCGTTCCTATAGAAGATGTCGTAAGAAAGCGCGTGCTCCGTAAGATAAGTTCTCGCAACGAGGCTTTAGCGAGTGTTGTGCAGAGTGTCAAATACACTTTGTCGCACGTTTTTTTATATGGCCGTGGCCTTTGATAATGGCTGTCCACGGACGAGGCGCACGCACAGCCTTCTTCGCGAACCCCGTGGCGAGCAACACCCCGGTTTCAGTTGTCCCTTGCGTGGTATCCCGGAGCCCGGGCAAGGCTAAATGTTTCGTGCCGGTTTACCCGTGAACGGACCAAACAGGCTGTTCCCGTCTGCCCCCCCACCCCGGCTGTTCGATCGTCGGTAGCGGAGACTCCATTAAAGGTAGAATAGGAACACGGTACGTCGGTACCCAATCATCTCGTCTTGAAACTAAAAGGTTATTGACTATTGTATACCTAGAAGCTGCGTCCAAGAGTCAAGAGTCAAGACGGACACCTTGGACAACATCAAGGTTTTGCCGAGTCATGCCGAGTCGCAGGCCCGAGGTAACAACCATGGAGCCGAACCTAGACGAGTGTATCAACCGAATTGCATCGTTGCGGCCAGATAGCCCCTGTACATTCCCTGCACATCACTTCCAATCTATTCGTGGTGATGAGCTTATGATAACGGAGGACGTGGTTGTGAATAAAGACATGATGACATCCATTGGTCAAGCGGTAAAGAGGACAACGCTGGACCCCTTCACTCTGGCGAAGTAAAGACTGCAACATGTGATGATACTCCGTAGCTGGTCATGTGCAATCAAATCCTGCATCACGATACAATGCCAAAGCTACAACTGAAAAGAAGGAGAAAAAACCGTTTGCTTGTGTTGTTGTTATATGTAGTTTTGTGTGGCTATAATTCATTTCGCCAAAAACAATAAAAGGACTCGATCAAGCTTGGATGGCCTTGTTTCAAACGATCGGTGGAGATGATTTGCGTTGACGTGAATCAGAATGGTCGATCAAAAAGACGGATGGCACAGGCATATCCGCGCCATGCCGTGGCATGCTCGAGCCCTCTTCGGCGCCGGCCGATCTGGTCCCGGCACCACGGAGCAGGCGCACGACGAGATGGGAACAGCCGTACCAAACAGCGGGGGCCGGCCGAGTGATTCCGCCTCTTACACGAGGTTTTTCCGAGGCAAGTCGGAGTAAATGCTCTCCCCCTCAAATTAATGCAGCCCCTGCTTGCAAATGCTCCCTCGTCCCGTGCAGATGTCTACAGATAATGGTTGGGGGAGGGACTGTCACCAATCCAGTTTGCAGGTCTCCAAAGAGAGCGGAGAGGCAGCGATGCAGCAATGATGATGACATTTGACGGGGAGAATACGTGAACCCTCGCCCGTGGCATGACGTCAGAAAGACATATTCGTCCTCGCAAGAATGGCAGCCGAATAGATTTGGGTAAGGCCGTACGGACAATGCTGAAGACATACCTAGGCAAACATGACCAAAACCTCTGTCAAGGAATAGCAGTGGCCAACTCTCAACTTACTACGCCTCTTTTTTCTTATTCTATTCTTTCATAAACGCAACGTTGAGACCTAGTCAACGACACCAGACAATGGCAACGAAGCCGAACTCTAATGCCGGAGACCCGCTGAGCACCAAGAACCACGTGCTCCAGGCTGGTGCATCAGCGATTCAGGTACGGGTTATGCTTCCCCCCGCCCTTAATGTTAGATCGAGGTGGACGCTACGATGGCTGAATCTGTCATAGGACTTTGCGCCTCTCAAAAATGTCTGCGCTCACCTCAACGCTTTCCATGCGTACGCGTCGGACCCCTCCCGCGTTGTGGAAGCAAACCACTACTGTGGCCATCTGAATGAGGACGTGCGGCAGTGCATCCTCTACGACAGCCCCGAGCCCAACGCGCGCATCATCGGCATCGAGTACATGATCACGCCCAAGCTGTACGAGACTCTGGAGCCCGAGGAGCGCAAGCTCTGGCACAGCCATGTGTACGAGGTGAAGTCGGGCATGCTCATCATGCCGCAGGCCACGCTGCCAGACGTCGTCTGGGAGGCGGCAGAGAACAAGGAGATGGAGCAGGTGGTCCACCTCTATGGCAAGGTCTACCACCTCTGGCAGGTCGACAAGGGCCACCAGCTGCCCCTCGGCGAGCCGCAACTCATGACCAGCTTCACCAGGCCGGGCCAGTTGGACTTTGACAAGTACGTCGGCGAGAGGGACCGCAGGTTCAAGTCGGACTACAAGCGAAAGGAGGAGGCTCGCAAGCACATCGAGACACCCGCGGTTCATCCCGACGCCGACCAGGCCTGGAATAACCATAGCAATGAAGCATAAAGATAGACATTAGACTGTCAAACACTGATGAGATTGCCTGCAACGCCGACACTTTGTCTTTTTTTGATGGGGTCTGTCTCCTGCATCTAAGACCATTGCAGGCAAAGCTGCGGGTTTGACGCAACGTCACGAGGAAGGCATACCCGCCCCCCCCCGCCCCCCACCCTCGATTATTGGTTCCATTGAACGCATGAAGGAAGGCTGGGATGGAGGCGGGTCGAACAGGAGGCGACGCTGGTGGGCGGTTGGCAGCGTAAAAGGGGCCGCGTGGTTATGCCAAGGCAGTTACAGGCGAGGAGATTGCAGACTCGCCACTTCGGAGGGCAGCCCGAGACGAGAAAAATCCTTTTTGGGCTCATATTCCCTTCTATTCCCCCAATCCCACGCTTCCATTAAGGACGGGGGTCAGGTAGCGAAACCCATAGGTTATGTTACGTGTGGATATTCAAAAAGCCAACAGGCCCAGGGGGCGGGCGAGTATGTGACGATGCAGCGAAGCCAAAAGCAGGTGGAAAATAAGGCAAAACGCAAAACAGGCGGTAAAAAAGCAAAATGAAAAAGAAAAGAGTGTAAAGGACGCCGAACTATCCCCTTTTACACTCTATTGGCTCTATGTCGATGCTTCAGATTCGTCTCGAAAAGATATCTGCCTTCCCCCCTCCTCCTCCTCCTGCTTCTCTCTATTCGTAGTTCGATGCAGTCCACCCACTTGATGGTGCTGGTGATCGAATGACATTTGCCCGACCTGCTCTGACTGTGGACCAGGGTGAAACGTGCAGGGAGGGGATCCTGGTGCTCGAATGATCTTGGCGGCTTCAAGGGTGAGATGACCCCTTGCAGCAATCTTGTGGATCTCGCGCTTCTCCTTTCCGTTACGGAGAATTTCGAGGTGCAAAAAAGGACAGGCAATTTCGGTAGAAGCCTGAATTTCTTGAAGTGGTAAGAGAGACAGAACGAAGGGGGTAGAGGAGCGTTGCAGCGCATTCGGTGTGCGGCATCAATCCGAGGCAATGTCTCCCATGAATCCTAGTTTTACATGCAAGGTTAGCACTTAATGTTATCTGTAAGGTACCCGCGCGATCAGGTACTCTATGTCGATTAAACAAATTGCTGGTGGATGGAATGGACTGCACTCTCAGCGGTTACTTCCAGGAACAGAGTTCACTCGTGGGACGAAGGTATAGCGGCTTGTTTGGCCTGCCGGTTACAGACGATGTAGTTGTTCAACGCTCATGACTCTTGACTTGGATGACTGACTTAGTCCCCCCTTCCCAACATGTCTTGTGCTGACAGCCTTGGCCGCCATGGAGACCAAGATGATCTTCGAACTCACCCGTCGTTGTGTGTGGCTGCCGATCGCCCGTGAACCGTGAGGCTCGGCTCTCTCGCATCTTCTTGCCCTCGGGATTCGGCCAACGGTAACCTCCCCCCCCCCCATCCCGGGGCACGATCCAAACGCCATCGCCCCGGGGGGGTGGGTATGACCTGTCGGAGCTTGCCGCCCAGCGCGCGCGCTTCTCTGGCCATATTTCCTTTGCCTCCTCCTTTCTCTAGTCTTCCCGGGCTAGCACAGCATGAAGACTTCTCTCTCCCCTCGGCTGGTTTCCGAGCGGTAGGTCTCAGAAAAAAAGGAAGAAGAAAACAGTACCCACACCGGACGAGCCACGTTCGCTCTGCATCCTACCCGCGACGGGAGGGCCACCGGCGCCGAGGCTGTCACTGTCAACGGAGGAGCTAATAGGAATGGGACGAAAGGAGAAGCATGATGACGATGATGACAATGGATGAGGGTGAGAAGAGGAGTCCGAAGCCCCTAAACCCTCTCTCACTCTCTCACGTATTACCAACCCGTCCGCTTCACCACACTGTACACAGAGTGCAGCCGGTCCTTTTTTCTTCTTCTTTTGGGTTGTCGCAAGCGCTTTGTGCTTTAAGGCTTGGCGTCTGTATCACCCCTCGATCTGTGACCCCCTTTAGGCCGAGGATAGATGGGTCCGCCTTGGACAACGGACGACGGACATAGACGACGGCGGTGTCCCCAGAAGAGCCAGGGCCGTAGCGAGATAGTTTCTCAAAGCGTCCAAGGTTGTAACGATGCTTCATCCCCCCCCCCGACGCTCATCTCTCAGCACCTATCGCTAACATATCCTGGACGGTGGTCAGAGCCGCCTGCTTACACACTACCAGGGAACCTTCTATTGCCTCCCCATGAAACACGTCCTCCCCCCCCGGTCCATAGACAGTAAGTCCGCAGTCGTCCGACCTTTTTCATCCACTTCGGGCCAGCCCAACACGGCTAGACGCCGTTGAATGGGGACTAGGGTGTCATTCACTCGCAGTGACCGAGTACGCACAACGGTCGTCGTCCGACAAGGGCCCCGGGACCAAACTCCAGAACGCTCTCCGATCGCCTCATAACGGGTGGTTGACGGGGGGTTTCTGACCAACGCGAACTTCACTGCGGTGCCCGTCTTGGGCCTCCTTGTGCTCTAAATTAGACTCGTCCCTTTTGCTCTCCCCTGCCACACCCCCTGCCGCAATCCGTCTCCTAGACTTGCCAAGAAAAAGGTTGGGTTCAGGACTAGGTCGCGACCTCCACCCAGCACCACAGCCTTGCGACAGGAGGTGTTGCAGATGATCTGAGCAGATCAGCGTACATTGTTTGCTGATGGAGTGTTTGGCAGCGTTTACACCGTTTCGGTTGTCGACCGCGAGCGCATGTATAAGATGTCCTTCACGGCGTCGTCCAGAGTTAGAGTTCCCCCCCCCTCTGGCCACACACAAATATCAATTCTGCACATCCGCATCGTTCTTTCAGCGGGCTGTCCCAGTTTTTTTCCTTCTCTTCTCTTCACTTCACTTCCTTCCTTAATCGTGCTGGCACACCGACTTCTGTCTCTGCGAGACCATTTCAAAATGCTTTCTTTCAAGGACATCTTCATTGCTTCGGCCGTCGCGGCGGTTGCCCATGGTCACGGTGTTATCCTCAACGCCCAGGGAGATGCAGGCTCGCCGGCCAGCGTCGGCTTCAAGGGTAAGTCGTGCATGAGATTCGCTGAGAAGAGGGGAGAGGGTAAGAGAGAGAGAGAGAGAGAGAGAGAGAGAGAGAGAGAGTCTCCGCCGTGCCTCGCAACTTACACTGACGCCCAAAACCAGTCGACCCCAACATTGCTCGCAACTGCACAACCATCAACCCCTGCCAGCAAGACGCCACGCTGATCCGTGACGCCGAGATCAACGCCAACATTGTGAACGAGTGCGGACGTACCGAGATTTCCGGCAACATCGACATTGGCGAGAACACCGAGAACGCCCTGTCTGCCGGCCAGGTCACCAAGGTCAAGGCCGGCAGCGAGCTCACGGTTACCATCCACCAGGTCAACGCCGACGGTGCCGGTCCCTACGCTTGCGACCTTGACCCCACGAGCAACTCCCTCGGTGGCAGCGGCCAGATTCCCCTGCAGGTCACCAACAACGTCCCTGGCGTCAACGGCTTCTCCCAGGCCAAGGCCCAGCAATTCAACATCACCGTCAAGTTGCCCAATGACCTGAAGTGCACTGGAGGTGAGTCTTAATAAGGCCGGTCCCCCCTTAGCAAAGAGCACAGAACTAATCAAGCATCACAGCTTCCACCGGAGACATCTGCACCGTCCGCTGCCGCAACAACGCCGTCGCCGGTCCCTTTGGCGGCTGCTTCCCCATCCAGCAGACCGACGTCACCCCTACTGCCAACACTCCTCAGAACATCAAGACGCTTAAGGACCTGAACACCATCCTCAAGCAGCAGCAGGGCAACACCAAGGACCTCCCGGCCGCCATCAAGGCCAACCAGATTGACGGCACTGCCGAGCAGAAGGCTGCCGCTGATGCCGCCGTCAAGCTCCTTGGCACTCCTGACGTCGTCATCAAGGATTCTCCCGCCACCGACACCGGCCCTAGCACCGGCAGCGGCAACGGCAACGGCAATGGCAATGGCAACGGTAACGCCAACGGCAACGGCAACGCCAACGGCAACGGTAACGCCAACGGCAACGGTAACACCAACGGCAACGGTAACACCAGGGGCAACGGCAGCACTGGCAAGGGCGCCGGTAAGGGCGCCGGCAACGCTGCTCCTGCTCCTCCCCCCGCCCCTAACAACAACGGCGGCAACCGTGGTGGCAACCGCAGCAACGGCAACCAGAAGCGTGGTGAGGGCCTCCTGCGCTGGGCCAGACGCTATGTCGTCGTCAACGACGAGGCCGACGCGGTGGAAGTTTCCGCATGAAGGGATTCGTGGTCGACACCACCCTGACAGGTTTCAGCCCCCGGTGCTTGTCCAATCGCTTGCTTGCGGCCTCACTCTAATCCCGTCTCTTTGGGAGAGGAGGGGGCGGAAACATCAGCGTCAAAACGCGTTGTGCGCACAGGAACACTCAAATCCGCAAGGGGCGAAACCTTGGTTCCGCAGAGGGAAAGCTGAAGACGGCAAGCAGGGATGCGGAAGTGTATTTTTCTTTTTAAACCGACCAATACATCTTTTCTACTTTTTTTGTGTGTAAAATTATGAGCAAACTTTCAAACTTTCAAAACAATGGTTAATTGTCGAAACGAACCAGCGCGCGTCGTCTTCCCGACTTCTGGACTTACTCGCTTGCACGTCGTTCAGGAACCAAAGACAGTGAAGAGCCCATAGAGAAAGCCTCGTAATCATAAGCCTGACGTCTCTCAAAGGTTGACTGTCCCCTTTGAAGATGCAGTGAGTGACGACAGGTAAAACCGAGTGATATCTTTGGGGCACATGAGAAGCATCGTTCGAACCCCCGTGTCTTGGCTCTTACAATCTCTCGCCCCCCCATATCCCAATCCAGGGCAGTGCATCCCAAAAAAGACTTTCACGGTTCCTGAAACCCGGTGGTGGTGGAGAGTCGGCGATTATTCCCTCTTCTAAACGTCGTTATCCCCCCCCCGGCACCCTGTCCTCTTCGTCTGCATTCAGACGGTCAACCGTGCGTTTCAGCACGGGTGCTATGGACGGCAAAGGAAAGGGTACCGATGAGCGAGCGTATGGGACGGCACATGTCGTATGATGCCTTGAACTGCATTGAGGGACAGACAGGCCACTCTTCTCCTGGTTCTTACAGATGCACGTAAGGCCTGTCCAAGGAAGCGTCTCTTACGACTGGAGAGTCCCAGGCCGGGGGTGGCATGCCGCCGCTGCGTTTCGGCAGGAGAGTGTTGCGTAAAAAGGTTTGGAGCCGAACCAAATTACTTTCCAACTCCAGGTACCGCAGCAAACGATATTTTTCGTCCCTCTTTACATCAGATGCCGCCTTGATGACGTCCTTGGCGCCACGCCTCGCAGCTGGACGGCGCCCGGGCTGCTACATGCAGGGTGGCTGCATGTAGCAATGAACGTGTCGTATGTGAGTAAGCCTCCATCCGGCCGGGAATAATTACAAGACGCATACCGTACGAGGCTCAATGCGTTGGACAAATATTCTACCCCGTAAGTCTCAAAATCGTCAACTCGTACTCACCCACAGAGGAGGATGTTATCAACGTTCTTAGTCTGTATCCAAGACAGCACGAGAGGAAACATGGTTTGGTCAAGCTTGCATTTAGGCATGCGATGCTAGTTCGGGTGGTTTGAGGGCCGCCGTAGCCTACTGTGACGTCGCCCACATGCTTTACATGCAGAACCAATCCTAAACCCTATATGCGGATATCAAAAAGCTCTGCGTTAGCCAAGTGTGGACATCACCAACAACCCTCAATCGGCTTGTTGTGGCCTGTGGTCAATAAGAACCTCAGCGGCCCGGAGTTTGACCAAATCAAGGACAACAAGCTTATTGTTTCCGGTCTTTGAGCAGACTTCTTCGGAGCCGTGACGGAGGAGATGGGCCCTCCCCCCCCCCCGGCACGTGGGAACCGTGTGGTATTTAGTCGCAACTGCAACCGAGTGTCGAAAGTCAAAAAGCCCCTCCCTCCACAGCGTCGGACTACGCTCAATCATAATGTTTGGTTTACAAAACCCTCTGTTTTTTTGAGTCGGGTCAAGCTCAGCGTCCATTAGCCAAAGTCAACGTTTCATCCGTTTCGACGACAGGCTGGGGAGGCCTTGCCAGAGCTAATGGCTCCCACTCAATGTTGTGCAAACGATGGACAGCAGAGACACGAGATTTGCAGCAGATGCCAGCGAATCATTCCTGCTACCCGCACTCCCTCTCGTTTCTTGTTCCATCGTGCGAGGACCCAACTTTGGTTTCCATTCCGTTTCCGACCGGCCCTAACCGAGCGTCAATCATAACCGCTAGTCAGTTCGAAGATCACACCCTCGAAACAAACATTAAACGGCAGACTTTTTGTCTGCAGCCTGACAACAATCTGACAGAGCGCTGCGAGTGAGCCTAGTGTGTGTGTGTGTGGTCGTTAGGAAAAGCCTCGTCTCAGGGGGTGACTTTGTTTCGCGGGGTCCAAACTGTATCACCGCTCGTCCTCGTCCTAAGGCCGTACGAGATTGCCGCGCTGTGCCTGGTGGGATGAGAAAGCTTAGTCGAGTAAACATCACAAAGCAAAGCCAATATGGTCGAGCGGACGTCAATGACGGATCCCCACCTCCCTTCGGTCTGCAAATTCGACCATCGTTCATTCACGATCCACGCTCGATAACGATTACGAGTAGCGCATGCTCCGACCTCGGGCGTGGGTTTTGCAGGTTGGGAACATCGTCAGAATGCACACCGCCGGGTTATCGTCATGCACCACTCACTCGCTGGGCGCGGCAGGTTTGTGACCCGCGGACGTGTCCGTTTAACTTTCGATGGAAGCTCCCTCGTAGCAACGATTGCGCCCACCCCTGACCTAGTCGGAGGTCGAAAAGTACGAAGACTTCGCGTCACCATTGTGTTTCTTTGGGCCGATGTGTCTGGAACCGGGAAAGGCCAGCCGAGTCGCCTTACCCAGCAAGCGCCCGCCGCGCTTTCGAGGCAACCCAAACACTTCTTGATAGCTAGAACTGGCCACCTGGCCAGGCCGACAACTGGGAGTTGCAAAGCTTAACGCGCACACCATGTGAAGTAGGTAGACAGCCACTACAAAGACTGCGGCTCCCTACCTTTCCGTGGCGCTGACCATCCTCCAGCGCCGATCCCCCACGCCGATCCCCCGTTCCCCTGGGAACTCCTTTTTACTTGCGTTTGGTGGCCTGGGTGGTTCGAGTCAGAGCGCTGATTTTTGGAGCAGGATGCAACTCTGGATGTAAGTAAACCCGACTCCAAGCTTAGTATGCTACAGATGTAACTCTAGATATAAAAGTGCCACTACTGCTCCGTATAGTCGTTGTACTCAATAGGACGACCGGGATCGCGTCCTGCTGTTCCGTTCGAAGTGTCCGTGGGCCCCACGTCCCTCTGTAAGCCACTAGGAAGCCCATACACCACTGCGGACAAGTTCCGACTTGAGAAAGGGGCGGCAAAGTATGCAAGGCTAAGCAGCGACAGATAGATACACACAGCAGAAAAGCTTAGTCTCGGATTCTCCACGGCGAAATGGACGTCCGTTCAACATACATCGGGCTTTGATGAATAAAGACCTCTCACATTGGGCGGACCCTAAGTGTACCATGGCGGACCCAAGCCCGGAATGGGATTTCACCCGCGGTATTATGAACCGTCGTAATCGTCATTGCGAGCGAGAGAAGCTTTTGGCCTTGTCGATATGACCAACTCAGGAAGCCTTCAATGCTTAACTGCTCATTTGAGACCAACTTTGCGAGTGCCGCAAGTAGGTTGGCTGATAGCGCCGACGCCTTTACACCCGCGTCTGCAACTGTCGGTACTCCCTCTCGGGCGCCGGACCTCCGAGCTTTGTGAGAAGTACTGTATATTGCTCGACCAATGGCAGGCAGACCGAGGCTCAAGTGGAGGTCGGTGGGATATATTCCGTCCGGAAGCCCCTCGCAGTGACCTTGACGTCGTTTTCCCCACGCTTTGCTAAGACGGATGATGCCGCGACACTACAAGTTGCAGCACAGTGAGCTCACCCCGATCTCGGACATGGCACCTGGGAACCTCTGCATTCGCTTTATTTGTTACCGCAGTTTTGGCCAGCTTTCCGGAGGAAAATAAACCGAGAAGTCTGTGGCGAACGGACTGCCACAGGGAAGCGAATATGCGCCTCTTTAACCAAGCTTTGCCTAGAGGCTTAGTCTTCGATATGTTCGGAGGGAATATATCTATAACGCGTTCGTCTAATACCCGCTTAGAGGGTCAGTTTAGGCACGTCGGGAAGACATCCGAACTTGACTTTGCTGTCGCGCTAGACTGACCAGTGACGAGTCTCTCGCCGGCTGTTATATACTGGGCCAATGTTCCCGGTTGATAACATCTTGATTCGCCATAGAACACAGTCAGCGCCTTGCGGGAAATTGAGGGATTTGGTGTGAAGAGGTAGGAAGTGAGGGGCGCTAACGTGGCCACCTTGGGATAGTTCAACGTTGATGACAATTCCGAAACAGTTCCCGAGAGTCTATGTAATGCTGTTTAGGTCAGCTCCTCACTTGCAGCCTGCTTTCCATCCCAAATCGTTCTTATTTCCCTTTTCCCAGCGCTCGATTTATTTCGTTCATGCATCTGAACAATGTCTCACATTCTTTGCTCATCCTCTTATCCATTCTCTACCCGAGTACAATCCGAGGCGAAGAAGAAACGAAAAGGCATTACTATGTTGAACAGGGTTTCCGTCCTCACGGCCCTCGCGGCCTCTGTCAGTGCGCAGCAGGCTTGTAAACTCACCGCTGAGACCAAGCCCGCCCTCTCCTGGTCCAACTGCGCAGCGGGTGGCACTTGCACCAAGGTCAACGCCGCCGTCACCGTTGACTCCAACTGGCGTTGGACTCACAAGACGACTGACAGCACCAACTGCTACACTGGCAACAAATGGGACACATCCATTTGCAGCAGCACAGGTGAGGACTGTGCAGCCAAGTGCTGTGTTGACGGTGCCGAATACGCGAGTACCTATGGCGCCTCGACCAGCGGCGACGCCCTCACCCTTAAGTTTGTCCAGCAAGGCCCCTCTAGCAAGAACATCGGCTCCCGCATGTTCCTCATGAACGGCACCGACAGTTATCAGATGTTCAAGCTTCTGGGCCAGGAATTCACTTTTGACGTGGACGTCTCCAACCTGGGTGTAAGCCAGTCAGACCATCTTCAGTCTCACATGGAGCCGGGTCACTAACTCACTGAACATAGTGTGGCCTGAACGGTGCCTTGTACTTTGTCTCCATGGATGCGGATGGAGGCCTCTCCAAGTACCCAGGTAACAAAGCCGGTGCCTCCTACGGCACTGGCTACTGCGACGGCCAGTGCCCCCGCGACCTCAAGTTCATCAACGGCACGGCCAACGTGGAGGGTTGGAAGCCCTCCGCCACCGACGTCAATGCCGGCGTGGGCAACCTCGGCTCCTGCTGCTCCGAGATGGACGTCTGGGAGGCCAACTCTGTCGCCGCTGCCTACACCCCGCACCCCTGCGAGACCGTCGGCCAGAAGAGCTGCTCGGGAGACACCTGCGGCGGCACGTACAGCGCCAACCGCTACGCCGGCCAGTGCGACCCGGACGGCTGCGATTTCAACAGCTACCGCATGGGTAACACTTCCTTCTACGGCAAGGGCTCCCAGTTCACCATCGACACCTCCAAGAAGATGACGGTCGTCACGCAGTTCATCGAGAACGGCGGAACGCTCTCCGACATCAAGCGCTTCTATGTCCAGGACGGCAAGATCATTGCCAACTCCAATTCTTCAGTGTCCGGCGTCGAGGGTAACTCCGTCACCAAGGACTTCTGCGCCGCCCAGAAGAAGGCCTTCGGCGACCAGGATGTCTTCGCTCAGAAGGGCGGCCTCGAACAGATGGGCAAGGCCCTTGCCGAGGGCATGGTTCTCGTCTTGTCCGTCTGGGACGACGTACGTTATCCCCCCTATTGGATAGACGTACTCCTTTGATGGGAGACTTTCTAACTCTTTTCTCTTGTTGAATAGCACCACTCCAACATGCTCTGGCTCGACTCTACTTACCCCACCAACTCCAGTGGCCCCGGCGCCGTCCGCGGCACTTGCGGTATCGACTCCGGCGTGCCCGCCGACATCGAGAAACAGGCCCCCGGCTCCAGCGTCACCTTTTCTAACATCAAGCTCGGGCCCATCGGCTCGACCTTGAATAGCAAAGGATCTACTGATGTGAGTACCTCTGTCCTTTCTATGAGAAGACTGCCATGTTCCTACACCCTCTGCCGTTTTCTTTGTGTTGGAGCATCCACCTAGCGCCGCCGCCTCCTCTAGGGAAGAGCAGTTAGCTTTCATATCTTCTGCACCCGTCCTTTGCATTGCCAGTGCGTCTGGAGTTGGCTCGACGATGATTTCTAACAATTGTCTACAGCAGCAGTAAAAGTCCGGATGTGGGAACCCGTCGTCAACGCGGCCTCAGTCGTGTTCTTAGTCCTAACCTTTTTTGTGAGGAGGCAAATGAGTACGGTCGTCAGGCAGGGGCCTTCTTCTAGAGCTGGTATCTGGGAACGCCCAAAATGGCACGGCCATGGAAATTGTTATTGTATCGAGGTGGCAATTCGTGATCGATGAGTTATACTTTCTGCTGTACACCTTTTCTAGTCCTTCCTTTGTATATATTATACAATGCAAAAAGCCTTGGCGGGCTTCGCTATCTGATGTAAGAATCGTAGATGAAGCCACGTATTCTGCCAATGGATACGAGGCTAGCATCTTTACGTTACTCCGGTGCCGCTCGATCAGTGCTGGCAATCCTCCACTTGGGCCGAGCCTGTCTCAAGGTTGAACCGACTAGGAACTGTGATGTTAGCACCGGAGGATGACCCGTACCAAGGACGAGGCGACGCACCACATGGGGCATGTGAAGGTATGATTGGAGACCCAGTGCTCGATACACGCAGAGCAGAAGACGTGGTCGCAAGGCAATCGTGCGGCCACGGTCCCGGTTGCGAAGTCATCCAGGCAAACAGGGCAAGTTGCGGCATCTGCGCCATCGGCCGTAAAGCCAAGCTTGCGGCCGGTCAGCATCGTCGGTCTTGGTATTTCGGGGCCCTCGTTCACGTTACGATTGTGCTGATGCTGGCTATGATCTGGCGGTGGCACAGGTGGTGAGGCTGGGTGTCGTGTTTTCCTGATCTGCTTCCACCCAAGCATGTACAATAGGAGGCAGACTAGGAAGGCAAAAGCGACACATATTGCCGCTGTTACGGCACCAGGCTGCTTTTCATAATCAGTATGGGAGGTCTGGCCGCCGAGAGCAGCATCAGGTATGCTTGCTGAGCTCATGTGAGGGAGGGCTTCTAAGTGAATGCCGGAAAATGTTGAAATAATGTTATGGCTGGATCAATATGAATTCAATTATTTTTCTCGGCTACTGACAAGGTTCTTAATCACTCTCCCTCGCTTAACATGGTCTGTTAATATATATAAAGGTGAACGCATGTTACCCTCACCGACTTATATCGTTTTCATGTGATGTCTCGGATGAGGGATTAAGGAGCGCGATGCTCGGCTTGCCAGATCAGACGTTGTCCAAGGGCATCACCAAAAGCCTCGCAGCCGATTGGCATGTATGTGAATTAACGCGGGCAAGCTGCGTCGGCTTCCCACGGGGAAGCGGTGATCCGTAGGTAAGTTTAACGTAATAGCTGTCTATCATGCCCGAATCTGACCATGCACGGGTTTTGCCTTTTGTATGAGCGATTTTCTCTTGGCGCTCCCGGTGCCTCTTTCAACCTATGGCCACGGCTTCATGTAAGCGATAGGTGAGAGGTAGCTAAAACTATAATGGAAGTGAGTAATAGTTGGAAGAATTCAGGTGATTCCTGATATTTTAAAGAGTTCCCTGTGCAAAGGTGCAATAAATAATTACATCATCATGTGTATTTATTAACTTAACAGAGAAAAATGAGTGAGCCTGGCAGAAAGTTGGACAACCCATTTGACGCTGGGGCAACCACATATTCTCGTGTGATAAACCGTAGCGTGTAATGATTTGAGAATAAAAGAGTTGTCCTATTAAGAATCCATGTATGAACCGGAGAATTGGTAGAAATACCTATTCCAAGCGATCCGTGCGGGTGGTATGCCACATCTGTTGCGGCCGCCACTGGTACTAGCCGCACGAAGCCATTCCAGCTTCACGACATCTCGTAACAACGTATATTCGCTAATGAAACTCTTGGAACGCAGTGCTGGGCTTCTTGTTGCTTCGAGCAGCACATATACTAGACTTTTCGGGCTTCCGGTGTGATTTTACGACTCGCCGATGTCTACCAAACCGCTCACTATAAAAAGTAGTGTGGGGTAAAGGGGGAATTTTAGGAGCGCAGTGCGTAGCGTACTACTAACTACCCTACTAAAGCAATACAAGATGCTTTGTCTCAAGCTTAATACATGTCACTAATCAGAGATTCTCATTCCGATCGGTACATCCTTCAGGGGGGAGATAAGATACAGTTCCTAGGGTTCTTATACTATCTCTTGTAACTTACAAATTCCTAGAAGAAGGGCTCTATTATTCAAAGGAAGCCTAAGATAGTGGCTATGACTTGAATGCAGTTGTAGCATTAGGCAATCCTGGGACCACTTATGTCATCACAGATTGAGTAAAGCATAAAATGATACTATATATGAGTGACTACACTTATGTGTCCTCTGATATTTGACTTGCTGCTTCTAATCGTGAGCAAAAGAAATCCTGCTTCCCAGTCCACCTCTGATCTAGGCACTCTGTCCCACTCCACTTTCGGTCGCTTACAAGATTCCGTGCCCGTTAGGAGAAGGCCAGTCTTCTCTCGGACACTTAGAAGATTCCGTGCTCGCTATTGATAGAGGTGGGGCTATTCCGAGTTAGGCGACACGGAGCATCGCATGATGAGCCATCGTCGCTCATAGGCACTCACCAAGCCACCCGGCATGTATGCTGCATTTTCGGATGTTCGGACGTGGGGTGAGTTGGTTAACACATAATACTAAGTCCCGGCGAACCAATCAGACACGCCAGGTATATGCTGCGGCCCGCAAACAGTATAACCCACTAGTGCTTTTACAGCTACAATACATATCAGATGTGGATCAGTTTGGTACCTTCCACTCAACCTTACTTGCGTTGGAAAATGACAAGGTCGTGGAGCGTGATATAAAGTCTAGATGTTCCATCAACGACGTCAGGACCAACTTCTGAGAGCGCGACACAGATGAACCCTTTGATGAAGCAACGTACACAATGTTAGTGTGCAAAGGAAATCCTTTCCTGGATAGTTTGGGGCTTCTAGCCCTTGTCACGTTTGCATCGCGAGTCACGGCCACCGGCACCAGTCAACTTCCTACGGTTGACCTCGGATATGCCATTCATCAGGCCACTTACAATGTAAGACTTTATCCCGACAGTATTGACGGCTTGAACAGTCGTCTGGTGACCCATGAACTAATCCCAACTTATATAGGACTTGAGGAATTGGTTCAATTTTTCCAATATCCACTACGCTAGCGCGCCCCGGTTCGGAGCACCCGCTCCGGTGACCATCGTGGATCGCCAAATCAACGACGGACAGACCCCGGGTATCTGCCCTTTGAAGCTTCCAACATGGTTCGGATTAGAAACTTTATATCTGAGTGGGCAGATGTCTTTGGAAGAAGTCAACTCAACTTACATCAACCTTCAAAATTTGAGCCCATCCTCGGACGCGTCATTGATAAACCAGTACCTGGTCGAGCCAGATCCACGTGTCACAGAAGATTGCTTGACATTAGATGTCGTGGTACCAGAGAAAGCATGGAAAAGAGCTCGTGATGCCTCAGGAGCCGGTGGTAAGCCTTTGCTTCCCCGTGGCACATGTACACTGTTCTGACGAGTTATGACTCAGCTCCTGTTCTTGTATGGCTCTATGGAGGCGGGTATACCGTTGGCGACAAGAACTACGCTGGAAACCCCGCAGGCCTCATTGAGAAAGCTCAAATGGACGGGTCTGATGGTGTCGTCTACGTTGCTATCAACTATCGACTCGGTCTCTTCGGTTTCGCCTCTGGTCCAGACTATGAGGAACATGGCGGTGTGTCGAACCTGGGCCTCCGCGATCAAAGATTTGCCCTTGAATGGATACAAAAGAACATTCATCTCTTCGGAGGGGACCCTGAAAATGTCACTGTACTGGGAGAATCTGCGGGCGGCGGCTCAATTCTTCATCAGATCACGGCGTATGGCTCTACTAGCCGCGCTCCATTCAAGCGTGCCATCCTTCAGTCTCCTGGTCTTGAGCCCAATGTCGGGACCACTAAGCAATCTCTGAGGTACAACAAGGCGCTCAATTGGGCATCCTACTTCAGTAACTCTAGCGTAAAGACCCTCAAAGACCTTGAACAGCTTCCTTTCGATGTGGTTGAGAAGGTCAATCAGATGACAGTGGCGACCACGAACTGGGGCTCCTTCGGATGGGGCCCTGAGACAGATGGAGATTTTGTGCCGGAGCCGCCAGGCGTCCTTCTGTCGAAAGGGAGATTCGACTCGTTCGTCGAGGTTTTGACCGCACACAACAGTGACGAGGGCTCCATCTTCGCCTCACCCCTCATCGAGTCCAACGAGCAGTTCATTTCCTCTCTTCTAAAGCCTCTCCTCCCCGATGCTCCAGACAAAGTCATCGAGTACATCGCCACCGAGCTTTACCCACCAATGTACGATGGAACTTACCTCTGGACAACGCCACTTGAGCGAACATCTACAGTCGTTGCCGAGTCCTGGTTCATTTGCAACAACTATATGCTTAACAAAGCGCTGGCTGGCAACGCTTTCAATTACCTTTTCGACGTTGCTCCCGGCTACCACGGTAACGACATTCCCTACACGTTCTTCAACAACGAGACCAGCTCAGCCGGGGGCCCGTTGAATGCTTCCATCGCGTATACTCTGCAGGCTTACCTTACCAACTTCGCTTTGACAGGAAGCCCGAACGGAGCCGGTCTGCCTGATATAGCCCGATATGGCGCTGAAAAGACCGTCTTGTCTCTCTACAACAGGACGCAAGTCGTAGATATGACTGCTAGTGAACGATGCGATTGGTGGCAGATGACGTTGCACAGATATGTTGATGGCTATTCGGCAATCACCTATGATGAAGGTGAAGAACGACTTTTAGCAATAGTAGATGCTGTACGATGAGGTGTTTATAGTAGCCTTGTGTCTTTTCAAATGATGATAGACAAAACAAACTCCATGGTGTCGACAAAGATGAGGGATGTTTGTAGTAGATAAGACCAAGTTAATATTAATAGTTGCATGGCAACAAGTGAATAAGAATGTCCCAAACCATGCCCTGTACGCAGATGCCCGCCAAGCGGATCACGAAGAGAACCAAAAGTAGTATCAAGAGTAAATAAGAGTCTTCCGCATCCAATCTCTGAAACCCACTAACAGGCAGAAATGGTCTCAACCCCCCGGAACACCAGACCGAATGTTGTCGTACTGACTATTGGGATAGTTCAGCTGGTTCAAGCTCTTGTCCTGGGTGCCCGAGCCGCCGAGAGCATCAAAGCTGGTTGCCAAAAGACTGCCGCCATCACTCCTGTCCCCGCTGGCTTCCCAGAACATGGAGCCACCAAGTCCCTTGCTCCGCAAATACGAGACCTTGGTCCTGACAACGTCAGGAGTATCGTAAGAGATGAGCTCCTTGCTGACTGGGTCATAGCTATAAGACGCCACTGCTGTGGAGTCGTAAAGTTCGGTCGCGCCCGCGCGCGGCAAGGCCTTGTAATCCCACACCCCGTTCTCCCAAGAGCCGCTGCCAATACCGGAGAAGGGCTGGCCGATGCCGTTGGTCTGCTCGAACGAGCGTCCGTAGATCGGCATTCCGAGGACGATCTTGGATGCCGGCACTCCAGCGAGGAGGTAGTCATTGACAGCAGCATCGGTCGAGAACGGGGTGGATGCCGGGTTGCCGGGGTTCGGGTACAGGTTGCCTTGGTGACCACTGTTGACGTCCCACGAGCCGGCATAGTCGTACGCCATCAGGTTGAAGGCGTCAATGATATCCGAGACAGCCTTGAGGTTCATAACGCTGTAGTGGCTCGGACCGGCGGGAGACGCAATGGTGAGGAGGTAGTGGTAGCCAGGGGTGTACTGCGCAGCGTAGGTGTCCAGCTCGCTCCGAACCGCTTGAAGCAGAAGGACCATGTTGGCAGCTTCGTCAGCGTTGGTAGGGTACTCCCAATCGACATCAACGCCATCGAACCCCCAATCCTTCATGAACTTGACGGATGAGGAGGCGAACAGGGCTCTCCCCTCGGGAGTGCTAGCTGCAGCGGGGAAGTTTGTGGACCAGGTCCAACCTCCAATGCTCAGCATCACTTTCATCTGACGGTTGGACTTCTTGAGAAGATAGAGCTGCTTGACGCAGCCATAGGCATTGTTGCCGACGTCATTCCATGCTGTGGTACGTTTACTGTCAGCGGAATAGAGCATCAACGATTCGGATTGGCTGTCTCACAATCTGTTGGGTAGTGCTTCTCCAAGTCGGCGTAGGTATCGCCGGAGTAGCTAATAGTTGATTTACGGGTTAGCCTCTGTATTCCTACATCGACAGAGTCGGAGTGTGAACAGACTTACACTTCTCCGGATGGACGAAGGTTCATGAATGCATAGATGACGTTCGTGATTTGAGACGCAGGAAGGTTTTGCGGTTGATAGTTGCGACCATATATCGCCCTTTTCTCGTTTCAGTCATTCATAGCACATTCTTGTCCGGTTAGATGGTGCCCGATTTACCAGTTAGTGAAATAGACGGCATTCGTATAACCATCCAGACCGCGTTCGGTCAAATTTGCTGGTGAAGCCGCAGAGGGGCGGATAGCTGTTGACAACAAGCCAGCCATTGTGAGTAATGAACGTAACAGCTTCATTTTGTCCAGAAAATGATCTGCCGATGCCTTAAGTAGGTTCCTAGTAGAGAGAAGAGATGGTGTTGGGATTTGTTTCAACATCACTAGGCATGAGGCGGTCAACTGACTATCATATACTAGTCGACTCCGGTGCGTTTGGGTTGGCGACCATCTTGAGTAGCTGGACGCCAAGGAACAATGCTATTGTCCTTGTTCACACGTACTCTGGAAGTCGCTCGCTGTTGTAGCTCATGTCCACTTCAACCGAAACGTTACTCCATTTTTCTACACGCTTCATCTGAATGTTGAACTCGGTACCAAAGACCTCGACGCCCTGAAAGGCCTATCCAAGGTTGACGAGCGCATGTGAAGAGGTCCAGCGCGTCGTCGGCGCGTCACGTTCAAGTGGTAGCAGTGAAATTGGCCATGACCTGGGAAGATGGCGGTCCAATGCACCGTTGGCACACCCCCAACAGGGGACCTACCGACAAGACCTTCGGTTACAATAAAATATTTGGAGATTCGACACCAAATTGTGTGTGTGTGTGTGTGTATGTGTGTGTGTATGTGTGTGTATGTGTGTGTACAACTGCCAACACCAAAGATGAAGGCTTCGTGATGGTGGCCGGTGAGTGGCTGAAGCGAAGAGCTAATGCAGGTGTAGCCAAATTGTCGTTTCTAGCAAGAGTGAACTAGACTTCGAAATTGGCCAGACCCGAAATTCTTTAGTAGATACCCTTGATGGCCATGTGCACCACAAGTTGGTGATTTTGCAGCGAATGACCGAGTCGGAGCCGAATGTCACCCTCCACTACGAGATCTTATCGCCCGTTCGGGACAGGACAAAGGTGAGCACATGGTTCCCTGCCGACGTATCGTTTGTAACCTGTCGCTTTTCTTCTCTTTGCTTTGGAGGTTGCAAGACGACTTGTGACGTGGTGGGGAGGTCCAGATACTCTTCGATGTGGTGGCGGCTTTCGGATTCCCATGTTTAAACCCGAAGACCAGGGCACCAACTTCGGGACACACAATCAAGAATACAAGATAAGAAAAGAAGCCCGGGAATGAAGCTCCGGGGGCGTCGCACTGCTTGCGATAAAGATGGGCGGATTTCTAGTATCCTTCTGGAAGGAGGAGATGCGATAGAGCGGCGACGGCACATCATCCGTTGCTCCCATGCCGGCTGCGGGAGGGGCCACCCGACGGGATCTTGCGCCGCCTGCGTACCGGCCATCTGATCTCTTGCATATTACAGGGTAGCATCAGGGGTCGATATCAGGAAATCAGAGCCACTTAGATCGTCCATGAGGCTCTCATGCACCCGCGCAGCGCTTCATGATGTGCAACGTTGCAAAAGTGGGAGAAATTACGCGTAGAGGTGCCAACAAATGGAGATTTATCAGTGGCAACCTACCAAAGCATTACTACTCTTGCAGCGATAGATCTGGCCAGCCCTTGAATGCGACGCTATTGCAACCTCCCCCTTTGAATAATCGTAGCTTTGTCTCGTTACTGGCTGCGGAAAACGTCTAGGACCGTTCCGTACGTTACATGCAGAGCAACTGACATTGGGTCGTTTGCCCCGATAGTCTGATACCAGCAGCAGTTGAGGCACGGGGATTGGACAGTGTCAAATTTGCTCGACTGGTTGGTACATCTTATGCTTGAGCACACGGGGGAAGTGATTGTCAGAGTCATCTGTCGGAACCAATGTTGGTCTACTATGGTCTCGTGGATACCGCATCCTCGAGATTGTCCCGTCCCTCGGCCGCATCGGTCGTGGGGGGCTCTCGTGTCACGGCAGATGGCGGCTTTTGTGGCAGAGAAACATCTTGGGCCACGTTGTCTCCGCCCCCAGCGCCAATCCGGGCATCGGCCGCACCTTGCTCCATGTCTGCTTGTTTCTCAGACAAATGCTCCTCCGCCTTTCTAATCCGACGGCATCTCCTGATGGCCCAGATGGACAAGCATATCACGACAAGACAAAGCAGCCCAACGCCCAGACCGACACCGAGCTTGATTGATCGTGAGATGGACGAGGGTAAGCAGATGTCACCATAACCGCCGTAGCCACCGTCGCCATTACCGTCCTTGCCACTATTCCCAGCTCCAGAACCATCACCAGTGCACTCCGGCGAGTACTTTGCGTTGATCGAGAAGAAGCAATAGCTGGGCACGTGCTTAGCGAGTGTCGATTCCGGAATGCTGGCTCCGTAGGTGGCCCGTAGGTGGCAAACGGGACTATGTCCTCGGTCGCGGTGATGCCATGGCCTCTAGCAGCACGATAACGCGCCACCGATATCTTTAAGCCCAATGTCGTGCCGATCAACTCTACGTGCCTGGTGAGCCTGAGGTCAGTGGAACGATATTCCCGGGGCAAACGGCGCGGACGGGTCGTCGGAGGGGGGTTCCCGCGGACGGCCACCATGTACCTTGTCTGCGTCTTCTCGTGCTTCGACTTGGTCTGCGCGATGGCCATCTCCGCGTTGGCGAGGTTAAAGACTATGTATGCCTGCTTGGACACGGCGCCGCCGAGTACGTAATCTTCGATGCTGTAGCCCGTCAAGGAGTTATGAGTCTGGATTCCGACCAAGCAATATTCTGTGGACGGCTCGTCGTCCCGGGTCATTTTGAAGGAGACCACGTGCTTCTGGGCACCCCCAGATCTGCGATGGAAACGTTCAATACCGGTCCGTCGGTTCCATCGAGTTGCATGACGATGTGTCCGGTGGATTTCTCGGCCACGGTGCATGGTATAACAGTACGGAGAAGGTCGGCATTCCAGAAGGCACCGGCAAGAAACCAAGAGTCTTGGGCAAGAGCAGGAGGTAAGACGGATAAAGTGCTCTCGGGTGCAAGCTTGACAGGGAGGAATCGATTTTCGTAAAGGTAGTATCTCTCGGATGAAGACAGAGAACCATTCCCTAAAGGTTTGAGATCATCGGTCGCTGACTCGGTGCCATTCACGGAATGAATGACAGTATCAAACGTTTTGGTTCTCCCTGACGCTGAGGACGCCGAGAAGCTGTTGGTTCGAATGCGGATAAGGGGCCCCTCGAATTTGGACCTGTCGATGGCGCCCAGGAGAAGTTTGCCTGACTTGGCCGACTTATCATCTAGCCAGAGACTGTATGCGGGAGAAGTGATGAGGCCGTCTTTAACCAAGCGCTCGGGTACAGTGAGAGTCGTAGTCGAGTCACTCTGTTCGACGTCCGAGTGATAATAGCTCTCGTTGTAGCCGAGGCCAAGCACGCCAACCATCGTGTCGGCCATTTGAATTTCAACGCCCCCCATGACGAACTTGGGTATTCGGGTGCCGGCTAAGTCAAGGACATCGCTGATCCAATCGCCAACGACGTATTCACCCCCAATGAGTTTGTTGATCTTTTCGCTACCAGGGCCGATGGAACTCGACGACTGGCTGGCATCGACGCGCCGTACGTACACCTGATGTACTCTTCGTAATAAGAGCTCGCATTGATATAGCGACGGGAGGAGCTATCGCAGGACTCGACGTTAGGGACCCAAGATGCGCTAGCTTGCACGTTCAGTCTCATTGACATTTGCTGCGGAGGGGTGCCTACGGAGACGTTGACAAGGTAATTCCAGCCATCGGTCAAGATGTCCAACGTAGGCATGGATCGGCGATCATCCGGGGTCCGGGACTTGACACCGCTGTCGGCGGCAGCGGCGGCGATCAATGGAGATTGGAGAGCGTACGGCAGATGGACTTCAGCCTCAGCCACGGCAGCGCAGGCAGCGGCCACAAGAAGAAAAGACGCCTTCATGATGAAGAGGACGGCGAACGAGTGACTGACGATCAACAGCTCATGACGAAGATGAGAAAAGAGGAACGAGGAGAAAAAGAAAAAAAAAAAAAGCACACACTAGCGCGGCAAAAATACTTCTAGGGCGATGCCCACGAAAAGCGGCACATCAACTCTCCATAGGCAGTGGAGTATCAGAACCAATAACTCCGAGGGTCACGATGCTGCTTGCTGCAAGGGGTTATTAAGCGACATTACGAGGTAGAGTTCCATGATGAAATGAGTTGGGTGACTAGCAAGGTCCCAGAACAGTTCTGGGTTATATCTACTAAGCATACTCGACCAACGGTCATTCTATGTAAAACCACTATCCAATAGTTGTTCATCATATGGTGTGATCTACCACCCGAACTTGCTTCACTGTTCAACCTCGACAGCAGGCGGCGCGTTAAGAAGCTCCTTCAACTCCCCGAACGCCTTCAAAACCGTCCCCGCCTCCGCCTCCCACTTCTTCCGAGACTCTTCGCCGATTTCCCCGTGACCCGCGGCAGCCATCAAGTCCGGCCCAGCACCACCGGCGAACGCGAGGGCAGGCCGGGTGGGTGCGACGCGCAGCTTCATGCCCTCGAGCGTCTTCTCGGCCTGCTCCGACGCCGAGTTGCCGCCAAAGATGCCGTAGCTGACGACAGCAATCGGTTTGCCGGCCCACTCGTTGTACAGGTAGTCGATAGCGTTCTTGGTGCTTCCGGCGAGCCCTCGGTTGTATTCGGGGACCACGATGATGTAGGCATCGTGCTTGCTGATCTCGCTGCTCCAGGCTTTGCTGTGTTCGTGGGCAAAATTCCCCAGAGCAGGGACCTGCGCAGGAAGTATCGCCTCGTCAAAGATTGGCAGCTTGAAGGTGGCTACTTCGACGAGGGACAAGTCGATGTTGTTGTCGGCGGCATCTTTGGCGATGATGTCTTTGACCAGGTCGGCAACCTTGGTTCCGATGCGCGGGATCCGGGTGCTTGTCGCAATGACAGCAACTTTCTTGGCTGCGTTCATCTCGGTGACTGTATTTTCTTTGGCTTAAAAAGGAGAAGATTGATGGCGCAGGATGTTGAATTCTGTTTTCATAGATATTCCTGTGGCCCTGAGGAGCCTATCTTATATACTCGACGTCCGCACGCGTGGCACCTTAGTAGACCGCCGACACCGATGCCAAATTGCCGCGCGCATTATTTAGTCAGTCGTTCCGTCATATTCTTAAGCCGGCAGATAAATCTACCATTTTCAATCAGTACGTGATTCTTCCTGTGCTTCATTAGGCCCAGACATCAATCACTAGCACGCCACACCCGCGCGCGTCGTCTAGGTGTTAGTCATCCAGCGGCTGCGCTACTTGCTATTCCATGTAAAACATAAGCCGCCCCGTGGCTCTTCATGTTAATGGTCTATGACTGAAGTGAACTAGCACAACTGCTTGCTTATGGCTGGCATCCAGCGTGGCAGCGGCAGTCTTCACAGGAAAGGAAGGGCGAAACGAGCTGAACGCGGAACGGAAAGGCGAACCGAACCGCGCGGACGTTAGTCAGCCATAACGCCTCTCACCAGCCGAACGAATCACACAAATGACCCCTGAGATGACCATTCCGTGCATCGTAAGAAAGTACAACAAGCCAGTGTCATTGAGTGTCTTGCCATAAGTCCGCCATCAACAGCGGGACACTAACCGTGATCTGGTTACGAGTGTCTTGGTGGGTCAGTGATAAAAGCACCTCACTCACAATGAGCAGACCGGGCGGTCGATCCGCTCTCGAGGCAACTACGGCTTTTCTTCCTGATTACATAGGTAGCGATGTGCGTGCATGTCTGCCGCCTTTTTACATCGTTTTTTATTTTCATAATCAAAATCATCTACGAAACAGCTTGAAGAGATTCTTGACTCTCGAAAGTGATCAACGAGGCAATGAGACGGCTGGATAAAGCTCCTCAGACGTGTGCTAACCATAACATTGCACTGAAGCTTTCTAATAAGGGTTTCATTAGAAGGAATCAGGTTTTTTATTGGTTCTGCCTGTCTCAATAAAGCGCAGTAGCCTATCGTCGCTTTAACAGCTAGAGCCCCTACAGATAGATAGGTTAAGATTTCAACACGTCAGATTCAGGGTAGCATCAAGGTAAAGAAATCAACAATGGAACCACTTAGCTAGTATGTAGGGATATTGTTCATAACAATGATCAATGCTAGATTATTCTCCATCGTAGATCCAGGGGCTTTATGCCTTATCTGTATGACTGATTGGAATCTGACCGGGGATCCGTCGGTGAGAACCTGATGGTAATAAGTCCGGGATGACGAAGGTTAACTTCGTCGAGTGGATTTAGCAGATTAATGGCAGATTAATGGACCTACGTCACGTGCGAGACGACGACAGAACGTCCATAACGAGATACAGGATAACGCCAAGAGGCTTTCCACCCGTTTAGATTCAACGACACCCAGGTTGAGAGCAACATCATAAAGGAGGCAACCCATGCACCGTGGCTGTGCGTCTTTACACTATGTTTTTATCAGATGGCTTGGCATCATTTCACTGGCTGAGATGACCAAAGGATCTAAGGAGGCCATGTGAAGGGAGCGGCAATATAGGTATGCCTCTTTTCCCCTTAATAATCATCTCAAGTATCGCACATGGCAACAGGCAAGACACCGATGCGCAGCATTCTCAAGCTTTTAGCATTATACTAAGATGACGAGAAGGAGCGACAGCCAATGTGTAGACTAAGTTCATGGCCTCTGTAATATAAACTTTAGAGTAAAGGGATTCTTTGCAATCAAACCGTAGAACACAAATGGTTTCCGGGGCAATTGCTCCTGGAGGCCGAGCGTCAAGTGTTGCATGTATTGGCCAAGATCAGCGCAGTCAGCCACCGACTACAATGTTCAGACTGTCGACCAAGACGTAGCAGAAGACGGTCCAGAGGCGACTTTAATTCCTTCTTGGAAAAGTACTTTCACCTTAGCGGAGAACTCAGTGGTCATTTTGATACCCAAGCGAAGCGGCCAAGATCCCGCAGCGTTCGCCCTCTGTACTCTGTATTATGGCGAGTGCAGTCGGCATGTCACCTGAGGATCAAGATATGCATTTCTTTCCAATTGAAGTTCATGAGAGAAGTGTTGTTCAGTAAAGGTAATCAAATAGGTGAACCGACAGATAATAGCCAGGGAATAAGATGATATGATCTAATCCGTCCCCCGATGTGGACTAGATGGAGACATGCTGACAGGTGACGTCTCAGAGCACAGTCCAACCGCTGGTCCCGAATCAGCTCAATGAATGAAGATGGTAACGCGACCAGGAGTTCTTGCTTGGCACTTTTCATGGCATGGGCGTGGCTACCGCTTGCCCGGGGCTTCCGGCCTTTTGCCACAGTGTGCTTTTATGACATAACAGTGCTCCTTGGCATGAGTACACTGAGGTCTAGATGCCGGCCCTTGGACTGGACGCTTGCAAGTTGGAAGTTCGAATTTTAAATCTAGTTCTTCAATGCAACCCAGACCTGCCATGGGTGGAGTGATGATATTACAGATCGGAGGTAAATATTACCATCTGTACATAGGGAAACAAAGCTTGTAAGCTTTTCGAATCGCAAACGAGAAAGAGTTGCGACGGTTTAGGTACAAACAAGGTTGCTTCAAGGCTGAAATAGGAAGTTCTTTCGCTCGTCTGGTGGGGAAACATGAGCTGATACAGCATATTTTGCCTTCTCTGACGTGAAAACGTCCCCCTCCTCTTCATGTCTTGGCAGCGGTCACGGCTGACCTGTGTTTTAATAGCCTACATACTAGCCTAGAACTACCTGTTACCAGGCAGTATGAGAACAAATCCAGCGTATGAAAAGCGGGAAACAAAATAAAGACATGTCAGCAAGTCTACCGTAAATCTGACCATTTATTGTGCGATCAATCCAGGAAAAGCTTGTTGGATGGTCATGCATTATGACAACATCTGTGCGCCAAACCGTCTGGACTCTTAGCCTTTCGAAACAGAGAGTCTCACCGGATTTCTTCTTTGGGAGAAAAAAATCAGAAAAACTTCTGGCTCGCATGATAACCCGCGCATGTCCCCGGCCTACTCAACGTCGTGCCCTGGCCTCACATCATGAAGCGTTGGCCTGGCAGACGGGCCATTGGGAAGACAGCGATCGGCACTTGACGTGGAATGGCGTCGCTCTCTCAACCAAAGTCAAGATTAATTTCGACTCTGCTTCATTATGCCGGCTGTTCCTGAGTTCGGGTGTTATTGAGCCCTGCAAGTCATACATCCTCGGCTCATCGTGATGGACCTGGACCCGGCATCACCGTGGCCCGCTCATTGTATTATTTATATGGACGTCGTGTTCGGGATTCGTCCACTCTTTGGATATTCCCTGTTTTGTTTCATCACAGAATCCATTGTCTAATACTTGACCCTTTACCTCGGGCAGTCTGAAGTTCCACCTACGCTCTCTTCTCCCGACCACACTCTCTTTTAATTTCAAGAAACACTTCAACTCGTGCCGCCCAAGCAATCTCTGGCAGACGAGAAATATGCAGCTGCATTATTTACTGTCTCTTTTCCTTGTCGCGGTCACGGTTTCCGCAGCTCCTCTCTCTATTGAACCATACAAGTACAAACGTGATCTGGCTACTATCCAAGCCGCTCTGAACAACATCAACTCGGCTCTTCAAAGCCTCGACAACTCCGTCAAAAGCACAAAGTCCGTCACTCTAAGTGCTGGGATCCAGGTTCTCGGCGCCCTTACCGGCGTCAAGTCTTCAATCGAAGATGCAACCACGCAGGTTCAGGCCTCCCAGGTCCTCAACGCGAAAGATTCGAGGAATCTAAAGGCCGCGACTGATGCTCTCACGAATAACGTAAAAGTTACCATCAACGATGTGGTAGCAAAGAAGTCCTTGGTTGACTCCATCGGCGCGACGCCACTGGTAGCCGTTGCTCTCCAGGATCAGAAGACCGCCAGTACCACCCTTGCTCAGACGTTGGTCAGCAAAGTGCCCCCCGACATGACCTCGGATGCCCAGTTGAGCGCAAATGCTCTCAGTAACGTCCTGAACGAAGGAATTGCAATCTTCAGCGGACTCAGCGTCCAGGCTGATGACGCTGCTGATGACGATGATGCTGCCGCTCCTGCGGGTGGCAAGGCAGGAGGAGGAGGTGTTTTCAGCCGACTGATCCAAGTGCTTAAGGGAATGTTCGATTGAACACTAGAGTCATAACAAATCCTGTGGACTATGTTCTCGGCGTTTAGGTGCAGGCGTGGCGGTATGACTATCAGGTACGGCAGGGTCCGTCCCGAATGCGCTGGGCTTATCTGTCTCTCAAACCCAACCTGTCGTTTGAGGTTATGGTTTTATCTCTCACGTGGATATAATCACGAATACCACTTTTTCTTTGTGAGCCTGTTGGTTGCGCCTGATACGTCGCTGCTTCGGAAGGTCACAACCGTCATTGATATGTGAATTATCTCTGAGAATACGAAAGGTGTCAGTGACACCGACTGGTCTCCTTGTCATGTGGACAGGAATGAATTGAGAAACACGTCAGTATATCAGGCAAACAAACTGTTCGTGTTCAACGTCGTGACAGTGTGATTAATTATTTACCATACAATCCCGCAATAAACTTATCTACTGAAGGACCAAACCTATGTGGGTAATCTCATATCGCATTACGATCCTCCCCAGCCTCAACTTCATGCACTGCGTGAGTTATGCTCACCAAAGTGCTCTATTTCAAAGGCCCACCTTCGCGTTCAAGAACCGTAAACTTTTGTACCGACGGACGCCGTCCCAAAGATGGCCGTCCCTCGTATGGCTGCCCAAGGCCTTCCCTATCCAAGCTCAACGGGATCTCGCCAGATGTTGCTTGACTATCAGGCCGCAACTGTGTCGTTTCATCTTCCGGGTCCGTATACTTACTGAACCTTGACTGGATGAACAAAGGCTGCGGGACACCGTATTGACTTACAGGGTGCATCCCAAATGGACTTTGCCTGATCTCGGGCCGGCCGACCGGAACTTCACTGATGTGAGGAGCTGATGGCGAGTGTGCCGCACGAGAGGACATCATTCGTGACAAGCCACCGCGGGCAGACCTCAAAGAGCCGCGCATGGATCTTACCGATCCCCGGATGGACATGGTCCGGCTATATGGCGCTGGCCGCGGAGGAAGTATAACAGGCTGTCCGCCGTTCATGCGCCTCGTGCTGAATGCGACAATGGTGCGCCCAGAGCCGTCTCTTCCGAGACCAGACGAGTCGACAATTTCGTAAGGGTGGCCGAGCCCAGCAAGCTCATCCTCAATCTCTTCCTTGGTAAGGAGCGCCGCCTCATATTCTTCTTCGCCCGGCTTCGGCTTCCTCGAGTAATCGCCCGGTTGACTGGACCCATTGGGAACGTGGAACAGCAAGTCGATGCGTACGACAGCGTAAAAGACCACAACGAATATTTCCAACATGAAACCAGAGGTATAAAACAGCTCTTTGCTGTAGATCGCGTTCGTCGAGCCTGGCGGATCGCCTATGACTGTTCCCGCTAGGCGCACGGCTTGTCCAGCGATCAAAAAAGAGGCGCCGATCAGTAGCACGGCAATCTTTTGATGGGTGTCGCCTTGGCCGAACCTCTCGGGCCTAGGACCAGGGATGCTGGATGCTAATAGAACCACGACGATGGGTAAGATGGCGAGGAGCATGATCCAGGATATGCCGGCCTTGAGAAGGTTGAGAGCCGTATCGACGCGTTCCTGGTCCTCAATCTTGTAGAACGAGACACCGATTGAGGTACTGTTCAGGAGCACGACGGCCGGGATTGAGAATAGGAAAAAAAGGAAGAAGACCCTGACTGCCGGGTGCCAACCGAAATTGGGATGGATTGACCGCAGAATTCTCTGCGAAAAGAATATGTTGACCGCCATGAGAACCACGGCTCTGTAGTACTGTCAGTCGTGACCGTCTTTCATCGAACGAGACTCGGAGACTTACCCTCCAAACTGAACAATGAGTGCGATTAGGATGACGACTCGGTCCTTCTCGAATGCCCAGATAATCCTCATGATACATGTGACGGTCCTTACCATGCAGAAGTCAAACAAGAGATCGGAGAGCAGGAATTTGTGCCCGCGCTTGGCGTTGGCCCGGTAGATCCTGATGTGCGTGTAGGCACCAGCCGCAAATAGCAGCAGGAAAAGGAACGTAACAGGCACATCGACATTTGTTGACGGATCACCGCCCAGGAAGGACCCTTTGGCTGGATCAACGAGCGCTCGAACTGGCGGTCCTGCTCCTGGAGTAGGCCGTAGTAGTCCGCCAGTGGTGGTGGCTGGTAAAGCGATGGGCACTGTGGTCGAGGTCATTGTCGACGAGGCTATGGTCGACAAGGCTATGGTCGACGAGGCTATGGTCGACGAGGCTATTGTGGATAAGGTTGAAGAAGCCAACGAAGTCAAAGAAGCCAACGAAGTTGACGAAGTCGACAAAGTCGGAGAAGCCGACAACAGCGACGAGGTGGAGGACATCGTCGGTGAAGCTGTTGTGGTCCCAGCCTGCTGCGTTGTCGAAGGTGACGGGGATGGGACCGGTAATAGAGTCGTACGGGGCAGGGCCGGAGATGAACTTGGAGTTACTAACGCTGTCGTTGTCGGCAGAGGAGAAGGCGGCGGCGGCGGCGGCGGCGGCGGCGGAGTCGATGTCGACGTTGGTGCTGGAGAGGTAGAGGGAGGCGGTGCCGGTGTCGACACTGGCGGCGGAGGAGGAGGAGGAGGTGGTGTTGATGTGGATGTTGGTTGAGGAGGAGGAGGAGGAGGAGGAGGAGGAGGCGGTGTTGAAGTTGTCTTTGGCGGCGGAGGAGGAGGCGGTGGCAATAATGTCGTTGTCACAACCAGCACCGTCGAGCTCGTCTCTTCTTGAGCCGTGGGGAGTACGGCTATGAAGGACGTGGCGCCTTGAAATTGTCTTCCCTTGAGCTGTCTCTCTTCCAGCTGCGGCTGTTTCTGAACAGGACCTATGCGAAGTCCTGATGCCACTGCTGCTGCTATCGTAGCGATTTCGACCAGCCGCATAGTAGTTTATGAGATTGATAAGGGCGTTGCCTGCCTCGCGCTCTCTCTCCCTTTCTCTGAAGGTTCTCTCAGATGCGATGAGAATAGTTTTCAAGCCATTCCAGCATGTGGTGTTGTGGTCGAGCAAATAAGGTCAGGTCAGAACACCACGGGCGTCTATTAACAGAAAATAAAATAAAAATAAAACAATAAAGGGGGCACCGGCACAAAATGAACGATGTGCAAAGATATGTGATTGATGGAAATGGCTGAGAGGGAGGGGCGGAGCGTGGGTTGGTGAAGGTTAATCAAGGTCATTGCTCTCGAGTACACTTGGAAGCCCGGACCCGGTCGGCAGCGTCGGCCAGGAACACCAACAACCCGTTTATTCCTTCAGAGAGGTGAGCGCAGTCGGTCCAAGGAGATGGAAGATGCGACATGCTGGGAAGTGGACGTAGCCGTGTCAAGTCCCTCGTGGCATGCGTCACTCGGATCTGTGTGTAGGTTGACAGAGTTAGAGAAAAGGTTTCAGCAACACGGCCTGTTCACCAAGCTGCGCACGCACATGCATCACTTAGTGCACCCTTAACCGCATCAGCTACCGGTAAGAATCCGTAGTCCGATCTTTTACTTCTCAAAGTTGGTCGAGTGCGAGGGTAGCACCCTCCGCCGATTGAGCCACTTCCTTCGGGACGCAGCCTATCACGTCTCATGCAGTCAGAGGGGTTTGACATTCCGAGGCAATTGCGTGAGAGCGCGCAGGACATGAGATGATCGTCCGACATGGCTGAGTCTGTATCCTATCCTCCTCCTAACCAAACATATGCGGGAGGGCATCTATCTAGTGAGATTCCCACTGCGCAGGACGTTGGAAGGAACCAGGTATGAAAGCTCGGCAGGACGGGTCTGATGACCACCGATTCAGCATCACCAACACTGCTGAGGAACACCCGCTGGATCATGATTCTCTGCTCGAAGAGGGCAAACAGTTGCAGTGCAAGCCAGGCTTGGGTCAGTCAGGTCGTATTCGGCAGGATTGCCTGCTATTAGTCATTAGTCATTAGTCACCTGGGATACGGATACGGGTTCGTCCCTTGCGCGACGGGACCCGATAGGAAAGTTAATCACCAACCACTTCAACGCCGATCGTGCCATACCATGTAAGGCTCAATACTTTTTGGGGACGTTCGAAGTACTATGTACTTGTATATAGGTATCTGGAAACGATAACCGGACGGCCTTCGAAATGTCCGTCGCCTCTCAATCACACTTCGGAGTATTGTTGCTTCCCACCAAGCTGCTTCGCATACACCTAGTCAATGCGCTGGTTCGGTCTATGGTTGATAAGTGAGTTAAATCATCTCCGACAACGGTACTCTGAATAACGAAGTTCCATCAATGAATCGGCATTGCTCTCTGCGGTGTGTAGTCGGGCTCAAGAAGGAGGCTGAAGGAGTGAGTCCCACATCCAAGGGCCTGCCACAGGGGTCATCCATGGCTCTTCTACTACGACCATTCAGTTTGAGATTCATGAGCCTGTCCTCGATCTATGTCTATATGAAGATCTCCGAATGGGAAATCAACTGTAGCTAAACGAAATCAGGCGTAGCGTGATGATAAGATGGTGTGCTTCGTGGCCGGCTATGTCACATAACCTAAATATATGCCGGGCTGAATAGATTCCTACTCAGGAAGGATGAATGACACGTGCATGCGTTTCTGTTGATGAGTCCTACTTCTATCGATCTTACCTGAGATTTTAGTACCGAAGAGTTCAGCCCAAGCCTTGAAGTTTTCACAAACCCACTCTGCGGCTATCATCACTGGGTGCTTGCGGAGTCCATCTCATCCAGCCACGATCCTGCGGGATCGATGGCACCCTTGGCGTCGCCGAGATGCTGGAGATTTGTGAATAGTTTGCAAGCGTGGAGCTCATCTTTGGATTTCTCGAGGTTAGGGCATCAGAATACACTTCTTGTAGCTCAGGCTTAGATCATGGCTTCTACCTTGCATTCTCGCTGCAGGTCCCAACTTTGTTTCTGTTTCTGTTTCTGTTTCGACAAGCTTACGCCCAACGCTCGGGTAATCATACTCTAAGCCCAGGGCGCCACCCGCCGATATATTTCAGCGCCCGGCACGGACTTATGCAGTCTTGCCCATACAATTGTATCGATGCCGGTACATGGATATGCCTATGGATGGCACTATAAGAAACTTGGTTAAAGATTCTAATTGCCTGCTTGGCGATTCGGGTTCAATTCATTCTGCCATGACTTAACCTGCAAGCCATGATTATAGCGGCTCTAACCCCCCGTAACTCAGTGACGAACTATGAATCACGGGATCCTTAGGACACGAACCAACTCCGGGGAATCATCACCTTCTACTTGTACACATCCAACAGCTTCCGAGGCAATCCGTAATCTAATGACAAACATCACCAGCTTTTTAGGCTTTCATCGAGGCCGATCTCCCGCTGGCCTCTCACTATGACACACGCCCCAAAACCTGTCCATGGACATTCATGCATTCGGGCCACGAGTGCAGGGCCACACCGCATTTCGGGAGACGTGCTTTTAGTCGCCCCTGATCCGGACTTATTAGAAGCCACGAGGTCCAGATTCGCCATTGGGGAAGGGGGCTGGGCAGCCGGTCGAGGCTTAATATATCCCATCTGGTGTCCAAACACTTGCCATAGCCTCAGAAAGGTCGAAACCTCCTTGCATAAAGGGAAGACGCTTGTCCTGACAAAAGGTGAGTCTATTAGGGTGCTTTGTAGGGCACACTGGAAGCAATGTCCCAGCGGTGGCGTGATAACACCGTCACCTGACAATAAGGGCTCGCGGCTTCACCATGATATAGCATAATAACAAAGCTGAAATATATTTTGTCCTTTTGCTTCTCCATGGTGAATTGCGCTTCAATGTATCCCCCGACCGGTGAACAGTACACGTGCCGTTCAGAAATCTGCAAGTTCAGCAGGGGGCTATGTGACCGGCCTCCGAGAGTACAAACTATCCGCTGCCTAGACTCCTGCAACGGCCCGCTCCTTGACATGGATTCTAGTCGCATCTGCAGCAAGTCGTTTAGGAAAGCGACCATCCACACCGAGGAATTATCGTTCCCGTATACCGCCAACCTGTCTGACGGAGTGGCGGGGCTTGCGACGGGTCCGTGTTCAGGAACGCGCTCGCTGACCGCGTGCACAAAACGACGAGCGAACGCGCGGGTGCGTATTTCCGAAGCTTGCTGATGTAACTTGTGAAACCGTCGTCTCAATTCCGGGTTCCTCGCAAGCGCCGCAGACGCTACCTGCGTTGTGGGCTCGAGCATCGTCCTGAACTATCTCAATCTCAAGAATGGGGGCCATCCTCTGCTCGGCACTTCTGGTCGACCTGGGCATCTTGGTGATGTGGACATATCAAGGGTTCCGGGGTCCGGAGACAACATATATAGAGGAAGCAATGACCCATGAACCGCACGTGAGAGAAGTATGGGATATTCGACAGTTTAGGCTTGGAATAGTTACGACTCGCCATAGAGCAGTGTCATGCTGCTTTACATTATTGCCCAAGAAGAGCGGTGTGCTTTCCAATATGGAAGTTGTAGGCGAATATCCAGTATTTGAGCCACTGAGATGTGCGCCACGGCTGCTATCATCGACGTAGCTCTAGCAGCTAGATCCTTAGTTTTTTTTGACTCGCTCTGTTGGCTCGTGGTGGTCAACTAGCAGCATGGCGATGTCCCTTGCGTCGGTGGCTCAAATCAGTCCTTTCGGACTTGGCGTCCTCCTCACGAGCCCGACGGTTTGTTACACAGGATAAAAAGTAAAAGGGGAGACAACGCGGGGCTGCGGGGTCGTGAGTCTTTAACAGGTCATCTCTGTTCTTCGACTGCAGACTTCGAATCCTTCTCACCTACCAATTGGCGTCTCACGTTGCTTGCAAGAGTCGACGGACGAGGGTATTCGGCGTCAACTACAAGAGAACTTGATGCAAGGAGCAGCAGAGCGTCTCGAAGTAGGTTACATCACTACACCGCATTTGCAACAGGTCGAAGTAGCCGGTCATCAAGCATCAGTCGCCATGTCGTCCGAGAACTTGCTCCCCAGACCGCCGTACGACCCTCAGCTGGTCCCGGCTCTGGAACGAATAAATCCATACCCTCGATCTGTAGACGAGATCGTTGGAGGACGACAGCTGCGTGCCGCGTTGATGGCGCCCGTGCAAGCAGCCATACGTAACGACGAGGGCCTGCTGGTGGAGGATCGCACGATCCCGGGACCAGGCGGCGAGCTTCCCCTCGTCATTGTCCAGTCTCGGAGCCCGAAGACGGCCAGCGGCGAGCGGCCGGGGATCGTCTACTTCCACCCCGGCGGGATGGTCATTGGAGACGCCTTTCTCGCGATCGAACCGTTCGTCAGGATCGCCAGGGAGCTCGACGCCATCGTCGTCAGCGTCGAGTACCGGCTCGCTCCCGAGCACCCAGCGCCCGCGCCCCAGGACGACTGCTACGCGGGGCTGGTCTGGACGAGCGAGCACGCGGCGGCGCTCGGCATCGACCCCGCCCGTCTCATGGTGGCGGGGGTGTCCGGAGGCGGCGGGCTCGCGGCGGGCGCTGCGCTGAGGGCGCGCGATGACGCCGCGGGTCCGAAGCTCTGCGCCCAGCTGCTGGTGTACCCGATGCTCGACGACCGCGACACGGGCGTGTCCAAGAGGCAGTTCAGGAACGACACAGCCTACGACGCCACGGACAACCAGGGGGCCTGGACGTGCGTGCTGGGCGACAAGGCGGGCGTGGAGGGCGCAGACGTCAGCCCCTACGTCGCGCCGGGCAGGGCGACGGACCTGTCCGGCCTGCCGCCGGCGTACATCGACGTCGGGACGGCGGAGCCGTTCAGGGACGAAAACGTGGCGTATGCGACCAAGCTGTGGGACAGCGGCGTGCAGGCGGACCTGCACGTCTGGAGCGGCGGCTTCCACGGCTTCGACCTGATGGGGCTGGCTGTCGGAAGCGAGGTGGCCAAGGTCGCGCTCGAGACGAGAATGGGATGGGTCAGGCGAATCTTGGGAAAACGCTAGACGCTCTCTCGCGACGTTTGTCTTTCAGATTATCTAGAGGCAAGGAGGGTGCGTATGAAGACACGATATTGGGGGGGGGCTTTGACGATTGCTTGCCAAGCTGGCTGGCGTTCGTCGTCCCAAACATGAGCCATCTCCTTATTCCGTCCGGACCAGCGGTTTAGTTACAGGAGGCAGCATCGACGATAAGAACGCGAAGGGCTTGGAAGGGCAGTGAAACACGAAAGACTGGGTTGGTTTAGCATACAGAAAAAGCCCGACGAAAAGCTCGCACATACACATATGTAGCCAAGATTCCCAACTCAGCCACCTATCTGATGGCCAAATGAAACGGCCCAACCCGAGCCTGATGTCATGGAACGAAGATTGCACAAGTGCGTACGCTGCAAGCAGGTCAAACACTACAAGCGCGCTTCTCAACGTGTGTTCTGCTTGCCAAGGCCTGCACGCCAGTCCGTCCTCCTTGGATGATGGAAACGCACAATGGCGTCTTGCTCGGGAGGAAACAGACGGCTCCCTGCCCGGGCTGGCTGCGGCTTTACGTCAACCTCGCCTTAGTTATCGACGGCGCGCCCGGCTGTGTGTTGCACAGAGGATTATAAGAGGCCCGCCTCTTTCTCTGCCTCTCTCTGTCTCTGTCACCCTCCCTCTCTCTCTCTCGGCCACGTCTGTGCAGACGCCATGATACCGGTCGTTGGAGCGCCAAAACACAGCCCAGTCAGTGATGTCGACAGGTGTCTCCAGTGACCTTGGATGAAAGGAACAACCGGCAAGGAACAGGACACAGATGTGCCGAGGAGATACGTCTCCACAGGAAAGATGGAAGAGGCGACGACATAAGCTTCCGGTTCCTGCGTGTGGATGGAGGCGATCCCGGGTAGGCCGTAGAGGGGTAGTGCATGCGCACATGTTCCGTTTCAGGGCGTCGGACGGAGTACGACCAATGCTCCGCATGTCCCGTCAATGCAGGCCATCAAGAGATGGCGGCGGGCTGAGGAGTACGAGACGCCAGTCCAGCGCCTCACAGGAAGAGAGAGGGGGACGGAGAGGCTGGTCAGCCGAGTACCGATGGAGGGAGCGCAATTCGAGACGTTTTCTGCGCCTTGACCAGCCGGGTCAACAGCCTCCCGTTGCTGGGTCTGCTTCGGCGCGACCCGCCGAGTCATCTACGTCGTCTATCGTGGCGACTCGTCGTCGGTGCCCTGTCTAGCGGAGTGGTCTTTGGCTCCTGAGGGATTGCCACGAACGAACGTGGCCAAGATGCCGCTATTTACTCGACCAGAGGGGGGGGCGCGTGGTGGACGTGATTGAAACGGCCGACATCAGAATCTTCGTGTAAAAGAGGTTTCCTTGCGTACACGATAAGTATGCCCATTCCAGCATGTCTATTCGAGCGCGCCCATTCGGACTAGACCCCCGCCAGGTATGGACCGTGTCTTACCCATAACCAGGGCCGAGTTTCTTCTGCGAGTCTAGGCCAAGCGGGGTTTCTGTTTCTTCCTCGAAGCTTTTCTCATTATCCCTCGCCGTGTCCAGGGGATAATACGATTCGTCCAAACACAACTCAAGAGGCCGTTACTCGTCAAGAGCGTCCGAATTCCGCTTCTACTCGGATAGGAGCCACGGGCCGAGGTCGCTGGCTCGCGCTGGAAATCCGAGCCCAAGAGACACAAGGTTTTCCCCCTTTCAGCGGCCAGAGAAACGTCCAAACCATGGCCACCGTTACTTCGTGAAAATGGGGGAGGGGGGGGGCTTTGAAGCTACATCCGACCGCCCTGGGCAGAGCACGGGACGTGGGGGATCGAATACTGCTGCTGGCAAGTAACGGCGGATGCGAAAGCGGGAATGAAAATAGGCAAGTTTCGTGTAGGAAACGAGGACCGCCTATGGCCCCTGGAACCCGGCGCCCATCTGTGTTTCTGGTATATTCTTCACACTTCCGAGAGATGTGAGGGCACAGCTGTAAATGTCTTGGTGAATATGCTTTTTCTTTTCCTCAACCTTCTCCCGCGGTACCACACGTTTCCGGCATCCTGGTAAGAACCCCCGGAAGCGTGCGAGCCCTTTAAGCGTATCCTCGTCGTGCGGCCGACGAGCCTGACATGGCTGTTCCTCGCATCATGCGAGATACCACTGACTTGGTATGGTGGTTCTGCGGCCTCGGTGTCGGGATTTTGACAAATAGGGTATCATTGGCATACACTTCCACGCATCCCGCATCGCTGGAACCGTATGGGCAGCCCCATCGAAACTTGGCTAACCCCCTGCGGAAAATAGTACTTGTGCGGTAGTGCGGCTATGGATTTTCGGGCCTTGAACGAGGCGGGCAGAAGCAAGCAAGCAAAGGTGCCTGTAGGGGAACTAGACCTACAAGCAGACGACAGCAGCACCATGACAAAAGGCCCTCAGCATTGGCGAGCTTTGTACCGGTGGGACGGTTCCAGCCTGATGGGACTGGAAAGCCCTTGCTTTCGACTGATCTCGGAGCCAGCTAGAAGATGCTTTTGCTCTAGGTCTACGGCGCATCGCAGCTACTCGGGGTATTACGCCTTGCCTACACAAGCCGAGTAGTGTTCATCTCCACGTCACCTGGTCTGCATAGAGGACATGCATAGGTCGGATATAAGATTGACAGGTCTTCGGGAGCGATGTTCTGTCGCTCGTGGAGGCCCCGGTGCGGTCAAGCCGGAGCTTCGCTTCCTCCCCGCGAAATGCTTCGTGGCATTCCACCTCGTCTTCCGCCGCCAAACGGCGACCGAGACCAGCCCAAGACCTGAAACACTCGCATGCGGAAATACAACTCTGTATTGAAATTCATGTGCCGGAGACAAAAAAAATTAAATAAAAAAAAAACCCCCATGACTTTGGGCCTTAGTGGCGGGTAACGTCTAGATGGACAGAGTCCGAGCATGGCGTGGGGTCACGATAGCTCCCTTGGCTTTTGCCTCCTCTGACAAAGGCAGCGTGCGGTCTCCCCTTCGCCGCCCTTCGCTCACGAGATGTTGCTCGCAACGGGCGGCAGGGCTACGTTGAAAACATATGCCGAAGGCGCCTCCAAAGCGCCCTGTCAAGGGGCATGGATTGTCCATCTGCGTGGTAGCCTCACCGATGTGTACCTCTCTGACGTGGGGAACCACCGCATCCGGCTCGGGGGGGGGATGGTCATAGAAAAGCCCTTCGCGGGGGAGGAGGGAGGGCTTCGACCGAACGCGGCCACACAATGGGAACCGCGTGCAGATCCGTAGATCCCGTGGGTGTCTTGCTTTCAAATCTTGAGCCCCGACGGAGTCCTCTTCCGCGGCGCCCCATTGGCAAGACGGGACGAGACTAGCCCTCTACCACAAGCATCATGTCCTCCTCCCATCTCAATGTCACCTTACAGTCCGTCGCAGTCGCTCTTTTGTGCCTCCAGCTTGACGTGTTGCCGGGGCTTTGTCGCAGCTGACAAATGTTGGCCAGCTAGCAGGTCTAGGTTTTGCTGTTCTTACACTAGAAGGGAGGGGGGCAATGGATATTTGTCTTGTCAATGTGCGGACGCCCATCGCTGGGTGCTCGCGGAGATATGCCGTCATGACCGGCGCTAGACTCCGGCTCGCATTCCCGCCGGTTCCCCCTGTGGCACCGAACGTTCTTCTTTCATCTCGTGTGGAATCAGTTACCCTGTGACGCTTTGCCAGCGCCTATGATATCCCATGCCACCCTCCTTTTCCTGCAACCATGTCACCATGAGTGACTGACGTTGGAAAAAACGGGGAGGAAACCTGATCGATATGGCAGTGTCTTCCAAAAGGGCACTCTCTCTCTCCAACGTGGACAACAAAGCAACCCCCCCTCCTCTGCTCGACTTTATCCCAGAGCCTCCTACCTTCGCATCGGGTCCATTAGGACACAACCGGGTCTCGTCAGGGGGCAACTCGGGCTTTCCAGCATGGTCGACGTGGACGTGGCGTTCGCCGACAGGCTCGCGCGGGAGGGATGGGGTCTTTACGCCTTGGGCATGACTTTTCTCCTGCTCAGAATGTACGTCCAGCTTCGGATCTTTCCCCCGGCATCACGAGAAGGAAAAGGCTCGAAACATGCATGCTGACCCGCTGGGGAAACCAGGTACGGGAGAGCGAGAAGGCTGGGGGGCGTGTTCTACTACCAGGTCGACGACTATCTCGAGATCCTCGCCGCTGTACGTCTCCCTCATTGCCCGCTCACCCTCGTCCTCGCAAAAAAAACCCAATAAAGGGGAAAGAAAAATGAATTCAAAAGAAGAAATCAAGAGAGAAAAAGAAACTGCCCGCTAATGCCTCGTCCCCCTCCCTTTCCAGTTCTTCTTCACCGTCCTCCTCGTAACCCTCAACATGGTCGTCGACAAGGGCGGCTCGAACCTCTTTACGCCCGAGCAGTTCTCCACCTTCACCCCGAAGGACATCAAGGCGCGCGTCGCCGGGTCCAAGATCGTCCTCGTGTCGGAGCAGGCGATGCTGAACGTCATCTATGTCCTCAAGGCGTGCGTGCTGATCCTCTACACGCGGCTCACCCTCGACCTCGCGGCGCAGCGCTTCGTCCGCTACCTCGCCGTCTACGTCGCCGTCGGTTGGGCGGCGACCCAGATCACAATGTTCGCGGCCTGCCGGCCCTTCTCCGGGTACTGGGCCGTGCCGCCGCCGGACCCGCAGTGCGCCACGCTCGAGCGGTACGCCATCCTGCAGGGCTTCTTCAACATCACGTCCGACGTGCTCATGCTGCTCGTGCCGCTGCCGCTCGTGTCCCGCATGCGCATCTCCTGGCGGCAGAAGGCGGTGCTCGTCTTCATATTCAGCCTGGGCCTCTGCGTCGTCGTCGCGGCGCTGCTCACCAAGATCTTCAACCTGCGGGACCCGTACAGCCCCGAGTACATGCTGTGGTACGTCCGCGAGGCATCCGTCGCCATGTGCGTGTCGAACCTGCCGCTCGTGTGGCCGCTGCTGCGCGAGTGGTTCCCGTGGCTGCGCAGCATGAGCGCCCCGGGCTTGCTGCCGACGCCGCAGTCGGCCAGGCGGACCAAGGCGGTCAGCGGGTCCACGTTGGACGCGGCGACGCAGCTGGGCGGCGGCGGCGGCGGCGGCGGCGGCGGCGGCAGCCAGCTTCCGAGGCCGGCGATGACGACAGGGAGAAGGAACACGCTTGACGGGTTCCGTCACTGGCTGAACGCGGCGGACCTCGAGCTCCAGCGGCCGTCGAGCTGCGAGCCGTCGCCCTCGAGCAAGCAGTTCATCCTGAGCGGGCAGGTGGACGGGCTCGAGAGCTCGTCGGGGGAGAGGAGCCGGAAGCAGCAGCGCTCGTCCCTTCCAGACACCTTCTTCCAGAGCTGGAACGGCGCCGGGCCGAACCCGCGAAGGCAGACGATGGAGCTGGACCTCGAACAGGGGGGGCTGTATAGTTGCTTCGGCCCGGGGCAGGGTTTGTACCCGGAGCCGAAGATGCCGGATGCGAGTGCGACTAAGTGATCGTCGCCAGCCGTTGGGGTAGTTGAGCATTGTTGGCGTAACTGGAAAACATTCATGGATACCCCACCTGGACCTGGTTTGTGGGCGACCGAGTAATGTAATGAAACGGTAATCGAAACACTCTTGTTGGAGAACCGAGCGAGGGGCCCATCTTGGCCGCGTGCGGCTGAGAGGATCCGCAACGTTTGATGATGAGAGAAAGGTCGCATTCGCATGCCTTGTCGGCAATGGTATCTATAACGGGCGGAAAGCATAAGGGCTAACATGGGGGGGGGTATCGAAACAATTCCAAACACACGCAACATCATTCCCTCTTCGGCTCTTAGTCGCACTCCTCGTGAAGCATTTCTCTGTCGCAGCCCCAACACGACAATTCGGATACAGCCCTGCAGAGTATTCCCGTCCATGGGTCCGTCCATGGTGGCACTCTCTCTGCCTCATTAATCCAGCCAGCTCCAGGTGCCCTTCACCCTTCCTTCGTCCTTGTTCGCCAACCGCTCAAAGCCGGCCGGGCTCAGGTCCAGGTCGGTTGGCGCGCAGCCGGTGCAGCGGTCGACGACGGTCACGTCGACAGAGCCCTCGGCGTCGCGGCGGACGCGGATCTTCTTGCCGCATAGCGGGTTGTTGTTTGGGTTGCCGCCGGTCTGGACCGCGTCCCAGAGGTAGTGCGAGACGGAGACGATCATGTCGCTGTCGCTGCTCGTGTGCCCACAGGCGCCGAGCCCGACGTCGTAGTACGTCAGGTCGCCGGTGTGGACCTCCCCGTTCGTGGGCAGGGGCAGGTCCTGCTTGCCGCCGCCGCCGCCGCCACGCTTCGAGAGGCCGAGGCCCAGGGCGAGGGGCAGGACGAACAAGAGGAGGACGGCGAGAGGGAGGGCGACGAAGAGTAGAAACCTCTTGCGGGAGAGGCCGGCGTAGGTCTTGTTAGGGGGCAGCAGAGCGTCGAAGCGGGCGTGGAGAGAAGGATGCGTCTTTGGAGACGCCGTCGCAGCGGCTGCTGCTGCTGCTGGGACAGCCGGGTAGGCATGATGGGAATCGGTAGAGGTGCTGTTCTCCTTGGCATAACCCTCGCCAGGAGTGGCGCGGCGGTTAGGTGTCACCGATGCTGGAACGAATCGATCCAAGAGGGAGCGGCGCTTGTTGGCGGTCGGCGTCTCCCAGTCTGGCGTCTGGTAGATTTGCGCCGGGCGCTGGACTGCTTGTTCCTCGTCGGCCATTGTGCTGTCGCGAGAGGAGCCAGTTCTGCAGGGCGTCGCAGTGCAGTTCTTTGAACTGCTGTCAAAGCAATTCTGGAGGCCTTATTATGGGGTAAAAGAGCGCAACGGCCGTGTCTTTGGATCTCGTGGATGAATGTGTTGATGCTGAGTCGCGGGTGGCAGTAGATAGGAAGGAAGATGGGATACAACCAAGAAAGAGTGAATGACGACGACGGCGGCGGCGGCGGCAGTGATCCGCGGACTACCCCCCTCGAGGCATTCGGGTCCAAGGGGGATACGGATGACGAGGTGGAGGGAGCAAACGAGGGACTTGTTGACGAGATGGCTGGTTGGCCATCATCTCCGTCCAGGATGTTGTGGGAAACTTGATTTCGGCGATTGGGCGTGTGGCTGGTGTGATTGGTGGGGGAGGGGCGAAGCGGGGCACGTGATTGCGCACAAGCCATGACGGTTAGGGTGGCTGGTGACGCTTAGCCTCTTCTGGCTAGTTCTGTTCTAGGTGAGGTACGTATTCTTTCTGACCCGCAGGAACGTGAGCGGTACGTATCTATGTACTGTCTGCTGTAATACCTTCAATATTCCAATATCTAATATGCTTATATTCAGTATCTCAATATCCCATACCTCTAACTAATACAGTACCATTCCATCCTCCTATTAGAAACTAGGAACAAGACAAAGACTCTGAATATATTCTTACTACTTATTTATGGCAGAAGTTACGTACTGGATCCAAGTGGTATTCCAGCACATTCTCTGTTTAATAAGTGTCTCTGTTGGGCTCATTGGCCCCTTATTCCGTCTGTCTCTACTCGGATGCCCGCATAGTGCTCATTCATTGCGTCGGCCATTGTCTAGCAACAATTGTCTTATACTAGATCATCAAAGCAGCGGCAGCAGAGTTTCACTGATTCCTGGAGGTCGCAGTCCTTTGTATTTCATCTCGCGCTGTCAGTCTTGGTCCTGAAACATCTCTAGCAAAATCATCAATGAGGCCTCCCCACGTCAAACGAGCTCGACGCTGACGCCAGAGAACATCTGCCTCGCGACCTGTCTAATCTCATGTCAACAGATGAACATTCGTGCGTCTTCTCAAAGACCGTTTCCTAGAGAAACACCACGGCCGTCAGCATCTTCGTTGCCCTCCACATGTGAAATCCTGTCATACGAGCCCGACCGGAGATCTCTCATGAGTCCCCCGGTCTAAGGATCAACCACGAGAACCCTTACTGGAACACCTTCAACAGGAGCTTAGTCCCAGTAGACTACGACTTTGGACTTCCTTGTCCATGTATCCGGGATACGCCGGCTACTCCGATGATACGTCCCATGCATCCATGTCTCCGTTGCCCTGACCTTTGTCATGACTCCGTATATCATTGGGACTCTGATGCCACGAAAGCTTCCGCATCCGCGGCAAATATTGCAAACTCCTTGACAAACCACCCGTGCCTTCAACTCCGCTCAACCAGTCAGTTCGATCCCTTCAAGTTCGAACCGTCATTCCAACCTCCAAACAACGCGAACCGCCATGTTCTTCAGCTGCCGCCCCCGCCAGCCTCCCCGGCTGCCCCGGCCGCAGTGCATGTACGCCGGCTGTTCCCACCGCGCCTTGCGGTGCGACTCAAAGACCGAGGGCAAAGCCATTCTCTCGCTCTATTGCAAAGATCGTCAGCAAACCCCCTCCTCCCCCAAGGAGAGCTCTCTCTCTCTCTCTCTCTCCCACGCGAGATCCCGTGCTGACCCTGGCCCCCAGACGCCTGTCGGCAACGGCTGGGCGAGCTAATGTGCCCCAACTACAAGGTGTCTGGCCTGTCCAAGTACTGCGAAGACCGTACGCGCTTCTTCGTCTCCTCCCTCTTGTCCGGTGACACCTCGCTGATGATGGGCCTCAACCGCGAAAGACCGCCGCTGCGAGAACCACGGCTGCCCGCACCAACGCATCTGCGGCGACACCAGCCAGGACTGGCCCTACTGTCAGAAACGTGAGCTCCCCCACCCTTTTGTTTTCCCTCAACATGGAATAATTCCCCCAACGCTGACCGTCAGTCTTCCCCCGCCTCTCAGATACCTGCCTCACCCAGGGATGCCGCCAGAAGCGCGCCGCCGGCTCCCAGATGTGCACCCACCACACCCCCTTGTGTCTCATCCCCGGCTGCGGCCATCCCCGCACCGACGACGGCCTTTACTGCGCCGGCCACAGCTGCGCCGACCGCCACTGCGGCGGCGTTATAAACGGCGGGCACTGGTGTAAGGACCACCGGCTCTGTCGGACGGAAGGCTGCGGCCAGCCCAGGGCCGTCACGGCGGGCGGAGGGTTCGAGAATGTCTGCTGGCAGCGTGAGCTCTCTCTCTCTCTCTCTCTCTCTCTCTCTCTCTCTCTCTCTCTCTCTCTCTCTCTCTCTCTCTCTCTCTATTCCTGGGATGCCACGTCGGTGTCGAGATACTAACGCCAGTTTCTTCCTTCCAGATCTCCCGGCCGCCTGTCTCGCCCCGGGCTGCCCCGGCATCGTCAAAGGTGGCGTGCGGTTCTGCCCCCAGCACGAGTGCATCTACCCCCCGTGCCGCGAGCAGAAAGACAACGACGCGGACCCATCGCGACTCTACTGCATGAGCCGTAAGTTTGCTCCCCCGACATCCATGATCAATGACAAGCCACGAACCCCCTGACTCACTCAACCCGATTCCCCATCAGACACCTGCAGCAGCCAGGCCTGCCCGCAGCCCGCAGCCGACCTCGCCGGCCCGTCCGCCGCGCGCTACTGCGTCACCCACAAGTGCGCCGGCGCCGGCTGCGGCCACCCCGCCAAGCCCTCCGGCCACCACTGCGCCCTGCACGCCTGCCTGCGCGAGTCGTGCACCTCGCCGCGCGCAGCCGACCCCCTCGCCGTCCCCGGCAGCCAGTTCTGCGCCTCCCACGAGTGCCGCGCCGTCGGGTGCCGGTCCGCTGCGCGCCGGGACGGGATCTACTGCGAGGGCGCTCACGCCTGCGCCGTCCCGGGGTGTCCCGCCCCGCGCGGCGGCAGCAGCAGCAGCAGCAGCGGCAGCGACGTCGACAAGACCGCCACCGCCGCGGCGTGGACGGCATCGGTGTGCTGCGCCTCTCACACGGCCATGATTGCGCGAGACAGCGCTGCAGCGTGGGGGTTCCGCGCCGGGCCGGGCGAAGGACGAGGCGCGGCGGCCCCGCAACCGCCGCCGTCGCCGGCCACGCAGAGGTTCCCCTATCACAGCCAGACAGAGGAGGCGCTGGGCCACCGGCTGAAGGAGGAAAGGGACAGGCTGGAGCGGGAGGCGCGGTTGGAATCCGAGACGAGGGCGTGGCACGCTGCCGAGGGGAGAGAAGGCGGCGTCCGCGGGGTGGAAGCCGCTGCCGTCGTCGGGCTCGGGACGAGAGGGAGAGGGTTCCGGAGAGGGCGGTCGGGGAGCGGTGACAGCGGCTTCGGCGGCAGCCCGGACGTGTCGGACTCGAGCAGCTCGAATACGTTTGTGAGTTGAGCACCGGGCTGGGTTGTGGAAGAGCGAGGGAGGGGCATCTGTGGAGCGACGCGCCGGACCGGAGTCCGGAATAGACGTGATAGACGGTGCTGGAGGGCCATCTGCTTCATCGTTTGCCAGGGACAAAGAAACCTTTTATTGTTTATCTAATGCATTCCCCCGGACCTCGTTATGTGCCATGTCTACTCGTGGCCTTCTAAACTTCATACGAGCAGGAGCCCTTGAGATCAAGGACGGAAGTTAAAAAAAAACATGCCAATTGCTTAAGCTATCCTATTTTTCGAGACGTGGCTCAAATGAACAAAACTCATCCACCAGATAACCGCCAACACTTCCAGCTTCGAGCGGCACACGGAGGCTGGCCAACTGGCTGCAAACCTCCGTCGACAAACGGCAATGTAGACCGGACGTTCAAAGGACAGCTCACACCGTCTCCTTTTCCATGGACTCGTCAGGGTTCCCGGAGCGGCGCTTCACCGCGCCATCTCAGATGCGGCGGAACCGCAAGCCAGTCCCATCCGACACGGACTGAGAAAGGACCCCCCCAAAACCGACGGAATTTTCACCAACAACCCTCGCCGCAGGATGGGCCGTTTGTGCGAACCTGTGCCCGACTACGCCCACGCGCCGACGAGACTCATGCCAAAGGCGCCAAAGAAGACGAGCAGGCAGGCCCAGACGCGCTTGCGGCCGCGGAGGACGCGCCAGCTCTCGTCGGACAAGAAGTCCTCGGCCAGCAGCTCGACGAGGGCGGCGAAGACGAGCAGGCCGGAGGAGAGGGCGTTCATGGTGCCGACGAGGACGAGGCCGAACTCGGAGTCCGGGCTGTAGAGGCGGTGGGTGGCGAGGCCGATGGCCTGGCCGACGGGGGTGGTGCAGCCGTAGGCGAGGGCCATGGCCCACGGCTGGAGCCGGCTGCCCTTGGGCCAGTCGATGGCGGCGATGCGGGATCCGAGGGCGAGGCCCTCGAAGGTCTGGTGGAAGGCGATGGCGATGAGCAGGACGACGAACTCGCTGCCGACGGAGACGCTGAGCGTCATGCCGATGAAGACGGAGTGGAAGAGGATGCCGACCTCGAGCATCATGCACTGCAGGATGTCCTTCTGGTGCTGCTGGGCGGGGGAGAGGACGACGGGGCCGGCGGCCTCGAGACGCGCGGCGCGGTCCGCCTCGTCGACACGCTTGGGGAGCCTGCTGCCGGTCTGCGACCGGGTCTGGGCCTGCTGGTCGTCGCCGCGCCCGATGCGGGCGTGTGTGCGGCCCAAGCTGCCGACGGCGCCGCCGCCGCGACTCTGGGTCATCTCGAGCGGGCTGTTGTCGTTGTTGAGGGAGACGGCGCTCTGCGGCGAGAAGACGGCGTCGTCGTCGTCGTCGTCGGTGGTGCGGTTGCCGCCAGGGACGCAGGTCATGTGGCGGCCTGGGTGGAAGACCATCTCGATGATGGTGACGAGGAAGATGCCCGCGAGGGCGATGGCGCCGGGCATGGCCGGGTAGTCCTCGACCCAGAAGGAGCTCAGGCACTGGTTGCCGAGGAGGGTGAAGGCGGTCGGGAGGAGGTGGACGAAGGCGGTGGCGAGGAGGACGCCGGTGCCGAAGTGGCGGACGGCGAAGAAGAATGCGCGCGGGACGCGGACGCCCGGGGTGGCGGCGGCGGCGAGGGGAAAGGCGCAGGCGAGGAATGAGACGGCGAGGATGATGAAGAGGGCGCCGACGTGGAGGGGCGTGTTGTAGGTGTCCTCGTCGCCGAGACCGCCGGTCGGGCAGGTCGAGCGGCGGACGGAGCGGGCGGAGCGTTTGACGACGGCTGGAAGGTCAGCTCATGCAGTCAAAGGTGAGACGGGTGAGATATCATGATGAGTGGGGACGGGGGAGGGTGAGATGGATGAGCCATGGGCCGTGGCGAGAGGGCACCAGACAGACGGCGAGGGATGGTGACTCACAGCGAGCGGTCTGATGGGACGCGACGAGGAACGAGACAACGGCCTCGGGGCTCCTGAGAGCAGAGATGATGGCCGAGCAGCCAAGGACGGACATGGCCCAGCTCACCCAGCCCCAGAGGGCGGAGTGTTCGGGAGCAGAGGCCCGGAGGAGAGGTGTATGGCCGTCACCGCCATGCACCTTTCTGTTTCGGGGGCGGAAACCTGGGACGACGGGTCAGCGTTCTGTGTGCATCATATGCCATGTTGTGGTTGTGGCGGTGGCGATGGCTGTCTGCGCGTGCACACACGCACACCGAGAGCGGTGAGACGGGCTCGCCAACACCAGGCCACTCTGTCCTGAGACATTGAAGGGCGGTCAATCGATGGGCGCGTGTCGTGACATTGCTCGTCTACCACATCAAAAAGGGCGAGAAACGGAGAGGAGGGGGAAGAAGAAGAAGAAGAAGAAGAAGAAGAAGAAGAAGAAGAAGAAGCTCACCATAGTTCCGCCCTCCCGAAACGGGGGACCTCCGATCGGGCCGTAGATGCGGCAGGGTCTGGTAATTCATGTCGTCGCCCCGGCCGTCGGACCCGTCGCCGGCGCCGCCCCGGGCGTGTCGCTGCTCACGGGCATTGGCGATGCCGTTCAGGTCCTCGCAAGTAGTCAGGTCGGCGGCGAGGAAGGGCGGGTTCTGGTTCCAGTCGGGATGCTCCAGTGTGATGTCGTCGTTGCGCGAGGGACAGTTCATCTTGCCGGCTGGTCTGGCTGGTCTGGCTGTGTGTCTCTGTCTGGCTGTACCGTATGTGTGTATGTGTGTGTGCCTGGCCGTCTAGTGTATCTGATTCTCCCCGTTCAGGATCGACTCAATCTCAGGTCTGCGAGTAATATGTGCTGTCTTTTGGGCCCGAATGCTGCAGACTTGGTGTGAATGTGTACGTGTGTGCGCAGTCACCGAGATGTTGTTTGATTGGTATCGTAAGAGGATCGTATGAGAACGGACACGAATCACACACGTCGATATATCCAGACTTTTCGAACAGTACCCGTGGAGAAGAGAGGAAAAAACAGAAAAGGCGATGATAATAGTGGTGATGTCAAGGTACTCTAATACCTAAATACACGCTGGTAGTGACAATGCAGAGATACACAGTCACACCACACTCACATACACACCATACCCACCACTGACTACCTACCTAGGTATTACCATTGCTTTGCTTTCACTGTTCCAGCTCGGCATATAGAATTTTTAGCGGTGGGGGGGGCGCGCGAACGATGCATCGGCCAAATGCGGAACAGGTATTCCCAGGGGCGTCAAGGGGGTTGGCTGATGCAGCCAGTCTGTCTGTCTGAAGCAACCGTCAGACGGTCTTGGTCGCTGGTTTCTGACCAGTTATCTTGGTTCTCCAGCGTGCCAAGCGATGAAAAGCCCCTCCTTAGTAGCTCCTTTGAGCCTTGGAACTTTCTTCTGACGGGGCCACGGGGGAGACTTGGCCTGTACTTGGCGCGCCTAGGGAGGTCAGGAATTTATGCATTGTATACCTAGTGCTGTGCTGTACATGGCATTTTGTGTCTGCCGCGGTCGATACGGGGATTCCCGGTGGTCGATGATTGGGCATGTTACCCGTGACGAGATGATGCTGGTGCTGGTCTTGATGTTGATGTTCCAAATCCATGGTATCAAATAGTGATACTCCTTCGCAACCCAACATACTTGACCAAACCTACTGTGCACAGAGCCCGTCTTGGACACCGGTGCCCCCTCTCAACCTCCTCACAAGCTCTTAGTCGTCGGCTCATCAACAATTAGTCGCTGCTTGACTTGGCCGACGCCTAGTGTACTACCACCATCAGCAGCAAAATCATCACTGGCAACCACTAACACTACAGGACCGTGGATGAGCAAGCACCCGAGGATAGAGATAGGGTGGCGAGACTGGTCGACTGCATCGCCGGTAAAGTATGTACACTACCTATTCCCTTCCCTTCCCCACGCGAACCCACGTGTAAAACGTCACTACTTCTTCCGGTGCCCGGTTCCTCCCATGGCCGCATCGCGCACCCGTCCTTGGATCTCAAGAGGGGCGGCCTCCAGTGATAGGCCTCTCACTTACCCCATGGGGCTCGGCCCTTCCGCTCTATTCCGAAGGGGGAGGGAAAGATGTGCGCGCGCACCGCGATAACCGACGAGCCTAATGCCGATAAGCCAGTTTTGACTGCCCGCCTGCCCTCTCCCTTCCGTCACGGGCACCCGGTGAATCGGGGTCGTGATCTGCGGCCCGCGGCTTTGTGCGTATGTACAAACATATGTTTACCCTATGCATCTCGGCCGCGACAGGGCAGGGCCATGCTCCCCGGTCGACGCCCAGGCCCAGGCTGGTCATGCAAGCTGTTAGTGACGCGCGCGCCAGTGGGAGAAGTGGCCTATGCTTGGGTAGGTAGTCTTTCGGCCTGCCCGCGATGCTATCTGAAGGGGCCTGGGCTGGGTTGCCTGGGTTGGGTTTCTATCGATGCCGAGAGAAGCCGCCAACCTGTTTGTCCTGTAACCAAGCCATTGGCACCCGGGGAACGGCAGACACAAGAGGTCCGCGCGTCGCAATACACCTCCAGCACCCGGGGTACCGTCTCGTCCTGGGGAGGGAGGGGGCTCATCGGTGCCGGGGACCGAGTGCGCTTCCTTCGGAGCACATTGCCGGCGCCATGGTGTGGCATGGGATTCCCTCCCTTTCCCGAGGCAGATCTCTGCCGCCGCGTTAACCTTGAACCCGGCTTCGCCAATCCACCAAACCGGGACGGATCTGGAGAACGCCAGACGGTGCTCTGCGAAAGCAGATCTGCCCCCCCGCTGGCGCAGATCTCAAAGACCAAGATGCGCTGGCTCCGAATAGGGTTAGGGTTAGTGAGCAACGAGAGCGGTGTTTACGTAAGGGTTCCCGAAACCACCCGGACTAGGCGTATAATGGCCCTGTGGTTGGCCGTTTACCCCGAAGCAATCCGGCATGGTGTAGCGGTTAGCATACTCCGCTTTCATTGAAAGTCCCGGAGAGATCCGAGTTCGATTCTCGGTGTCGGAAATTCATGTTTATTTTTTGTCCTCCTAGTGCACGCAACACTCTCCCCCATTCTCCCTCACTATTACTATCCTCCTCCCTACGTAGTAATCACCCAGTACATGCAACTTCAAGTATATCCCTAGGAGGGAAACACTCATTTGTATACTTACGATAATAGTTTTGCACTGCTGTACAGGGACGTTGTTTCGCCCAAGTGCTCTTTTGTAAAGGAGACCTAGGCTAGTAATAGTAGATAGACTAGCAGGCGCCTTGTGCCACACAGCTGGACCTGGCGGGAGTTAAATATCATCACCATCATCATCATTATCATCATTGTTTGTCCTGAAGCTATTCATGAAGTACTGCCATGTCAGAATTAGAGAGCGGGACAGTAGTCGGATTAGCCAGCTATGTATGTAATAACATTAACACCGCACAATTTTAAAGCAATCACTGTACACCAGTTGTAACAGGATACCTGTAACTCGTCAACCCAAGATTCTATAAGAAAACAAGTAACCTACATACAGCCTGAGTACTAAGTCTGCATTAATTGCAACAAAATCAGCAATTAGAACAAACTCGGCTTGATTAGTCTTTCTTAAATGTCTTACTCCGAGTGCCGATTTTATTTTATTTTCCAATGCTTCTCCTTAACGAGAGGGATGGTGCAAGACATAGGGCCAGTGTCGATAACTACGGTATATCAAACAATCATACAGAGTCAGCATCCAGGCCATGCCGCCACGGAAGACCAAGGCTTAATCCAGATTCGCTTCTGCATCACTAAGTGACGCAACCGACTCGGCTATTTGGTCCATATCAAGCAGTAATCCCACGGAGCTGCGGGTTGCTAAAGATGCTGCTTCTTTCATCAGTAAATACTCTGCGGCACCGAGTACAGCAGACGCAGCGACAAGGGCTTACTACGTTGTGGCCTTGCGCCATTGACTGAAGAACGCCTCTTCAAGAGCCCCTGTATCGATATTCAGCCTCCGACACACGTTCGCTGGACATCTTCTGGCTCATACCCTCCGTTGTTTCCTGGGATGCCCCGGGCCAGGGTCTTGCTGCGAGTTGGCATCGGATGAAAATGGACCGCGCTGGTCGGACGCGTCGAAGATGGTGACCCTCCATGTGACTGGGCATTCCCTCTCTTAATACCTCTTTCACCCCCAAACGACGTGGTTGTGTGTTGTCCGGAAAAGTTGAATTCGAAAGGCGGTACACATATTAGTGGAATGAAAGTGAGGCCTGCCTCGAGGGATTGAACGACAGAAACCCGCTTGGTCAGGTTTGGGGATATAGCGTTGGCCCCCAAGAAATAGGGACATGACCAACGTTTTCCCAGATTTTCAACCTCCCATGGCACCTTTTTTGGAGCGGTCTAAGAATTATCTTATCATTACCGTCTTCATTGCCTATGACACATCTTCGGAAAGCTCATCTGAAGGAAGGAGACGGCCACCCCGATTGGATGGCCAAGGAATGTGCTGTTTCATAAATACATGACAGTATATTCGGCACGGGGTCTCTAGGTGAGGATGATGGACATTGCGTGGGCGAAAAGTTATTGGGCTGGTTCGTATACTTAAGATCCGAAGTAATCGAACCACTTATAGCTAAACAATACGCGTGGGAGCAACTGCCGGCATTAACGTAGAACGGTTGTTGATACAATATGCTCACAAGCAGCTAACAAAGCCAGCAGGGGGGAAATCGCTGCCTTATTTAGCTATAGTACTACACAACCGACAAGTGGCGCAGATTCAGTCTTTTCGCATTCTCCAATAAGCCAGAAGCTTCTGCTAAGCAAAGGCTGGCGATAACTTACTACCGATTACGCTTCCGCCACGAGGAGAATGTAAGTGCCCGTATTAGGCGGGCCGGTCGTAGATATATAGCAACGTGCGCTGTTGAGCCTTCGACTTGGACCCGTGACGGAGACTTTGGGACCTCTCTGTATTGAGTTCACCCTCTTAATGTTTATAGAAGCGCATAGGTCGCTGCTGATGACCGATGATGCGGTGACGTAGGCCGCCACCTGCTCCTCCCTTGACCGGGATGTTCAGCCCTGCCAGCCCAGCTGCTGATGACTTCATTTCTTCTTTATTCGGCTACGTAAGTATCGAATATTTCTCCATGTCTTGCAAAGGGTTTTCCAATACTTTGCTCAAAATGCAGGTATAAGGTACTCCTGTATAGAAACTGAGATGTGTCTTGGGCATTAGCTGAGCTTGGCCTACCCATCACGCTCTTCTGCTACTGACTTGGCGCTTCTTTGATCCGACTCTTGGCGGCCGCGTGTTTACTTTGTGACTCGAACCTGAATTAGCTCCAATGCCTCGTTATCTCTTTCTTAGAGGCTCCAGCGAACGATCACTCTGTTAAGCGGGCAAGTAACGGCCGTACCATTACACATGGTATACCATAGGGCCAGTTACATATGTATATCTGTAATGCCTAATGCCTAAGACATTAATGATAATAGATACCTCTTAAGCCCTTAGAGCTAAACAACATAGCCCTTACTCCTAACCTTAACCTTGACCTTTAATCTCTAACTGTGCGGTTAATACGCCATACTTGTAGTAGTATTAACTAGTACAAGCCACATAACCGACACAGCTTTTCTAGCTAGCTTTACAATATATCTTTTCTAACCTAGTGTGCAGGTGATACGCCACATTCTATGTGAGAAGGGTAGAATGGTGCTGTACGGGTATACGCCACATGTGTAGCAGTATTAACTAGTACAAGCCACATAACCGACACAGCTTTTCTAGCTAGCTTTACAATATATCTTTTCTAACCTAGCTTACCAAGTTACATAGGCAGTATCCCTGGTAGGATAAGTATACTCACAGTATTAATGAAATATGCTAGATAAAATAAACCCGAAAAGGGGCTAAAAGCAAAAATCATAAGTATCCGTCTGTCTGCTCCCCCATCAGCTCATCATGCCTCAGTCCTTTCTCTTTAACATCCACTTCCATATGATCTCTTATTACAAATAAATGATGGCTCAATCTTGTCTTGTTCTGGTGGAGTCATCCGGAAGAGAGGGCCCTGCAGCATTTATTGTTTCTACTTCTGAGGACGGCAGCGCCCAAACTTTGGTGAAGCCCTTAAGAGACACTCTGTTGGAGAGTACCAGCAGCTCAGCGCGCTTCTTCAAGAGATACGTTCTTTTTCAGAGACCGACAGTCTCAGTAGCAACTCTACGCCCAGTGAGTTACTTTCATCATACCATTCGGTGATGGCATATCAACGGCTTTCTTATTTTCTTGTATTTTTTTTATTTTCTGGTTTTGATCTTCGCCGATACTAACATGGCATACCATAGATCATTGTCAGCAGCCTTGTGGCTTTACCCACCAGCAGGGCACTTGTTCAGCACGCTTCCTACGATCAGGCCCTCACCCAGGCCATAGCCGATCCTGACTCGATGGACTGGGCTTTCTACACTCATATGTTCGCCCTCTACGAAGACGTTTTCGTGCACGTCGACCAGCAGGGCGGCCAGATAGTCCTGCCCAGACAGGCCTTGCTCGTTCGCGATGACATGTCACCGATAGCGAAGGACATCTTTGGAGTCATTGCGTCAGTCGTTGGCGGCTTGATCGTACTAGCACTCAAGCTCGCGGAGAGCTGATATAGAGCATTTTATCGGACAGTGCTGACTAACTCTGCTTGTACACGGAGTTTTGCGAGGCTTCCTCTTTCGATTCCATACACGAACATAGAGGACACACGAGGCACGTTAAGAATCCAGGCGCCTGACCGCTCCGGGGGTGGCGCTACGCGTGTTGGAGTTTGGGTTTTCCTTTTACAATATATAGACGCAGTTCCTTTTTCTTTACTAAAATCCTTTATTAGAGTGCACGAATCCGGCATGCTGTTGTTGTGAAGAAGACTATCGGTACTTATACTTCAACTACCCAACCAGTACAAATCATGATTGCAGTCCACCTTGATCCAGACCACCCGCACCATCAACCTTACCTGGGCTCGGGATGGCGACGAGTTGACCATGAAGCGTTCCCTCCGCAAGGTTGACTATGGCGCACTCAACCTGTACTTCCTGCGCGATGTTGGCGACGCCTTCGGCTACTGCTACTTCCCCACCACCGCCTCCCCCGGTTCCACCAATTATTACATTCTGGACGGTTGCACCATCCTCTTCTCCACTGTCCCCGGTGGCAGCTCGACCAACTACAACCTCGTCCGCACTGTCATCCACGAGGTCGGCCACTGGTTCGGTCTCTCCCACACCTTCCAGGGCGGTTGCACCGGCAGCGGCGACACCCCCGCCCAGGCCAGCGCCAGCTCCGGGTGCCCTGTCGGCCGTGACTCTTGCCCCAACCAGGCCGGCGGGGGCGAGTCTCTCCCGACCAAAAGGCCCAAGTCGATCCGGCGTCGGTTGTCTGGCAGGTTCTGGCTTTGGCGGCGGAGGTGCATCGTTCATGACTACGTCCTCGGGTTCCTTCGCAGGTGGCTCTGTAGCGCCGGCGCCTTCGATGATGCTCGCCGCCTGCACGGTATTAACCGAGCCCAAATCCAACAATCATGCAGGACGATAACATCAGCCCTCCGGGAGCTAGACATATTTAGGACAGTAAACGGACATGCCGGGTGATCCATCGTCCACGTCAGTTCTCATGTCAATATCGCGGGGCTCCCTGCCCCGGCCCACGATGGCAAGTTCAAGGGAATCCTTGAACCGCTCATCTGTGAAGTCGATCTTCGCCTTGCCCCATGATTTCGACGTCATCTTATCGCGAACGGCAGTCGAAGGGAAGCCGTTCCACCCGATAAGATCTCCATACTAGATGAAGGTCAGTGATTTGTTCTCCGCAACCGCCGAGGACGCGCATGGTGGCAAGACTCGACTAGAGGGGGCCAGGGGCCGACTTACAAACCAACTTTCATGGTGGTTCTCCTGCCTCATATCGTCCGCCGCCTTGGCGAACCGAAAAGCGTGGGTGCCCGGCCCGTCCTTGTGGTAGACGATCTTAGCATGGGTGCCGTCCGCGAAGAGGTCCCGCCACGCCCTTCTCTCGTACCGCCCGTGTGCCGACGCGGAAACGTACTCGGGCACGCCGTCGCGGACGAAGACGACGACGTGTTCCCAGTCGTTGATGTGCCCGAGGCAGGGGGAAATCTGGTCCTTCTCGAAGTAGTACCCGTACATGTACGCGCACCAGCCGTTGTTGCAGCGCGCGCGGGAGTACACGTTGCTGTTCTCCAGGTCCGACCGGTCGCGGCAGCGCCCTGCGGTCGACCAGGTCTCGCAGACCCCCATCCCGGCGTTGAGGGTTCCGTCGCGGTCGACGGCGGGCGTGTTGTAACAGCTATCCGTGTCGAAGTCTAAGGCTATTGGAAGAGCGTCGTCAGCCAAATAGTGCCAGGAAAGGAGGACATGCGCCGTGTTGAGGGGGGGGGGGCCTACCAGGCTGCCATTTTTTGTCTGCTTCGGGCGCGCATTCATTGATCTTGAGAGGAAATGCATGCTTCATGGCGGTCTTTGAGATACCATGACCAATAGGAGACGCGGCAGTCGCAGTCCATAGCAAACCCCAGGCCACCAAAAGGGTGCCTGTGAACATGACGAAAGGGGCGTTGCCGGGTATTTGTGACTAGATGTACAAGTTTATGATTGTAGAGCGGAAAACATGATCAAGTTTTAGCCGTGTTTTATTTTTATTTATACGTGAATGAGGAAGACCAGACACGCGCCTGTGCCAATTGCTATAATAATGATTTGGCCTTACATCCGGAAACCTGGAGCGTTCAAGAGGTCCATGGCTCGCCAGCGTTTGGAAATCGGGGACATGGTATCAAACCTTTACAAAATTCATCTACAATGGTGCTTTGCATGTTAACATGACACAGAGTTCAAACTTTTCATCTCGTCAGCGTGACCTATATCGAGTCACAGGTTGATGGTGTCTTCTGACCAACCTCTGAGTAAACGTAAGCGAAGAGCATGTTGAGAGCATAGTACAGCATGCAACAGATGTACATGGTTAACATGTCTGCGGGGATGTATGATATGGTGGCACGCTCGATAAGGCGTTTGTAATGCGAATTAATATGGCTCGTTCCGCCTAATCGAAGCCTATGCGCTCTATCGAGCTCTTGGTAATTATCTTGATGAGCAGGCCCCTTTGTTTATTCTTACGCCTCCAAAGCCAGAGAACCCCAACTCTTTCTTCGCTGTATCTTATGAATTCGACCATCCGCGAAAATAAGGTCTGACTGAGATTTGGGTAGCACTAACCCATTGAAGCCCTGCAGAAGTAGCGTCTACTAAAAATGAATATTGGTGGGAGAGAAGAGTGACTCTCAAAAGTGGTGCTTCATTGACATTATTAATTAACCAGGTTCTAAGAGTCCTATCACATCTTTGGGAGCGCCTGTAACACTCTATCTGAGTCGAGCATCCTGCATTCTCTTTTTCTTCTTTTGTTCTATTTTAATCACAACAGGCTTAATAGATCGAAATTGACATGGAATTTGTTCAGGTATTCCACGGCTTCTAACCGGCAGCTGACAACCTCTTAGGTTTCGTTATCAACAGCTTCTGCTATCAGCAACTGCCCGCAATGCTTGGCATTCTCGGATCATCAAATTGCAGCTCTCATCAGCGGTTTGTAGCCGCTGCTTCGGGGCCGTCGGTCCAATCATGCCGGCGCGCTCTTCATGCAGGCTGATTGCACAAGGCTGGCAGACGAACGGTAACGGGCGCAGGATAGTAGCTCTGTATCATGACCGCACGCGGTGTCAGCACTTCGATGCGAACAATGACAGGTAATTGGATCGTTCTGCAGAGCATGTCAGCAGTGTCCGATAATAGGCCGCCGTTTTGTGTCGCGCGGCAAAAAAACAGTTGACTCTTGCGTCGACACCTGCGACGGTCGCGGCGGGAAAGTCACCAGGACGGGACTTGCAATCTTGACAATGACCATCTGCATATGCACCCGGGATACAGAAGGCGACCTGTACCATGGAACCGGCATCATCGCGGGGGATTCCAAGGGTGTTGGACGCGGCATCGACACGCTCCCCGCCTGACCTGATAAGGTAGTGCAACCCGCCAAGATTCGGAAGTGCATTACCAGACCAAAACAACGGCTCTCGCCAAGTGTTTGTTTGCAGAGCCTCACGAACGACTCCCCGATGTTCTCAGCATCAGAAAAGACACGGCGGTGATTAGCTGCAAAGTTGACAAGACGAAGCAAGCAAACGAACGTCTACGAGTCGTGTGTTGTTGCCACCGTTGTCCCCAGAGCCGTCAGAGTTGTATTTGCCAAGCCGGAATCAAATGAGAGCTCAATGCTTATCAGCTCCATCCTTTCCCACGTTGCAATATAGAGTGGGAAGTCAACACATTTACAAAAACAAGACTTCCATTGACTCCGCCCCGTCGGCGACCCTGGCGACAAGCGAGAAATCACGACATGGAGCCGCCTGGCGTCTTGACATTTTCCAACAAGACTGGGCGCCTAGGCCTGTCAACCCTGGCTCGATGCCAGGGGGGAATAATTGATCTCCTTCCTATTCTACTCTGGCTCGGGAACGCCAAACCTGTCCAAGATTCCCAGGGGCAACTCGACTCTCGAGGCACGCACATCACACGCATGCGAGATACACCGCACAGCTTGCAGCTCACGCCGGTCCTTCATCGGTATTGCTAAAACCCGCTGTCTGACTTGGCCTGTCTTATTCGACTGCCGCCGCAGACGCCGCCTCCCGCGGCCCGTGCGACGGGAATGCCAACTCTGAATTCCCCCACCAACAGGCCATGACGGCTGAACACGAACGATAAGTCCATGTCGTTGATGCTGGGGGGGTATGAGGGACTTTGACATCGAGAATCAGCAGACGAGAACTCCCATGCTCGCCAAGACCAATGATTCCAACCATTTTCAATGGACGCGAGTCACGCGATCGGTGGTCTCCGGGATGCCCTCCGGCCTTCTCCCTGTACTCCCCCCCCGCTGCGCCTCTGCCATATCGACTTGGACAAAGGCCGACTGACGGACTTTCTAAACCCCCGAACCCCTGCCCGCTCGCCGTCTGCCTTGGCTACTCTCTTCGGACCTTGACCATAGCCCTTAGATCGTAACGCCAACGGCAGTTAGGCCCCTCTCCCTCTTCCCGCTATCCCCAGTTAAACAAGGATGCAGGCCAAAGGCCCCCTTGTTGCGGCTCTTGGCATTGGCACGAACCCACACCCACGGCGCATCGACTATCGGTGCCGGGGAGCTGGCAGCTGTCGTCCACAGTGCTGCTGGGCAAAGGCAATCAATGGCATCGTTCAAGGTAGGAATCGATGACTGACGACACGACCGAACTGGTCCATACTCAGGGGGGAGGGAGGGGGCGTAGCAACGCAGCACTCAGGCCGACCAGCTTGAATGGGAATGAGAAAGCCTTTTGTTTGCTTTATCCCCACAGTGGTATGCACGGGGGGGTAAAACGTCCGCCGCTGACATGCTGGCGAGATGTGGAATCACGACAGCGCCCTTGGTCGTCGAGGCTCGCAACCGATGGCCATTGACGATTCGGGAAGCTCGTTATTCCAACCAAGTGATGAGAAGCGGAGGCGTCATTCCGTGGTGTTTTGCATCCCGACAGAGAAGGAGGCGAGGTGTTTTGATGCCGCCGCATCCCTCGATGCACACAAGCTCGGCCGCACACAAAGCCACGCTTAGATCATCCAGTTGGCTGTGCTGTATCTGTGCTCGATCAAGCCAAGCTCATTGCCGAGAGCCACGCACATCAAGACATGGTCTCCAGTGCGTGATAGACCATGCGAAGAGTCACTCTAGGCCGGCATTTGCCATTTGGGGCCCGGATGGGGGGAGGGGGGTTCTTCCCGCCTCCACATCGAGCCCATCTGGCAACTGGGCATCTCGTGAACCCCGCCGCCCCCCTGCGTCCCTCGGTCCTCGGAAATCATCTACGGAAACGGCAGGCCGGAAAGATGTGAGGGCGGTGTGGATTCATGTCGTATCTAATAAAGTCCTGAGTTCCCCTCTACATCGGGGCTTGAGCCAATGCGCGTTACGCGACCTTCCGAATTAAGCATAACTTGGGCTTAAATGGCCCCTCTGTTGACGCAACGTCCGGCGGCTATAGCCTACCGGTATGGCCAGCGCAATCGACAAGGTAATGGCATACTATGCGTGCCATTACTCTAACGGCGAGTTGAAGACGGTGCAGGAGAAGTCCATTGGATGCCAAGCTCGCTTTCAGCTGGTTCAAGGGTCTCCGCCAACCATTGACGCGACACTGCCCATACAGACCTCGTAGCTAATTGCCTCCCCACCAGGGGAAAGATAATCACAAATGATGCTGATCGATCGGTCAGGGAGGAGACAACTCCCGGGACCCCTTCTCGCCTTTTGGCTTGGCTCCTGAGCCCTGTATCCGCCTCGCAGCCCAAGCAACATCAGTTCTCCCCCCCCCCCCCAAGCAGGGATAAGCAATGAGAGTAGGGGCAACCTGTAAGTCAGCCTCGGTCTTCTCTCGCGAGGTAACAAATGTTCTGCAATACGACCGTCGCGATCCTCTCGCCCGCTTTCCCCATCCAGTCCACTCTACTAGTATATCGTCTTCCTTGCTCGGGAAGCCTGGCAGCTCTGGCTCTAAGTCCGTTTTAGGCAGCTTGAAGCCTCCGAGCTTGACAGCCTCGGGCTTGGCAGAGCATCACGCAAGATACCACCATGATAGGCGCAATGAGAGAGCGGGTGTAAGGAGAGGGAGATGCATGGAGAACATGCCAACATCCTCTTCCATCGTCGCCACGGCTGCCGCCCCCCCGTAAACATGTTCGTGAGATGCGGGTATAAAGAAGGGCTTCGTGCTCGCCCTTCCAGCCGTTCTATCCTCTTCATCCCCATCCGCTCTCTCTCTGCCGCCTACGAACAGCCCCTTAAGGTTTCCTTCGTCCACAATGGCCAACCTCCGCCGTCTCGCCCTCGCCATCGCAGCTCTGCTCCCGGCCGTCCTTGCCGCTCCCGCCGCCCTCAACAGGCGCGACGAGCCCGCGGCCGCCCCCGGCAAGTACATCATCACCCTTAAGGAGGATGCCGCCGTCAATGTCGACTCCCACCTGAACTGGGTCGCCGACGTCCACAGGCGATCCCTGGGCAAGCGTAACACGGCCGGTGTTGAGAACAAGTTCAACATCAGCACCTGGAACGCCTACTCTGGCGAGTTCGACGAGGCCACCATTGAGGCAATCAAGGCCAGCCCCGAGGTATGTCTTTGACCGGTGCGAATCTTCGCACGCCGCAGGGTGATGGGCCATTTCTGACAAAATCAAAAAAGGTCGCCGTGGTCGAGCCCGACTACTACATGTACCTCTCTGACTTCGAGGTCGACGAGCGTGCGCTCACCACCCAGACCGGCGCCCCCTGGGGTCTGGGATCCATCTCCCACAAGACCAAGGGCTCGACCCAGTACGTCTACGACACTTCGGCCGGTGCCAACACCTACGCCTACGTCGTCGACTCTGGTGTCATCTCCACCCACACCCAGTTCGGCGGCCGTGTCACCCTCGGCTTCAACGCCTACTCCGGCGTCCACACCGACACCCTCGGCCACGGCACCCACGTCGCCGGAACCATTGGCGGCTCTACCTACGGTGTTGCCAAGCAGGTTAGTCTTCTCCCTCTATATCTCTCTCTCTCTCTCTCTCTCTCTCTCTCTCTCTCTCTTTCCCGTCCCCATCGGTTCGCCGGGCACGCCCCGTCTCTCGTCACACTTGGACAATGCATGGCTAACTTGGTTCCCCCTAGACCAACATCATCTCCGTCAAGGTCTTCCAGGGCGCTAGCGGCACCACCTCGTCCATCCTCTCTGGCTTCAACTGGGCCGTCAACGACATCACCTCCAAGGGCCGTGCCGCCCGCTCCGTCATCAACATGTCCCTCGGCGGCCCTTCGTCCACCACCTGGAACACCGCCATCAACGCCGCCTACTCCCAGGGCGTCCTCTCCGTCGTGGCCGCCGGTAACGGTGACAGCCTTGGCAACCCCCTGCCCGTCTCCTCGCAGTCACCCGCCAACGTCCCCAACGCCCTGACCGTTGCCGCCATCGACTCGAACTGGGCCCCTGCCTACTTCACTAACTACGGCCCCGGCGTCGACATCTTCGCCCCCGGTGTCTCCATTCTCTCCGCCTGGATCGGCGGCAACTCGGCCACCAACACCATCAGCGGCACCTCCATGGCCACCCCCCACGTCACCGGCCTCGCTCTCTATCTTCAGGCCCTCGAGAACATCGCCACCCCGGCCGCCCTCACTGCCCGTATCAAGGCCCTCGGCACCTCCGGCCGCATCACCGGCACCCTGAGCGGCAGCCCCAACCTGGTCGCCTATAATGGCAACGGCGCGTAAGCGTCCAGGACGAAGCGGATCGAAGAGGAAGAATACGAATAATGAGGGGCTTTTTATTTTTACTTTTACGACGTGAGACATTCACAGAATCTTTTATTTTATTAATAGCAGGCCACCGTCAAGGTAGTCATCGGGCTCTAAATGGGAGCACTCGAGTAGTTGAATATAACCTCTGCGGAGGACGTTTGGACTCATCCTTAGTATCGATTGTCTTGCGTGACCATGTTTGATGTCCTACAACCCTGTCTTTCTAGCTTGGGACTCCATATATTCCTTATGGCTATCCTGCAATGTCATGATGTCCGCCCTCAATTCCGCCGCCTTTTCCTTGCCTTCTTCCAAGGCTGTCTGGATGCCCTCGTCACACTCATCACCACACATTGACCTCACTCTTGCCCTGTCGAGCCGGGTTCTCAGATCTGCCAGGCTCCCTCTGTATCCCTCGACAGCCGCCTTGGGCGAGGCAATATGAACATGCGCGTCAAAGAGAGACTTGATCAGCGAGCCGAGGACCATCGAGTCGCATTTCCAGCCTTTTTCGGGGTACGTTGAGTGGGATTCGCATCTGGCCATTATGCAAAGGTTCCATAAGTCAACATAGGGTTGGAGCTCGGCGTTGACAATTTTTTGTCGGTTGCTCGAAATGATTTCTGGATACGCGTCAGAACTCTCGGGGTTTCACGACATGGAGAAAAGCCGAGGCAAAGGATGCATCTTACCTTCAATGTCCGGGGGCATGAGATGATCCAGCGAGTTGAGAACCAACTCCGGTGAGCGCACACGGTAGTAAGAGTTGCCATTGTGGGACTTCTGGATTCTCTTCCGCCGGCCGTAAACGACGTTGCCGTCGTTGTCGATGAGGCATTCGTTGGTGATTTTGTGCAGCATCTGCTTGAAGAGAGCAGAGTCACCTAGTTCCCACGCCACACATAGAAGTTCGGGTTCCTCCGTCTGACTCACGACCTCCTGATTATGGAGCCAGAGTTTTGCCCAGGGCCGCAAGAGGCGAGTCGCATCATACTTTTCTGTGTGAACCAGTAGATCGTATAGGCTCCACAGCGAGAGTTCTGTCGGGACCCTTTCAAAGGCTCCGTGGATTATGCCGAACAGGATCTCCATCGAATCCCGACCGTCGTCTGGCAAATCGACAACCCAGTCGCTGCCGTCTGTGGGGCGCGATTCCGCGAACCCTCCAAAGAGCATCCTCCTGAACACGAGCGACGAGCGCGACACCGTCTTGGAGTCGACTCGGAAGGGACTCAAGCTGGGGCCGACGCGGATCGTCAAGTCGCCATCCTCGTCATAGACCAGCAGCTCGTTCGAGACGGCGGACATGGAGTCGTCGTCGGCATCATTGGACTGCTGATCGGAGGTTATCATTCTTTGAAGCGCCTCTTCTAACTCTGATAGCTTGTACGAGAGGCGCTGCGATGTTTCCATGCTGTAATTTGAATGGCGTGACATGGAGGGCGAGGAAGGTTGGCGAGGCAAACCAGACACGAGACTAGTGAGTCTCACCTGGGACTAAATAAGAAAAACAGCCGGGTGATCGGACATGCACGTCCTAAAGTCACCAGATTATGCAGACAACGGGGCCATCAAAGAGTCCAAAGAGCATTGACGAAGCTAGATGGACTAGCAAAACCGCTAAGCAATTTAAGCGTGGCTTTTTCTCTGTCTTTCATGTAAAAGCCATGTGGTGAATGTGATGATGTAATACGTAAAAAACGACCTGAGCTCCGAGTGTTAGTTTCCAGAAGCATGAGATCATCTTGTTGTGAGGTAACCTGTCACGATAGCTTCATACAGCACCTGTCAAGTGGATCATCATGTGCTATATCACGTTGCGTTTCACTCATCGCTCGCAAAACTTGCCTTTATAGAACCTCTCCTCACATCCCTACTTTCATAGCAATGAGCCTATCATATCCATAATCGCATAGGCCCTGCTGTGTGCTCTTACTCGTGACATAACATAAGGGCACTGGTGATGAAATGCCGTCGTCGGGCAAGCATCTGTTGGATCTCCCTTGTCAAGCCAGTCACGGAGCAAGTGGAAGAGCACTCCCGAGCGCGTGGAAAGGAACATGAATGATGGACAACCTGACAAGCGCTCCGATCCTCGGACTTCGGGTCTCATGGTTCATTCTCAAAGCGAGGGCTCATGTCTTGAACTGTGAGCACAAACCGATTGCGATCGAGTAGCACTGTTATTGAATCATGAATCAGCTGACGCTAATAAACTTTCAAACGCAGAAACCAATTTGGGCTGTACGATAGGGCTGGGTTGCGCGTTGCGCGACGATAATGGCTTCCAGTTCTGCACCATGGTCATGAGATAATAATACTGAGAGAGAGGGCGGGGCTATTAGAAAGCCAACCCAGGTGAACTAGAGAGCGGCCATGGTATAAACCTTGTCTCTTTTCTTCCTGCAGTGCAATCAGGGTTGCGGGGGAGAAGGCCCTTTTGGACGGAGAACGTTGGCAACGCCGGCGTCGGCCGCCTCATCGGCGAACGTCGGTTCTTGGCAATAGAGAGCCATGTCGAGTTGTCGGCCTGTTTTCTTTTCTCTTTACTGTGGCTCCCTCACAGCCATGCAGTTGATCAACAAATCAACAGGTTGAGAAATGAAGTGTGTAACGAACCACGTCTAACGCAGGACTTCGTGTTCAACTCTAGACTTGCTTTTTCCCAGGGGAACCTTCAATATGGTCATTAAACACCCTGTAGGTTGATTCATGTTGCTAAAGTTAAGTGTGCGATATGATATGCGGTGTGCCAGGGCAGAGACCGGTCATCCGCAGACAACGACCCCCGGCACAAGCGGCAGCGGCGGCGGCGGCGCGTCTTGCGGGAGACGCTCACGCGCCATGCCACTTCAAATACAAGTCAGAAATTGAAACACGTTGTTACAACCGGTTCAAGTCAACCTCACAGTGCTTGACTTCCACCATCTAATAAGTAGATAACAAAGCCGGAGCGCATACATCAATTTTCTCTACTTTGTCACAAAGCATCAAGATAACTTCCGGGTGGCATTCGCGCATAAACAAGCATGCAATATGTCTCGCCTGCCCATGCTCCGCGATTCCTGAAGCATCAACATCACCTCTTCATCATGTTATGAGGCAGTGTGATAACTTCCTAGACAAGGGAAGGCACCATGTGAGCTCACAATGATACAATGATGCGATTTCATTACGATCTCTTCAAGTGCTGCATAACTGACTGAATCCCCTCTTTATGTTTTACTAACGCCGCAATCAGTTCAGAGGTCCCTTTGACGAGCGTCTTGTTCCAACAAACACCGTCCAACTTCGACTTATGTAACTCCAAGTTAGAGATGAGCATGTCAATCTTGTTCGTCATCTCCTCTAATGTCTCACTTATAACACGGCGCTTCCATCTCCCATATGGCTCAAAAATCTCCCCAAACAAACGGATCAAGACTGGCTCTCTGTCTGGCCTGTGCACCAGATGGCCTGGATGAAATCCTTTTACCACCCATGCTGTGTGGCCTCGGATATCGATTGGTTCAGCTCGCTCCATCTTGGTGTCGTCGATGCTCGAACAAAGCCGCCGCGCCAGTGGATCTGCTGCCGGCCTCCGCACCTCTCGTCCATGTTCCCAATATCCTTTGGTCGTGCATTGACAACACAAGATTACCTCAGGCTTCAAAATTGCCAAAATGTCTAGCGCCAAGCCATAAGAAGCGTTGACGGCCTCATATCTCTCCTTGCTACCCATTTCCTCCAAGTCATCATCGCTGAAGAAGCTGCAGATGTCAAGAATGGGGACTTCATCGATAGATAAACCACAGGTTTTAAGCTGTTCAGATATCCAATCAAGGGTAGGGCCTTTAATCATTTCCTCAAAAACCATGTCATGTGTATTCGACGGGTTCTGCAGTAGGATGAATGGTAACTCACGCCGGCCTCGGAGGAGGCGGCTGAAGTTGTTCCACTTCCCAGGACCGATCTTCCATTGATCTCGAAACTCCCGAGCTGGCGTAAAACAAGGGTGATCTTCCGTTATAAGTTCGAACTCGGTAATACTCTCCAAACCTGGTTCTATAATGTGGTTGATGACACGCCGACGTTCACTAGCGGTGTTTAGTGACAGCCCGCCAAATAATTGAGTAATACCAAGGGTCAGAGCTAAGTAGGGCAATCTGTGTTAGTCTACGTTTGCAAAGTTGGCCTGGCTGATGTGGCAAGGAGGTACTAGACAGAGCTGGCCCGTATAACTATACGCATGTTAGGCATGTACTTACCCTCAATTTCCGAGTTCTCGGGTGCTACTGAGTGAGGAAGCGTCGCTGTACGCATTTTGGTTTCTTTCCTTTTGCGGTTTAGGTGGTGCTTTGGGTGTGTTCTTGATACCGAGATTACAAGTTTTTGTGTTCGTCCGGTAGATGAAGGCTTCAGTCACTGCTGAACATATTGGTGCTTTTATATTTGCCGACGACAAGAATGATTATATGCCTTTCGGCGTGGCAAGGCTCCTCCGTTATGTCATTGCAGCATACCACATGATAAACATCCCGAAATCGCACCAGGGATTGGTTTATCATAGCTAGAATTCTCCAATGAGATGAATTCAATTTAATTTGGGTTTCCTATTTCGAAATATACTTGAGAATCTAACTTTGTGGGACCTTTCCATCGACTAGGTTTAGACACAAACCTATGGTTAAGGGTAGGCCTATTTACCTAAAGCTTTTACTAAGTTCCATAACGAGATTTCACTACAGCCGAGCAGGCTGAAGCGACTAGTTACCTATATTAGACTTCAATGACGTATGGTTAAATACCTAATACACTAATTACTTCTGAATATAAGACACTGGACTTAACTCTTTTATTGGCGATATGCTCCGTGTATACAACTAACCTAATCGAGTGGTGATTGCGTTATTTCCTATCGAGCATTAGTTAGACATACAGGGGTCATTGTGTGTATATTGATGAGTATGATGAGCCAATGACTATGGGAAGAAGCCCCATATCTATGTAATGAGTGTACGGTCCCCTTATATAAGGATAATTCTGCTGGCCTTATTCATACCTCTGCTTAGACACAAGTCATGTTGCTCGAGTCGAGTCATTGGGAAATGGTTTGTAGTGATAATGGATCCTTACCACCATGAAGGCAGATTCGGAGGAGTAAGCAGGAAATGCATACAGCACTTACGGGCTTTGAGGAGGCCAGGTAATAAAACCAGCACTGTACATGTAGCCAGCACTAGTTGCCCTTTCGGCTCTGCCTCCAGGCGTAGTAAATTGGGTGTGAGTGTATGTGTGTGTGTGTGTGTGTGTGTGTGTGTGCACCTTTGTATCTGTGGAATGAGAAATTGACCACAACGCTGCGAGTCTCATCAGCTCTATTGTAAATCTAAGGCTTTGTTTCGGGGCTCATGCGTCCTTGTTGGGATAACTGGCATTGACTGCTAGAATACCATCATTCAAGGTCGTTGCACCAGTCCACGTGAAACCAATTCTTACTATCTGGTAACGTCGCGACTTCTTGTGACACCCTAATATTTGACACGCAGGGCCTATTATTTGTCAAAGAAAACCCCAGCTACAGCTTACAAGCGGAATCAACGCTGAGAGGCGTTGCTAACTGGTTGAGTCTGACTTGTGTGACATATGTTTGTTGCCTGTTAGCATAACGAAGCAAAAGACCACTAATAATCTCTATTCCTTGGTGCTGGCATCGACATGGGATAATCTCTACAACATTGTTGAGCTCTGCTTTGCTCTAAGCAAAGTTTTCATAAGGGCGGCACCTCGGGTATGACGAGGTTGGCCACTCAACCTCAGGCGTTCGGTTCTGGCGATCAGGAGGGGGTGATTTGAAGCCCAACTGTTGCACACTATACGTTGTTATCATCATATATATACGACTGGTAGTCCTGCTAGGCAGATCAAGAAGAGCCCATTTAGAACGGCTCTAACCTCGCTGGGGCTGCACTCCTAGAAAGCTTGAGCGCCCCTAACTTGTGACTAACGTCGTAATGTTAGTCAGTTCTTGTTTTGCTATGCCATCATGACTAGACAGGACGTACTAATAGGGCAATTACACTACCTAGAGGACTATTACATTTCTAGATCTCTGTTAACACTTTACCTGTATGTAGTGGCATAAAGATCTATAGAGCAGATCTATTTATGGTTCTTAGGGTTTGATAAAACTTAAGATCTTTACCTGTAGTGTATGTGTGTATTAATTAAATACTTTAATTCTAATAAAGTGAGTAAGCTGTAGTCTAAGAATTGTTGTATGGCAGTACTGACATACAAAAGCTTGGTTTAGCGTTGCAAATGGTCTTAACTTGAATAGGCTTGGATGAAGGTTGTGGAAGCCCCCAAGTGACCTTTAGTAATCCTACGTTTTGGCCTGTAAGTTTACGCAATTTTAAACCCTAGCCTGGCATGTAAGCAACTATAGAGAATAACTGCATCTTAAGTGTGTACCTACATCACTTTGGACTTGGATTAAACCACCAAGGATGTTCAATGGCAATGTTTTCTACCATACATCTACTTCTTGTTTGATTGCGTAATTGCGTGAAGAATTGGAAAATAACAATTGCCAAATGCCAAGATGATTACTGGCAACGTAGAGCCTGTTGGCTGGCGTTCACGACATTGGATCAAACACCAAATTGTCCCTGCTGTCGGCGGCTCAGGTGCAGTCGCTTTATGGACCTTTCTGAACGTTTTGGGAGATATGATGTTGATGTAATCAAGATGGCAGCCAGCCCTTGCTTTATCATAGTGACACCCCCTACGGCACTGAACATACTTGATGCCGAGAGAGCTGTCAGTGAAGCTTTTGACGCTGTAGTGGTAAGGTTGAGATCGCTTGGTACCGTCTCTCCGTACTAACTGTGTTAGAAAAAGAGTGTAGAATGTTGAATATAACTTACTAGCGACGATATAATCTCTAATACTGAGTTCGTACCGGCAAAGGCCATAATGTTGTGGTACATAGAAGTACTTTATTGTGGTATTGAGATGTGTGTTATATCTCTAGTTTGGTTGCATAAGGCAAGAAATCTGCTGTCCTTTGTCCTAGCGAATTTCAACAACTTATCACCGTGATGAATGTCTCGGGTTTTCTTCCGGCCCGATCAGATATAAGATGGAGGCCTCTTTCCGATCTTGGCGAACAAATCAGTGAGTAATACAGTGCTGACCTTGACGCACATTTTGAAACAGGAATTCATTGCACCGATAGGTATTAACCAGCCAGTTTCGGCTTGTATATATATGTAAGTGCTCCAAAGTAGCGACTTTCTATACCTGACAATCGCCTGATCGATTTGCAGTACGTGTCCTGCTGACCCCAGAAAACCCCACGCATGTGACCATCTCTCCGTCATTTCCGAGGCTGCATCCTTCAATACCTACCATGTACGCCGAAGATGTCGAATGAAGCGCCGGAACCAGTGTCAGCGGCAAGCCAGAGGGAAATAGGGAATCGGAAATTGGAAACAGGAAGTAAAGAAAAGCCAGAAGTTATGTATAAATCAACCAGCAACAATCACCAGGTCGTAATCATCAAGTTATTTATCTACATTCATCCTCACTTTCTGGCAAATCATACTCTAAAATGAGGACCGCTCCAGTAGACTACGTAACGATGTGGGGGAAGCAGGTCTACCTTGAGGTCTATAGGCTTTTCCAGTCAACCAGGAACAAGACCCAGATGATGGTAATTTGCAGTTCGACAGGGTCGTTTCGGTAATGTCATCTCAGGCTGAGGTAAGAAAAGTGATGACAGGAGAAGACAAGAGGCTTAGAATTTCACGTTGAGACGCTAGGAAAGCAGGGTACGGCGTTGAGGCAAAGTAATTGCTAGCTACGGATCAGGATGGCTCAAACACAGTGTACTGTCAGACCACTAGAGCAACGATGTTCCAGACTTGGATTATCCGGAGGACCACTTTCCGGCACTGACACACGGGCGGATCTGACCGAATATATCGACTTCCGTGCTTCATCTGGACCGTACCAATGGTTTCGGCTCGGAAGTCTTGTGAAGAACTTGCCAGAAATTGGACTCGAGAATTTGAGATTCCTGGATCGCTTAACGGCGGGAATATTGCGGGACTAAAGGCACCTTGACATGCAGAAGTGGCGGGAAGAGAAGCAAGCCGACGGAATAGCCGCCAGGTCGCTCATGGAACAAGGGCAATACAATGCTGCATTTGCGCCGCAAGTGCCGACAGCCCCAACTCCAAGATTTGTAATGGAGATCGACAACAATAACGAGGAGGATCCTGTCAACATAGAGCTCGAAACGCAACCTTTTGAGAAAGAATCTGATGACTTTGACCCCGGGTCGGGGGTAAAATATACCAAACATTGACAAGTGTTTGGCGAGCAGCACACGATGAGCATGGGGAGCTGTGTTACCAATGGCAAAGCAACACCTACGACATGGACTTGAGAACCTGTCATGGGCCGGCATGGTCGTTCGCGAATGTGCTTTCAACAGCACAAGAGTAAATGTGTATAGAGCCAACGTTTGATTTTTTAAACCATACCTTCGGAGCCCTTCAACCTAGCGCTCGTGAGATATTTTCCTAGCAGATGAGGGGCTAGAAGCTGTAGATCACACGGAAGGGTACTGATCGTGCGTAGCCACAAAGAGGCTCGCTTGAGGGAATCCAGGAATGGGCCGGGCTACAACGGCCCGGGCCGCTTTCGGACCGCAATGAGTTGAGACAATCGTTTACATGGGGTTTTTGCACGATCGCCGAAAAGACCGACGACGAGTCTGTGGGGGTGTCGAGGTTGAAAGCAAGGGCAAGCAAGTATCGTCGGATTCGACAATTTGGGTGCGTTTCATCAAGAATGATGGGCTGCTATGGGTCGCCACGACAACTAGAGGTTTCACGTGCACTTTTAGAACAGTCAGCAGCTAGGAGGACAGTTCTGGACGGCAGATTACTGATATACAGACTTGGTTACCTTAGGGTGCTATATTGCGCGCGGGTTGATCAGTTCGAGGACTACTCCCATGCCATCTTTGATCCACAGCAAAGTCGTCAAAGCGGGAGCGGACCTTGATCGGTTTACGGTGCAGGTAGCCTATCCGAGACGACAAGGCGTGCTGATGGACGTGTCGAAATGTAGCAAGATGCAGCAAGCCGTGCGTCCATGGATGTCAGAAACCGCAGTCCAATAGATACCTGTGTAATTGAGTACGGAGTACTCCGTACTGGTTTCGCCCCCTATTTGTACCATGGCGGCCCGACCCCGAAGAACTACTCGGCTGACCGGCCCCGTTCGCTGGGCTTGGGCACGCAAACTATGCCGTGTACGAATACCTCGGTACGAATAACTTTTATGAAACCCTGCAGGACCCCAAACATTGTGACCTTGTTTATTGACTGAACAAACAGGACTGGGGACCCAAAGCCCCCCTCCTCCCCTGACCCATCCCGGACCCTCAGAGGGGCATACGATAACTCCCCCCCCTGCCTGGGCGTAGCCGAAAGTGAGAGTCATGAAAATATCCCGTCCATGTCCGTGACGGGCCACCTGAGGCGCTTTGCCTCATTGGGTTGCAATCTCGGTGGAGACAAGCCCCAAAGAGAAAAGCCAGCTCGAGCTCAGTATGGTAAGGTGTACTTTGGTTTGACAAGGACACACCCCCTTGCCGAAGTTTTTTTGTCAGTGTCTCCGTTCTCCTTTTCTTTGGCTCAGCAACGGGCTCGAGAGGAACCACTTGGGAAAGCCTTTCAATTGTGAACACGAAGACGAGGAGGGGGGGCAAGTTGACTAGTTCATGGATGGAGGAACACATGAGCGAATCGGCACAAAAGCCATTGAGACGGTGTGGTAGTTTCGACAAGCTGCAGCAGCCGGGGTTGTAGCTGCTTGCCGGCAGGACAAGGGGAGGGGGGGAGATGGACTGGACGGTACCAGGCCATTGGAACGAATCGTTCGTTGGTCCCGGGGAAGAGAGTTTGCTTGCTTTTGCGTGGCCTGAACGATCTTCAGCGTAGCCCAAGGTCCGACCTCACGTCAAATGGCAGATGAGCAAGCACAACTGACGGTTTTATCCACGCCCCAAGACGAACCCCCCGGGCATTCGTATCGAAACATGCGAATCATGGGACGTTCATCTCAGCATATTCGTATGGAGTCATTTCAATATCGCTAAGCCCAACCAGAAAAGATCCACACATACCCTGGGAGGGAACTGGGGTCCTCGACACTATGGAGACGGAGAGAGAGAGGTAGAGAGAGGATCGTGGACCTTTCTCTCATAGCTCCCCCAGGCAATTCCGATCAAGCCGGCGAAGGTTTCTTCCCTCGCATCCCCCATTCACCTAGCACTGCCTCTTCGCTCCCTTCAATGTCCACCTTTATCCCTACATCATCTAACCTACACGTGCCTCTATCCTGATATCCCCACCGGGACCAGATCTTCGAACCACCAAAGGTGAGACAAAAAAATCCCAGCTTCTCTTGCGTACCATCCCATTTGGGGGGAAGTGGCGTAGCTTGAAATGCCTTCATTTGCGGGAGAGGTGGAAAAGGGTCACCTGGGCTGACATGGGGTTTGAAAGCTGCCTTGCCGTCCGCCGCCCGCACCAAAGGGGGTGAGAGGGCAAGCCGAGGCTTTGTTTGGCCCGCGATGGACCCCCGATGTGTGCCGGAACTGCGGCCACAGCGGCAAGCACATTGACTTCCGGGACTTCCGATGCGCCATCACGGAGCGCGATGACGCCGAGCGCGACAAGATCCAGGCCGACGCGGCCCTCGAGCGGGCGCGCCAGCTGTGCGAGTCGTCGCTGTCGCTCATGAAGCGGCAAATGCAGGAGCTCGAGGATGCCAACGCCGCCATCGAGGCTCTATCGCGCGCGCTGTCCGCCGCCGAGGACCGGCGGGAGCGCATACGCCGCGACCTCGGCACCCACGGCGACGTCTGCCTCACGGCGCGGTCGAACCTGGAGGCGGCCGAGGAGATGGCCATCTCAGCGGCGGGGCGTTACTTTGAGGCCGGCCGGGCCGTGACTGCGCTCGAGGACAGGGAGCAGCAGCGTTCGCCGGGCGGGCCAGTCGAAGAGGCGCTTGCCCCGGCGGACGAGGAGATGGGCGACGGGGGAGAGGACGACGAGGCGCGGGAGCGCGACAACCGCAAGTGGCAGCGGTCCAACGAGCGGTTCTGCAAGTGGCTCCGACGGTCGGAGGCGCAGCGGCAGATCATGAAGTCGTCGTGGACGAAGGTGCGGGTCGCCGAGAGGCTGGCGAGCGAGGGCGTCGACGATGAGGAGCTCGCGAGGCGCAACAGGGTCCAGGAATGGGCGGCGGCGCGGCGGCTCACCGAGCAGCTCCCGCCCGAGGACGAACCCACGATGGAGACGGAGTTTCTCGAGTCTGAGCCGGAGCCGGAGCCTACCGAGACTACAGAGCCGACGGAGGAATCTGCGAGCTTCCCCGAGCCTTCGGCGCCACCTCTGGCACCGAAACCCGCTCCGGCCCCGACCCAGCTTCCCTCCCCGACAAAGCCGGCCACCACACGCCGTGCCGCGGCTTTAAGAACGAGAGCTAAGACGGGCAGGGAAGGTGCGGCGACGGCGGCACAGACGATGCCGCCCACCCCGGCGAGAGGGCGGGCGCTACGGACCGCGCGCAGGGTGGAGAGCCAGACTCGGTCGGAGCCGACGAGACCGACGGCGGCGGCGACGACGACGACGACGACGACAACTACGACTATGAGGGTGAAGAAGAATCCCAAGACGACACGGGCGGCAGCGCCCGCGGCCCCGCCGGCAAAGGTGGGAGCTACGGCCAGCTCGGATGGCGCCGGGCGCCCAGCGGCGAGGACGCGAGCGAGAACCGGGAAGACCCCGGCACCGGAAGCGTCGCTGACTGCGGCGGCAGGCCGGCCGCAGAGGGTTACGAGGAGGCGGTCGGCGAGGTCGCAGCCGTACCCCGAGCCGAGCGCTCAGCCCAGATGGAAGTGAGGCAGCTCGTGCTTTGATGCGAGATGTAAACGTGCGAACGCGGCCACGACGGCCGTACGGAGGAGGCGGCAGTCCCCTTCGAACATACCCAGATTGAATAGTCTCACTACACATACATATCATATTACAGCGTTTCCTTTGTCAATGACTGGACCGGGTGGATGACGGAAATATCATGGATTGTAAGAGTACATAGATTCCAGCCAATGAGTAACGTCCGATAGGCTGGCCTGGCCATTTTGTCCTGGTTTCTTGTTTTAAGGAAGAACAAAATAAAAACAAAGTTAAAATATGCAGCTTGTTGGGGCCGAAACGCTGATGAGGGGTTGGAAATGGCGTCAGCTAAGCCGTCTATCACGACATATGTCCGACCAGTGTCAACTCTAAAAGAACCTCCACACCGAATCTGCACTCCTCGTCTTCTTGAACGCACTGTACCGCCTGCACAACGGATACATGACGGCCATGAGCACCGCCCAGTTCGCCCAGTAGACCAGGACGCTGTCGACGCCCCTGGTCGACCCGCCCTCCATCGGCGCGGGCCGCCGGGTGTCGTGCCCAAAGAGCGGGACCGTCACGAGCCTGGCAAGGGCGAAGACGACGACGAGGTGCGCGACGTAGAAGAAGAGCGCGGACGTGCCGAACGCCAGCAGGACGCCGAGCCGACGCGTCGCGAAGCGCGGCGGGACGGCACCGAGGACGGCGAGCAGGAAGAAGGTCGCCGCCAGGGTGTAGGCGAAGAAGGCGACGTCGGGCGGGTACTTTACGACGTAGAAGAAGGAGGCGGCGGAGGCGAGGTACGGGTTGCCGCCGGGGGAGACGGCGGCCTGGTCGGGGGTCCGCAAGCAGCCCTCGGAGAGGTTGCCGACGCGCAGGACGCGGGTGAGCACGAAGAGACCGGCGAAGACGATACCGGCAGCGAGGTTGCCGGCGGCGAGGACCGCGGGCCGCAGGGGGCGGGCGAGCACGACGCGGCCGTAGAGGAGGCCGAGGCTCGTCATTACGGATGTGAAAACCTGCATCGGTAGACTCCCAGTAAGTCTGGATTGGTGCGCTGGGGTGAGCACCAGGAGGGGCAAAAAACTGCAGTCCAAATTGGTTACTACGCTTTTCCTGTCGCGAAAACCTGCCTTTCGCGCACGTGCGTGGCACTTTCGTCGCCGACGCCAGATAAGGTCCACAGGATTTCTAATTTACGACCTACAAATTACTTGGCGAGATACTGATTA